CCAGAAGATGATGCATTGCCACACAATTCCACTAACACCCTATGTCACTCGCTAGATATAAAACATTCACCTGTAATTAGAAGATTAGACCCTTGCTCAACTCGAAGGGTGAGATCCTCCACCAAAACATTTCCCGTTGGAGTAACAACCTGAAGTGCATTAAGTAACATTAAGAACACATTGTCTCGGAAAAGGATTACGAATCTGTTTTCCAACTACCTTCACACCGGAAAACTCAACATAGTTAGCTTCACTTAGGTAATTTCTGCTTCTATTTCTCTGGAAAGAAGTCTTTTCGTCACCACTGAGTTCCCTCGAGACAGCCATCAACTCATGGATTCGGTCAGCATAACCACTGTTGGAAGCAACAACATTTTCAAATAATTAGAAACCATAGCCACCACAGCTGATAGCTACCACTGTTTACCATTTGAGTGTTCGGCATGAGATCGAAACTAAAGCATTACCTGAGTCGGCTGAGCCGCCTGGAGCTTATAGAAAGTGTTCCCAACGCCTGAAAGAGAGATATAATGACACTGGTGTGATATCTTATATTGCTTAGCATCTCGGCTCTCCCTAAGGTCGAGTCATCGGGTCTTAGATGTCCAGAGAAGAATGGTTCGATAATCAGAATAACTGCAACTGTGGCACCAAGGTACTTCAGCAGGAAATCTTGGATCATGCCAAACCACCAGTGTTCATGAAGCACTACACCCATATGGCTAACAAGATTCTTGAACTTCTGCTGTATATGAGATTCCTCCCTGTTTTCCCCACCATAAAATGCTATGCTTTCAGAATGAGTCCTTAAACGAGAATGAAGTTGCCGGTACTCTCCTTCCAACTGCTGTTCTTTCGACATCAATTTCCCAAAAGAAGGAGAAAAGTTCCTTATGGTCGTTCCGGCCCCCAGCACATATGCCTACACAACAACTATGCAGGTTAGTACATAACCAGTAAAAATGGCCCTATGTTAAAGTCAATATTGCAAACATAGAAGGTTAAGCAAGAATCACCAGTATCCAGAAGATGTATTTTGGACTAGCGTATGAACACAGGCGCCACGCATACAAAATCCCATCAGTAACTGCCGTCAAATCATCCAGTATAAGTTCGCTCAACTCTGAAGAGAATCTCGGTACATCGCTGGCAATCCGTTGCTCGGGATGCGTAATCCGACCATCCACATGTGATATTTTATAGTACACCATATTCTGAAACCATAAAGAAGGATGGTTAAAGTGATATCTAGCAGTTAAGCTCACTTCTCAAAAACATACTAGCATTCAGAAGAGGCAGCAGTGGCTATACCTCGAAATAATGTGAATGGATAAGTTTCGTCAATATCTTCCTGAATCGCAAACTCAAGGCCCCAGTTATGTACTTTGATGTAGCGTGCGTCGTGGATAGCATGAAACACAGAAAAATGTTTTCGGTGATAAGACGTAGAAACAGTGGGGCACGCCTTAAGAAAGCAGCACGGAATAAGAAACCCTGTACTTTCGCCAACCTGTTGCTCAAAGCAGTCCTGAAAACCTGCAGTTTATAACATATCAGACTAAAAAGAGTACTAATAAGCTCGCACGAATAAGAAAAATAAAACAAGGCACTGAGAGGAAATGCATACCACTGTGCCCACAAGTGCCAAAAGATCCCTGGCACCCATTTTCCCCATCTGAGAGAGAAGAATAGCAGTCAGAACCTGAAGAGACTTCAATCCTCCTCCTTTCTTCTTTTTCGTGCTTGTCTTTGCGTTTTTATCTTTTCCTGTCAGCTTTTCCAATGCCTCATCATCATCATCACTCTGACCATTGCAATGACGGGAAGAATCAGGCCTTCGAGAGCTGATCCTTGATTTCAAGTAAACAGCCCCACCGGCAGCAACGATCCCAGCCGCAAGCAGTATAGATTTCCTACAGAATTTAACAGAGGACGAGAGATGAAACAAAACGACTAATGATTTTCCTCCAAAATACAATTCAGTGATTGTTTTACCGTCTTGAAGCTACAAGACCCCGACCCCGCTCGGTTAACTGCAATAGCTGGAGAGAAGGCATTGCTGGAAATGAATTTTCCAAACCAAACGATTTTCAGAACCAAAACTAGGTTCTTCTTCTTGATACTCAGTGACCAAAACACCTGAAATGATACGAAAATTATAACAAATATAATATCACTGGCGAGAAGAAGAACAGAGTTGAAGCTGTGACGATTATAATTAATGCATTGAAAGGTTAAAACTTAAAAGAAATGTGTTTTACGCTCAAACTTATATTCTCACACGTTCGTACAGTAGCAAAAACTAGGAATTAGAACCAAAAAAATAATCAAAACAATTTCTCTACATAAGTAACACGCGTAATTAAAAGGACTAACAAGGACAAAACTTTTTTAAGAAACCCAGAAAAGGCGATCCTCAATACCTAGAAAACAGCTAGCAGTGCTTCCGAATTATCAAATCTGGATTCTCACTGATCTTTCGAACCCCAACAAAAAATTAAAAATGTCAGCTTTAATCTGTAGAAACCCTACAGAATCTAGAAAACGGATAAAGCGAGGTTCTCTATTCTCGGAGAATTGCAAATAGCTTGTACGATTAAACAAAGCTGAAGAACAAGTTTGAAATAAACAGATTCACTCTTTTTTATATTGATAGTAAGAATTAACGATCGGAGCCAATTACCAGAGCATCAGAGATTCAACCAACGAGTCGCTCCGGGAGATTAGAAACGAAATCTATCTCAGCTTGGCAAAATTCAACCTAAAAAAATCTCCAAAAATCGAAAAATCGCAACACCCACTAGCTCGGAATTCCACACCCAGCTGAAACTCGACACCGAAGAGTTAACTCCGACTCTGTTCACCGACGGCAACGAGACGTACCAGTCCACCGCAACGGAACTCACCCAAATCGAGAGAGATGGAGAAGGAGGGGAGAGAGAGAGAGAGAAAGCGAGCCGAAACTTGGGAAGAGGAGAAGATGATGACGCTTATTTACACGTGCGAATACAAATCTCTCACTCGTGCCATTTTGTTTTGTTTTAATTTTTCTTCACTCTGTTTTTGATTTCGTTACGAATCCTGCAAGATTTTATTTTTTACATTGGTGACTTCAAAAATAATGTCGATAATTACATTGATATTGAAAGTTTAGAAGAAAAAAACAAATAATTTCTGTATTGATTGTAAAGTATAGTTGGAAAATAAATTCTTATTTTAGAAAGTAGGAGCTATGTATGGAACTGTCGAGTCCTATGGACTTTGAGGCTGTCCTACATACTGGTAAGTTTGTCTTTCTAATCAAGGAAAATGTTATTGGAGCGTGAAGAGAGAACATATAATTATGAGTATGTTGACATATTATCTACAAAAACAAAATCATAGTTGTTACTCAAAATTTTGGAAAGAAAAAAAAAAAAAGGTTGAAAATCCAACGATAATAGAAGGACATGTGAAATTCAAGGAATTATCAAATGTGGATTCACAATGTGTGATTCTTTTCCCGTTTTGATATATGTGTGTATACAACTGTTACTACTTATTTCAGCACCAAAAATAAAAAAAAACTGACACAAGTAATCTAATTAAATTGTTTAAAGAAAGAATTGTTAAAAATTATGAGTTCAAGTACAATCACTTTTGTTTGATGAAAAGTAAGTTTGTAAATGAGATTTTTGACCAGGAAAAAAATGTTTTATTGAAATGAAATTTGTCAAGTGGGAAAAGTGCAAATTGTACGCCGCATGATTGAAAGCACACGAATCAATGTGTTTAGGGTTTCTGACCATTTTTCTGACATTGCTGCTACATCACCAATTCACCACCCTTTTAACAAAATTTGCAAAATGTGAACTGGAAAATGGTGTTTTTGCATTTTAGAAAACAAAAATAGGCCTTAAATTAATATAAAACCCAAAAAAAACTACAAAATGTTGTGGGCTTTTTTGCTCACGGGTCTTTAAACCATTTATGCACAAGCCTAACTGTCACATCGCATTAGAACGATTATCTTTTTGATGTCTTTGGCTCTTTGCCAAATAAAGTTAAAAACATGTGTAAATATTATTTGGTTTTCATTTAGTCTAATTTTAAAACAATTGAAAGACGAATTTGGTATGATGCGGTTCTTAATTTGTTTTCAAGTAAAATATATCATTTTAATGTGAATTTTGTTGTTGCTATTCTCTATTCTTTCAGCCTAAATTTAGTCATTTTCGTTGTAGGCTAAGAATTAATATATTGAACGTTGAATTTTTTTGAAAAATTTCATTCAGTTTCCTTTAACCAACGCCTCAATGAAACCCTTTTCTAAAAGAAAAAAAAAACTAAAAACACCTCAACAAAAATAGAAAAACAACAACTACATACACACCAATCCGTATATTGGGAATGGGCTTTAAAACGAATGGCCCAGACAGCAACACGCTTACGAACAAAAGGCCCTTTTCCTGACCACACGTCGACACTCTATCCTCTCTATCCACCGACACAAGTCACACTACAACACTCAGCTCTGTCGGTAGCTTCAAAATGACTGACATACCCTTCCCTTCTCACGAAAGTCGTCGACTCTACGATTCTGTGGACCCCACCTTATTTAATTTTGACTTCTGAGTTCAGATCTAACTGTAGTTCTGTCGAAATGCATATATTTTCTCTCACCGTCCAAAACAACAGTTTAGTGAAAAAAGAAGCTTTACGAAGATAGAGTCGTACAGTTTGTATAGGTTAGTTTTCACGAAGAAAACATAAAATTTATTTTTTGGTATGAAGAAAACATAAAACTGCGTTCTCTGTTTTCCTAATTATTTCAGAGACAAGAAGATATATGAAATTATGAAAAATTTATTCCACATTTATCCATTAACTATAAATACAATTGAAGTAAAACTATCCATTCCCCAACTTCCACTAGTAATTGTTCTTCTATTGCATTTTCAGCGAAATTATGCCAAAAGTATCGAAATTAAAAAGAAATAAAAAGATATAAAATTTCAATTTCAATTTTTCTTGCCTTCGTCACCGCCTTCTTCCAAGTACTCTTTCTTCCTCCTCTCAGCACTAGACAACAAACAAATGAGAAGAAAACACGTGGCGTAGACACCGTGCACCTTCCAGTTCGTCTTCGGTGGCTGACGAAGCACCACCCTATGAAACACCGCCACGTAATAATGCAACCCCACCGCAAAGCCCACGAACGTCTGGGCCAGACCCAACACCTTGAGGCCCAAACCACAATCCGTCGAGAAGACGAGGACGAGGTACATGAGAAGCAGCAAGAGGTAGAAGACGTAGCCTAGCGTCTGCAGGATCTGCAAGCAGACGTACGTCGAGCTCGATGTTGCGTAGAGGAACTTGAGCGGCTCGATGCCGGTGACGAGCGAGGAGAGACAGAGGATCGAGAAGTAGATGGAGAGGTAGATTTGGATGAAGATGAGGATTTTCTGGAGGGAGAAGTAGGCTTTGAATCGGTTGAAAATGAGGGAGACTAGGAGGAGAGGGACGAGGATGAAGACGAAGGAGACCACGGAGGCGATGGTGGGTGCGTATTTGTTTCCGAAGTAGGGCTTGAAGTTTCTGGTGATCTCTTTGTTGGCTTTGTTGATGTAGTTTTTGGATTGTGTTGAGATTCGCTCCAGGTCTGGGATTAGTGATCTTTGGAATCTCGTCGGGAGATCTCTGAATTCGCTGACGAAATCGTCGTCTTCCTCGTCGTCTAGCCAGAAAGGCTTGATTTGTTTCTCGGCTGGTTTCGGTTTGGTCACGGGTTTTGTGGAGGGTGTTTTCTTCTTCTCTATAGGAGGAGGAGAAAGTTTGGAGCTTGGAGGTTTTGTGGTGGTGGTTTTGTTCTTGGATGAGCTTGATTTGGACAGATCTGCTGATTTCTTGATCGGAGAAGTTGTGGAATTTGAGGGTTTTGTTCCGGAATTGAGCTTCTTGAGCTCTGAGCTGGTCTTGGTCGTGTTAGAAGAAGATTTGGTGGAGTTTAGTTTCTGAGACATACCTGTAGAGGTCTTGGCGAGTTTAGTTTGGTTCTTGGTGGAAGAAGAGATCGGTTTAATGAGCTTGGTTTGATTCTTCTTAGTAGTACTTGATGTTGGTGATGATGATGAAACAGAGCCAGTGAGTTCCTTCTTCTTAGGAGGAGGAGGGTTGGTTTCATTTTCATCATCATCACCAATTTCCAGATCTTTAACCAACAATCTTCTCGCCCGGAAATGAGGATCTAACGGTTGTGTTTGCACCTCAGTTTCTGATGAAGCAAAACTGAAAGAGAAAGAAGAACAAGAGAAGAGGAAGAGAATGAAATAGAGAAACAGAAGCACTTTTCTAAAACACAAGTACTTGAGTGGAGACATGATTTTGCTCTGAAACCTAGGAATCGTCTCACACTGTTGAGACAGATCTTGCGAAGAGAGATCACAAGCTTGTCAATATATAGGAAAGAGAGAGAGAGAGAGAGAGAGAGGCATTAGTGACAGTGTGCATAGGTGTATATATACGAGCGTTTGTGTGTGGTGAAGTGTGAACGAGAGAGAGAAGATGGAGACCAGAGAATTTACTTAATTTCAGTCGTATTGATAATATCAATGTACATCACTGTTTAACCTCACCGTCATGTTGCAGATTCTCTGCTACTTGTCTAAATTTTTATATGATTCATCAATAACATTTGTATATATGTAACAAGTTAACAAAAAAAACGAAATCTGGATATGTATTTATTGTATGTAGGTGTGAGTAAAAACAATTACAATCATTTGCAAAGTCTAAAACTTGAACAGTCGCTTTCTTATAAATATAGAAGAACAAACATTTTTTCAAATATAACCAGATATTTATACACTTTTATGCATAAACAAAAGGTATTTAATCGTAACTACTCCTACAACTCCTGTCTGGTTTGTGGCTTCTACATCTTTCCACTTATAATATACTTTTATAGTTTGGTTTCTAGATTAATATCATGTCTAATTTTGATATGTGCAGCTCTCGTATAAATTATGTGTTGAAGAAATACATAGATCCGATATAAATTGATGGAATATTAGTCAGATCATTAGAAAGGGACTCTATTTAACGAGATTCTATTTATTATCTAGCTAATTATTTAGAACAAAAATAACGATAATTACATAGTACTACTTTATAACAAATCAAAACGAATGTAAGCTACTCATAAATACGTACATGAAAAGGAAATAAAGAAAAGGATAAGAATTTAATGCAAAAGGTGAGAAAGTTAAGATCAGTCACATGGAGGACCAAAAACGACACCTTTTCTACGTGTTCTTTCTCAACGCGCTTTCCTTTGGTTTTTGGTTTTTGGTTTTTGCTCATGTGCTTAGCAAATCAAAATAAAATAAAACTGTGTCCTCCTCATTAATTATAAGTTTTTTTATAACTAACTAGTTGCAAGTTCGTTAATAATTTGACTGTAAGTTTGTAAGCTATAGACTCCTTCAGTGTTAATTTATTTCACGTTAATCATTCAATTAACTGAATCTTAACAATTACTTGAGTGTAGAGATAATCACATGGTATGTTTTCTTATGTTTGGTTTTATTTTAAACTCAAGCTAAAGATTAAGTAACATGTTTGAAAATAGATTCCATTTGAATATTCAACATTTGTTACCCACCATAATGGTTTAACGTACATTGGATGCGAAGTTAATAGGAAAACATATTGAAATTCCTATCTAGCTGTTCAATACAATAAAAAAAAACGCATGATGCTAAAAATTCCAAACTTCAGGATATTAATACACACCTATGACAAAACACGGCTTTAGTAAAGAACTAAAAAACATTTGTGAAAATATTGCTGTCTTTTTGTTTGGACACATAACACCAGTGTTTGGGCACATAACACTTACTCGTCGTAAGTCAATGACCAACGACTTTTGACTCCACTACGCTTTGAGTCTTTGACTAGTTACTTTAGTAAAAAGTGAAAGTCATGAGAACATCCATAAAACTATAAAAGTGTGGAAAAACTGTCAAATTCAAACATTGCAGGAGTTTTTTAAACACAGATTTCAATAGATCCAGTAAAACTATACAACAAAAGTAATTAATCGATAGGTAAAGCAGTTTTTATATAAAAGGTAATAATATCAACCAAAAACCTATAAAAGAATCATACTATTAGCAAAAATAATAATTGCGTGGTTGACCAATGACTTTGATATAGAATATGGTGTGTACCAAAACTCAGGAATAAATCCCGAAATGTGAATGTGGACTTCTGATTTTGACGGGATTGGTTAATAATTGACATTTTTTTGGCACACTCTATTAATGTAACCTGTAATAATGTAATACGCATAAATACTTAACATACACTAACAGTTAGGTCCTGTACAGTTTGATATCCTTTCATTAAATAAACTGTTCATCTGCTTGACATAAATGTTTTTGTCCGCCAAAATCGCTGGATCCTATGTAAAATAGTGGCATAAATCCTGAAATATCTATAAGCATAAAGTTGCTAAAGGGAAAATACTTTTTTTTTGTCATTTTTAAAAGAGTGAGAAGCAGCATGTATAATCATGACCGGAACTGAAATGGGCTTATTTTGGGCCCATTTGTAAGAGCACATTCGAAAGTCGAAACCATAAATAAAACAGTCCAATCATAACAAATTTTCATAGGCACGATTGCTAAATTTGCCAAACAAAACAATAGCAAAAGATCCACATTACAACAAGTTTTCATAACGCAGAACAGATTACGACAATAATATAAACCCATTGCTAAGTTTGCCACACGAAACGATAACAAAAGATCCACATTGATTTTGAAAAATATTTCATATAGTAAATAAAAATAAGTAATGTTTTAATTGCCAAATCAATAAAAAAAACTTGAGTGTTCAACTTACATTAGTATGAAAACAAGTTAAACATGGTACCTATACTAACGATCAAAAGACTGGATACCATATTATGTTAGTCTTCAAAACTATGTAATCTGAACACTTAAACTTCTTTTATTAATCTGGAAATTTTTATTAAAAAAATATGCCATTTGAAACCGATAGTTGATTTGTAATAGATATACAAGTAATGTTTAATTGCCAAATCAATAAAAAAAACTTAAGTGTTCAAGTTACATTGGTGTGAAAACAGGTTGAACATGGTACCTACTAACGATCAAAAGACTGGATACCACATTCTGTTAGTTTTCAAAACTATGTAATGTGAACACTTAAAACTTCTTTTCTTAATTTGGATTAAAAAATAAATAAATATATGATTAAGTAACATGTTTGAAAATAGTTGATTGAGTTTAAAATATATATATGCCATTTGAAAACTATAGTTGATTGGTAAGAGATATATAAGTAATGTTTAATTGCCAAATTTATACACTGTTATTATTTTTCAGAATAACGTAAGTTGAAATGTTCTTTAATTAATTTGGAAGTTTTTGAAAATATTGTAAAATTAGTGTTTCTTTTTGGTTTTTTAAACTCAAAAGTGCACATTAAAAAAGAATGTACAAAATTGCATGAGGTTTGAAGAGAAACCAAAAAGGGAGAATATGAAACTAGACACAACGAGGAAGACAAACACTAATTGAGATAGCTTTCGAGGAAAAACCTAGAAACTGAGACTTGGAGAACACAACGACAAGTACTAAAACGAAACCAACTCGTAAAGCAAGGAAACGAAATGGTGAGGAAACACAAACTAAGTGAAATTTGAGTAACATGGAAAATCATACCTTGGAATAATAGTGTCGACGGGAACTTGGGACTCTTAGAGATCCAACAAAACAAAACACTAATCTTATCTATATATGTCTGAATCTGGTCGTTTTTGGATAAGAAAGCATAGAGAGAGATGGAGAGAGAGAGAGAGAGATGTATGAGGATAAAACATGTGATCAAATTTTGTTACTAGAAAAATGTAAGAGAGAAGAGAGAACGTTGGTCTTGTGAATATATATATGTAGAGGCTGTGTTTTGAATTTCACGCTTTCTTACCGTTGTGGAATACTGTATAACGGGTATATATCACAAAAAGTGTTACGGAGTTGCTTCTTCCTAGACAAGAATGATGTAGTGACACTTGGCATAGTTAACTATTACGGTTGTATCAAATCAATCATGTATAGTGCAGTTAAATTTGAAATGATCACAACTGTAATCCACATCAAATAAGATTTTATTTCGATGTTTGATATGGACTTTCGTGAATTCAATTCCTAATGCATTTTATTAGATTTCTTACGATATGACTTCAAATTTACCCGTAAAAGAATTATTTATATAAAATGAATAAAGAGTGGGAAAAAAAAGAACTGAATGCTTAATTAATTTTGTCCAAAACTCTATTCCACAATGTTCACGGACTCATCAGCTCCAGCAATGGACCCGGATCTACCCGAATCCGAAACCCGACCCTTACTAAATCCCTCCTCCGCTGATCCCACCGCCACTACCGATTCCGGCACCGTACATACCCCCACGGCAGAGGAAGCTAGACCCGAAGCGACGACATTCGAATCAGCCGCATCGCAAGTCACAGCCGCCGCCGATCTACCACCGGAACGATTCGATTCGCTCGACGAGTTGACTCACGACCTCGGCTCTCTCCACGAGCTATCTACCCGCGGCTCATGGCAAGCGATCCTCGAGAAAATATCCCAAGCGAGAGCACTCTTCCTCCTCACCAAGCCTCACGAGCATCTCACCTATCTCACTTACCAAGTCATGGCTCTCGCGAAGCTACGCCGCTCCGATGAAGCTGCTCACGAGCTTAATTCCTTGCACGATTTCGACGGCACGCATTACAGGTACGAATCGTTCCCTGAGATCTACCCAAATCGGAAAGGATCCATGGTCCCTTTCTCTCTTCGGTGGCTCTACGCTCTGATCCCGACTAAGCTCGGTAATCGCCAGGAAGGTCTCGATCGATTATACACTCTGCTCGATTTCGTCCGCGATCGAATCAAAGAGAAGGAATCACAGAATTTAGATCGATCTATAGAATTGTGGAAGAAAAGAGAGACATTTGTGATGAATTGCTTGCTAGGGTTTCATCTAGGTCACAAGGAATTTGGGATATCTCTGGAATTGATGAAGGAATTGATAAACCGTGATCCATCAGACCCGGTTCTGATTTCGAAACTAGGATCTGTGCAAATGCAGTTTGGTGACATACAAGGAGCAAAAGCCACGTTTAACCGAGTGGAGAAGATGTTGAACGAAGGAAAGAGCGATGCTTTACTGAATGAAACGCAGTTCAAGAATCTTGTTGGTAGGAATAAGGCTTTGGTTCACGTTGTGGCGAAGGACTACGTTGCTGCTGTGAGAGAGTACGAGGAATGCATTGAGAGAGATAATTCGGATGCGGTCGCGGTCAACAACAAGGCTCTCTGTTTGATGTATTTGAGAGATCTATCGGATGCGATCAAAGTGATGGAGAATGCGTTGGAGAGAGTGCCGACCGCAGCTTTGAACGAGAGCTTGGTGGGGAATTTGTGTAGTATGTATGAGCTGGCTTATGTTAAGCACACAGATGTCAAGCGGACGTTGAACAATTGGATTGCGCGTGTTGCTCCTGATGACTTCGATTCGTCTTGTACCAGAATTTGAGGTACTGTATACAGAATGTTCTTCCATTCTTGAAGTTTCGTTTTTTTAGGCCTTTGACATGTCAAAGATGTCAAAGAAGTGATTGGTATGTTTAGGTAGATAAGAGAAACGATGATCTATGTGAATCACCTAAAGTTTGAACCTTTCTCATGCGCTGTGCATTCAAAGGTCTGTTGTCTAATTGATCGTTTCGGATTTTAAATTGCAGGTTTTCAGCTAAGCAAAGGTGATTAACCAGAGACTCTCGGTCTTCTTTGATGAAACAGATCAATGATCTTAATGCTTGCTGAGTTTGGCCTGATACGAGTCTCTGTTGATGCGAGTACCGAGTGCAGATTTGATGTAGTTTCTATTGTAAGCTAGCAAATGGGGGTTGCCTCAAACACTCGGCAACTTTCTTGCATTCGGTTTCTTCATACTCATCTTCTTCCAACGGTTTTTGTTACACATACACTGTTAATCAAATGAAGAGCGTTTGTTATTTCAGCTCTTCGTTTACAAAGAGATTGTGTGGGTGATCGAGAGTATTTAAAGCAATGTATTTTGAGTGTTTTGAGTTTGTACTATTTGTTACCAAATTACCAGGGTCAATACTTTAGTCTTTAGTTAACTTTTTGAGAGAGATTTTCCCTTTCAGCTTTTCTTGACCTCTTTTGTCCATTTTCCTACAATTGAAGTTTCCATGTCTTATGAAAATTAATTCAACACGATATGGAATCAATTCTCTTATGATACGAATCTACCAACGAACTCTTTCACAACGATCCTTGTTATTTTAATTGGTGTTAGATAAAGGAAAAGTAAAGATTCTTACGTACCCTACACAGCAAAATTTTCTCCATGAAGCTAAATAAACCCTCCAACATGAACCTGCAGCTAACTTGTATCACAAACAAAGAAAACCACAGTATATACACACACACTTAGGATCTACAAATCTATCAACAAACAAAAACCAGAAAAACATGGAAATCCAAACGTTTCCCAACGAAATCGTCTTCTTCGATCTAGAAACAACCGTACCAAACAAACCGGGACAGCATTTCAACATCCTAGAGTTCGGTGCGATCATCGTATGTCCAAGAAAACTTGAGGAGCTCTCAAGCTTCACAACGCTTATACAACCCAAAGACTTGTCGGTGGTCTCGCTAAGGTCGTCTAGGTCAGATGGGATCACGAGAGCTAAGGTCAAGGACGCACCAAGTTTCGAAGACGTGGCTGAGAAGATCTATGGCTTGTTGAACGGTCGGATTTGGGCAGGTCATAACATTAGGAGATTCGATTGCGTTAGGATCAAAGAAGCTTTTGCTGAGATCGGTAAGGCTGCGCCTGAACCCTCAGGGATCATTGATTCTTTGGTGTTATTAAGCAACAAGTTTGGCAAAAGAGCTGGTGACATGAAGGTACCATTTCCAAGGATCTGATTAAGACACAATGTATATTGAAGGTCTTGTATATTTTTAATATTTATAATTAACAAGCTTAATGTGGATTATGTTGTAGATGGCGAGTTTGGCTGCCTATTTTGGACTTGGAGTGCAAAAGCACAGGTAACTAAAATTTGTGTTTGTGTATAAGCTAATTGTACGTTTTTAACCATTTCTTCATAAACAAAAAAATAATGACAATTTCTTTATAAATACACACACATATGTCTATATAATTGCAGGAGTCTCGATGATGTTCGGATGAACTTAGAGGTCCTCAAGCATTGTGCAACCGTGCTTTTCTTGGTATGTCGGTCGTCTTGTCATTATTTCTTTACTTTTTTTTTTTGTTTTCTTATATATATTTCTTTCTTTTTTTCATTATTTCAAACATCGTATATATTTATACAGGAATCTACACTTCCCAATCAATTGGAAGGAAAATGGCAAAGCTCTTCAAAGATCATGACAAGAAGTCGAAGTAATTACCAAATAGCCCAAAGGACAATGCCTTACTCGACGGGTAGTCTTGGGAAGGTATAATAGTTTTCTTCCTCTCCAAATTATAACGAATTTAAATAAAGGTCTTCTTTCTTAGTTTTATTTATAGGTTCTTGTTTTAAACTAATACAGATGACACAGAATGTGAAGAATCTCTTAAGCAAGGCTCAAGGCAATCAAACTCTCCAAAGCTTGATTAAACATTCTCATTCTTTGCTGAGATGATTAATGCATCCCTCGTGATTTTTTTTTTCCCGGAATATGAATTGAATTGTATATACTGCATATTTGTATTTGCCTTCATTGACTATATTAGTTTATTATCAAAACTAATAAAACAAACTATTGTATGATAATATTTTTTTTGTTAAAATAATATCTTTTTTTTTTGTCAAAGACGTAAAATAATATCTTCATAATACTATACGAGAAACTTTGTGGTTCCTACACAGATCAACATCATCTATTTAAAATGATTAAAGAGTGGAAATAAGAAGAAGAAAGTGAAGTAAAGCGAAATATGTGGCGTGGAGAAATATAGAAAGAAGGTTTTTTACAAAAGGAGGACAAATTATCAATTTAAAAACGTACGTATGGCCACAACCATAGCTATCAAGCTTTTTACAAAGCTATTCAAAGATATATATGTCCAAAATACATTTTCATAGTTTCTCCATCATCCATTAAAATAAAACTAAATAATTTTTTAAATGCACTATTTAAATATTCTTATCGATTAAAAGACAATATTTTTATTTATTTTACATTGATAAATCAACAACTGACACAAAGTCGGCGGTCAAATATTAATACAATTTTTTAACCGAAAATTAACGGTTTAAATTTAAAAAGATACAAACTTCATAATTACTTGCAAAAAGTTTAACGAATACGATCGTAAAACAAAAAGACACTTAAACAAACAATGCATTTAAAACCGACAAAAAACAATTTTTATTAATCAATAAAATGATTATTGACACAGAGTCGGCGATCAAAATTTACATAATTCCATCACTGAAAATCGGTGATCTAAACAGATACAAACTTCATAACTACTTGCAAACAGTTTAACGAATACAATCTCGAAATCAAAACCGACAAAAGAAAAATAAATAAACATTTTAGAAAATAATATAAACCATTAAGCTGCTAACTATATTGAATCCCAACAATCGATTTTGAATTGATAAATTTATGCATTAATAAATCCAAAAATTGGAGATCTAAAAGTGGTAATATGAGCTCTAGAATCAAATCACACTTGTTAAATTTGACTATAAAACATCATTTGTTATGTATCCACACCTATAATCGTTACTCATAATCCGCTAAAGACATTCACCTCGAAAGCATCGGAATTTTTGAAAATTATATATTCATAGTATGAATTAATTATAGAACTGTACGATCCACCCAGTATTTCTGAAAAATTACAGAGAAAACGTCACGAAACGGAAAAATATAATAATAGCACAAAACGTTTACTACAAAACTGATTTGTGACATATGTACGATTCTCGCATCGTAATTCACGCGTCAAAGCAAGTTAATAAGATTCCATGGAACCCACCTTAACGGAGACAAAAAAAGTCTTCAAACGGTCGTAGGTTGCTTTCAAACGACCGTTAAAAGAATCGTTAACTATTTCACGCGCTAACATTTGAACGTGATACCTACCTTGACCACGTGGCAGTTAAATACGGTGCGTGTTATCCACTCCCGGCCTCCATAAGTGATGAATCACCGAACTGTAACGGAAACAACGGTCCCATCTGTGACGAAACACTGTCAGTTTCACTGAGTAAGAGTAACGGAAGTAACTAACGCACGCCCCCACATTCAACCAAAAAATGGGACCCACACCCCAAAAAGGCGACAAAACTTTGCTAATTACAAAACGACGCCACGTGTATGGGACCAGGATTCCGACGTGTCACACTTTTTTCTCTTAACGCCTCTCACGTATGAGACCCACACGTGTGGCTCACTGTACTCAAACCATCACGAGCTCACATGCATTGGGTAAGAGGGACCACACACCACTCAAACTACGCCACGTGTCTCTCTCCCTTGCTCTTTTTCCCTATATATACTACGTTGATTAGGGAAGCACAAAACTCACCCAAAGCGATCAAACCAAACCGAGAAATAAATTTATTATTACCATTCTCTGCAAGTTTTGTCGGGAAAAATGTTCATCGAGAGCTTCAAAGTTGAGAGTCCGAACGTGAAGTACACAGAGAATGAGATTCATTCAGTGTACGATTACGAGACGACGGAGGTTGTTCATGAGAACATCGACGGTGCTTACCAATGGATTGTCAAGCCAAAGACCGTCAAATACGATTTCAAAACAGATACTCGTGTCCCCAAATTAGGGTAAAGAATTTATCAAATTCTTCTAAAAAGTTTTGATTTTTAATTCGATTCCTCGATCTCTCCGTCGAAAAGTTATATGGGTTGGTTTTAGATTCCCAAAAAATTTCACATTTGACGATTCGTTTTTTTGTTCTGTTCTTAAAAGGGTCATGCTTGTGGGTTGGGGAGGAAACAATGGATCAACTCTCACCGCCGGTGTGATTGCGAACAAAGAGTGAGTCTTTTTGATCGAATCCGTCAAATGAAATTTTGGTTTTTGTCGGAGAATTAATGATTAAAACAAAAATAAACAGAGGAATCTCGTGGGCAACGAAGGACAAGGTGCAACAAGCGAATTACTTCGGGTCATTAACTCAAGCATCATCGATTCGGGTCGGATCCTACAACGGTGAAGAGATCTACGCTCCTTTCAAGAGTCTTGTTCCAATGGTTGTTTTTTTTTTCAAAAAAAAAAATATAATAAAAAAACAAAAATCTAGACAGTTTTTGTTAATTTGTGGACTATTGTTTGGTAACAGGTGAGTCCGGATGATGTTGTGTTTGGAGGATGGGACATAAGTGATATGAATTTAGCAGACGCCATGGGAAGAGCCAGGGTTCTTGATATTGATTTGCAGAAACAGCTCAGGCCTCACATGGAGAACATTGTGCCACTCCCTGGGATCTTTGATCCTGATTTCGTCGCTGCCAATCAAGGGTCACGTGCTAACAACGTCATCAAAGGTACCAAGAAGGAACAAGTCGACCACATCATCAAGGACATGAGGTAATAATCATAATTGTCATTAAAACAGAGTTTTTTTTATTGAAACTCCTCTGTTTCTTCTTAATCTTTGTGTGTGATGCTGAATGAATCTTAGGGAGTTTAAGGAGAAGAATAAGGTGGATAAGGTTGTGGTTCTGTGGACGGCTAACACAGAGCGTTACAGCAATGTGGTGGTGGGGCTAAACGACACAATGGAGAATCTCATGACATCTGTGGATAGGGATGAGTCAGAGATCTCTCCTTCAACGCTTTATGCTATTGCATGTGTTCTTGAAGGCATCCCCTTCATCAATGGAAGCCCTCAAAACACTTTTGTTCCAGGTCTTATTGATTTGGCGATCAAGAACAATGTTTTGATCGGTGGAGATGATTTCAAGAGTGGTCAAACCAAGATGAAATCTGTCTTGGTTGATTTCCTTGTTGGTGCAGGAATCAAGGTTTGTTTTAACTTGTGTATCAAGTCACCTTTCTTGTTACTGAAGAAACCTGTCAAAAGATTGATTGTGTGTTTTTTGTTAAACAGCCTACTTCAATTGTGAGCTACAACCACTTGGGGAACAACGATGGCATGAATCTTTCAGCTCCACAGACATTCCGTTCTAAGGAGATCTCTAAAAGCAATGTCGTGGACGATATGGTTGCTAGCAACGGTATCCTCTTCGAGCCTGGGGAACACCCTGACCATGTTGTTGTCATCAAGGTAAAGCTAGAAACCGAACAGACACTCAAAAGCTTTTTTACCCATTGATCTAAAATGTATGTGTTTGTTTTTGTAGTATGTGCCGTATGTTGCGGATAGCAAGCGAGCAATGGACGAGTATACATCAGAGATATTCATGGGAGGGAAGAACACAATTGTGATGCACAATACCTGTGAAGACTCTCTCTTAGCTGCTCCGATCATCTTGGATCTTGTTCTCCTCGCGGAACTCAGCACCAGGATCCAGTTCAAATCCGAGGCAGAGGTTCGTGATGAGTTCACAAAGCCGTTTATTTACTCAGGTCTTTCATGTTTTCATGAACCATTTTTTTGTTTCTTTTGGCAGGGGAAGTTTCATTCTTTCCATCCTGTGGCCACCATACTCAGCTACCTCACAAAGGCACCGCTTGTGCCGCCGGGAACGCCGGTGGTTAATGCGCTGTCGAAGCAGCGGGCGATGCTGGAGAACATTCTTAGGGCTTGTGTTGGGCTTGCGCCGGAAAACAACATGATCATGGAATACAAGTGAACATGAAGCATTTAAGAATCTTTAATTAGCTCATAATATGAGACTTGTGCACCTTTGTTTGGGTTTTTGTGTTATATATCTGTTAAATTAAGAATGCTTGTGTTTTCAGAGGTCAAAGAGCTTTTGGTTTGATCTTTGTAGGGTGTGAAGTAACTTGTGTTTGTGGCAATCGGTTGGACCATCATTTCATAACCTCTTTATGATTCGGTTTCATGTGTGTAAACAGCTTATATTTTAAAAAATTAAATCATGGTCTCGGTCTAATGAAATTTTTCAATTTTAGTTCTATATCATCATTATTTTATTGTAGTTGGGAAATTTCAATCAAGTTATGTAGTAAATGGAAATAAAAAAATTTCGAAACGTATTGGTATTTTTACTTTATATATTCGTATTTTCAAAGTGTATAATGTGGACCAGTTCTTGATTAAAAAAACAATCATAATCAAAGAGAGAGTTTAAATATTTACATTCCATCATGGCATCATCAGTGACCTCAGTGAGTTCTTATTAGTATTAAAGAAAAAAATTATAGAGTACCAAGTGAATCTAGTTATTTCCCTGTGATTATATAATTGTTGACAATTAAACTAACCAGTAATTAGTAAGTAAGACAAAATGTGATGACTCCTGAAACTCCAACAACTAAGCCTCGAAGTTTGGAGTTCAGAAGACGAGTGAAGAAAAAAACAAGATTATCTAAATAAACTATAGACTAATTATAAACCTAATCCTATCTATAAGCTACTGATAACGATCCATTTCCATAAAGCCATTAATATTTAACATCTTCTAAACTTCAATTATTGAGCAACTAGCTATAGATAACTTTCTTGTTTTGTTTAAAGTGTCTTGTTAAAGCTATTTATGTGTCGAAATAAACAGCGTTTTATATCGTCAATAACTTTAGTTTAACTTATCAAAATAAACCTAATTTACCCATAACTCAAAATTAAATTTTAAAATATGGAAATCAAACTAAAGAATTATTTGCTTTGGTAAAATTGAAGAATTACTTTTTCAAAATAGATTAAATTGGTTACCATCACTAAGCTTTCATCATCGGGAGTGACGTGCATTCGCATTAGTTTACTCTACACCTCATTATTAATTATCAGACGCTTTCATCGTCACGAGACAGTGACTTCCATTTTAATTCCACTATTTAGACCTTTTTTTCCTAGATTTCTACCAATGATTTCTGGACAAAACTATTCACACTGTTATTTTTCATGTACAAGCCCATCAAGTACGGCAAACGATGTGACTTTTTATCAATATATAACTTAATTACCGTGAGTTGCATATGGTGTTGAGATTTCTTTGATCATATTAAAAAGAGGTTCGTGGTGCGCTTACTTCAACCTTCACTAGTCCATTAAAAATACAAAAATGAATAGCAAAAGCACATCCTTTAACGAAATAAACCCAAATTTATAAAGATATATACAAATTAAGTAGTGTGAAACTAAATTAATACTATGCAGGACATGAAAGGGTGGTTTCACTTCAGTTTTTTTGGATTTGATTTTTACATAATGATAGTAATTAATATATAACAGCAACAATCTCAAGTTACACCACATACAAACTGAATAGTAAGAGCTAATTAATCAGTTTGGTGGTGATAGCACGACGCTGTTTCGGGTTTTGCCTTCATCGTGCTCCATTTGCTGTTCTCTGCATTCCACGCTACAAAACGCTGCATCTCCTCTACAATTTATAAATATAAGGACAAAACAAATCTCGTCACTCAATGTTTTCAGTAAGGAAATCGATTTTACCAATAAAAAAATCGTCATCAGATTAAGCACTTCTCTTTTTATTGTAGACTTGTAGTGTATGTATATATGTAAGTAGTTAGAGGTTTTAAATCTTAAAAAGAAATTAAGAAAGGAGTAGTTAAACATACTTGTACATGTAAATATCACGACCCGGAGCTAAACGGCTTTTGCAAAAGCCACAGTTTCCAAGAAAAGACGACGACGACAACGATGATCTCCTGTCGTCTTTTCTCTTGCTCCGGTGATCTCCCGGGGAAAACATCGCCAAGAACCGCTGATCGTCGTCTACCACCGCCATGGCAACGTCGGAATCTTGGCCGGCGGTCTGATCATCATGAACCTCTACAGTGATCCTCGTTGCGCTAGCTGTTCTCTGCATTTGTGACCGTCGTCGATTCCCAATCAACATACTAACGTTTTGTAGAATCCTTACGAATAAAGAAAAAGAAAACTTTTTTTGTTCTCTGTCTAATTAGATTGTTGCTGGGGAGGGGGAAATTGTTTGCTACCATGCCACTCCATTTAAATACACACGCAATCATACTGTGTATGATCAATAATTGTAATTTATTCATGCCTACGTATTAACTCCTAATTAATGTTTATTTTTATATGCTATAGTTAAAGATTCAATTATTTATTCTTAGGTCTTTATTGGTAGGCCAATAATTTCAGATATTTGGTCTGTGGACACCAAACAATATCGCTCCATAGTGATTGTTTTTATTTTTCAACAATAAGAAACTAAAACTATTAGTAGTCCTCGATTTTTTTTTTTTCATTTCCTACATAAAGTTTTCTTAATTACGAGTTTTGGAACTACAGTTGACCATATTTATCTCTGATAATGATATCCGATCCATCCTTAGACTCTTATTAATCACTTTCACAAAATATCTTTGTATATTAAATAATAGTCTCGTTATTATATTCATATTGGGGATTAAAAGCATTCTTAAGTCCATCACTGTTATTGCCACTACTTTTCAGTTACTGTCCATTACAATAACTTGAGACATTTATTGACATGTTAATGTTAGTATGGCCTTGGGCCTAACAACATGTCAATGGACCAATGGCTTCGTAGGATTCATGCATATTTCCCTCCACAGTCCATATCAATATCATATTTATATGACTGTTTTGGATCTCCATACTTTATTGTCCCCTCTTCGCATTTTTAGAAATAAATGAAAAGAAAATTTAAGTGGGATGTTCTTAGTTTAATACTATGTCTAAGTGCTAGACAAGAAAGTAGACCAGATTCATGAATGGCACAAAATTTTCAAAATAGAAGCCCAGGTTTCAAGGAGCCGTTAGTCAGTAAATAAACGATTCTCCCATACCAATGACTCACTCTATTGTTTTTTACAATTTTGACAACCAGAAAACCAAATCAAAACCAGTATGGTTTTAGACTTTGAGATTGACTTGGTTTTCTCTCCCTCTCTTTCCCTGCTCAGTCTGTACACAAAGATAACCAGATTAAAAAAGGTAACGAGCTTCACCCTAGTCTTGTTTTTAAGTAACTAAAGAATACAATTACCGAAGTTCATAAATGTATAGAAAACAAAAGAAATTCATAAGTCTGTACTCTGTAGCTTTTACGTTCATATTCAAATTAAAAAAGAGATAAAGAGAGAGAGAAAACTTGGATTTTCTCGTCACAACTTTAACTTTTTTTTCTTTCTCTCTAGCTCAGCTTTTGGAGTAATGATCTCATATCGGAATGAACTAAAATCTCTGCATCATTTTCCAGTAATAATAATAATAATTACTTTCTTTTTCTTCTCGCAAAACGATGCAACCAAGACAAAACTTCTTCATACCCACTCTCTGTTCCTTCTCTCTCACCATTTCTGCAAAATCTTATTTTTTCTTTCTCAGATTTGTCTGACCGAAGCTCCTTTTCCAGGTTTCTCCTTCAATAAACCATTTTGGATTCTTCCCTTCTATTTTTTGCTTCATTAAGTGATTCCCCAACTACCTTCATTAAGCGTGCTGTTGAAAGCTACTGCTCACTCTGTTTACTGGAAAAAAACAAAACCTCAAAACATGACTTCCTTTTTGTTCACTCACATGACTTCTTTTAAGAACTGTTCTGTTTCGTAACTACTCTGAGAGATTTCCGGGTTGACCAAAATCCAAAGTTTCGATTTTTATTTCCTTTTTTACAATTTTTGAAGAAATGGGTCATTCGATTTTGGAGAAAATGGGATGTTCCAACTCCAAAGCATCGATGAACAAGAAGAACGAGCCGCTTCATCTATGTAAAGAAAGGAAGAGATTTGTCAAACAAGCCATGGATGCGAGATGTGCTCTAGCCGCCGCACACGTGTCATACACCCGTTCTCTCCGTAACATCGGAGCTCGTCTCCGTCAATACGCAGAGGCGGAGACGGTGCCTGAGGATTCATCTCCGTCGCTAACCGCCACAGAGCCTGAAAAGTCCCCTTCTCACGACTCGGTTGACTCGCCGCTGAGTCACAACTCGACTCCTAACCCTAACCCTAAACCCATTTTGAATGTAAGCTACATGAAGACGGAGACTGGTAATTCGACAGTGACGTTCACGATTAATCCCATGAGCGACGGTGAAGACGATTTGGAAGAGACAATGCCGGTGTCATCTCCTCCTCCTCCGCCGCGTCCTCGCCGGCCAGAGACGTCTTCTTGGGACTATTTCGACACTAGTGATGACTTTAGATTTGTTGAGAGTGATTGTGACGCATCAGTTATAGGATTAGATAAGTGTAGACAAGGGAATGCTGCGAAATGTAGGTCAGAACAGAGGAAACAGAGCTGTGAAGATGAAGAAGCTGGAAATGGTGAAAGAGAAGATCCGTCAGAGTTTATCACACACAGAGCTAAAGACTTTGTGTCGAGCATGAAAGATATAGAACATAAGTTCTTTAGAGCTTCAGAGTCCGGAAAAGAAGTTTCAAGGATGCTCGAAGCTAACAAAATCAGAGTCGGATTCGCTGATATGACAGGTCTGAGGTCTGTTTTGTTTCATAGTGAAAATTTGATCATTATCTGAAAATTGAAACAAAGCTTGATTCTTTGAGTGTGTTTTGTTTTGTTTACAGGAAAGGGAAGTTCAATAGCGTTTTTTGCAGCTCTTAAGCGAGCTTGTTGTAGAGAGAAGAGTTATTCACCACTTTCTTCTCAAGGTTTGTATTTTAAATTCTGAAAGATTTGTATCATTATCTGTTCTAGTGACTGAATTAAGCTTTTAATGTAGAGCCATTGAGTCACCAAGTTACTAAAGTGATTGTGTGGAAGAGAACATCGTCTTCAAGATCCTCAACTTCTAGACATCCATTGATCCAAACATCAAAAGAAGATCATGACGACGAGAGCGGAAGTGATTTCATGGAAGAGTTTTGTATGATCTCAGGAAGTCACTCTTCTTCGCTTGATCGATTATACGCTTGGGAGAGAAAACTCTATGATGAAGTCAAGGTTAGGTCATGAGACTCATGACTCTATTATGTAATATCATGTTGTGTGTGCTCAGTGAAGTTGACATTTTCGTTTGTATCTGCAGGCGAGTGAGATGATTAGGAAAGAGTATGATCGAAAATGCGAGCTGTTAAGGTACCAATTCGCAAAGGACTACAGTGCTAAATCAATGGATAAGACAAGAGCAGCTGCTAAAGATCTTCATTCAAGAATCAGAGTGGCGATTCAGTCCGTTGATTCGATATCAAAGCGGATTGAGAGAATCAGAGACGAAGAGCTCCAGCCTCAGCTCTTGGAGTTTCTTCAAGGGTACTAATAAATAAAAAGTCTCACACTTTTCTACTAAGACTCGCTCATTGACTTGATCTTGATCTCTTTAGGTTGATAAGAATGTGGAAAGCAATGCTTGAATGTCATCATTCACAGTACATAACGATTTCGCTGGCTTACCATTGTCGAAACTCTACCAAAACCGCGCCGGAAAACGCTCTCCGGCGACGGATTTCGTCGGAGCTTCTAGAAGAAACAGAGTGTTTTGGTCTGAGCTTTGCGGATTTGGTCAACAGTATGGCTACTTACGTGGAAGCTCTCAACGGTTGGCTTCACAACTGTGTTCTGCTTCCTCAAGAGCGTTCCGCAAGAAACCGAAGACCGTGGTCCCCACGCCGTGTCTTGGCCCCACCGATATTTGTCCTGTGTCGTGATTGGTCGGCTGGGATCAAATCTCTGCCGTCGGATGAACTAAGTGGCTCGATCAAAGAATTCTCGTTGGATATGGAGATGTTGTGCGAGGAGAAAGGTGGTGGTTCGGTGGTTGTTTCGGATGCGTCGAGTGTGCATTCGAGTTTGGCGAAGCTTCTTGAGAGATTGAAGAAGTTTTCGGAAGCTTCTTTGAAAATGTACGAAGATGTCAAGGTGAAATGTGAAGCAGCTAGAGTTGCTTACACTAATAGTTCTACTTCTAACTCTGTTGGACCAATTAGGTACTAACTACATCATAATTTAATGTAATTAGTTATGACGAGAAAACTCGAGTCATTTTGGTAAGAAAAAAAATCATTGCTTTTCCACAATAGTTGGAACACAAGAGTTAAACTATGGTGAGTTAAAATACCAAAAAATGTTATTTACTTCGTTTTATGATTGAAAGAGATGAATTTGGTTTTGATAAGAGCTATCTCGGTCACCAAAGAAAAATAGTCACGATTTGGGTCACGGTCAGGGAATATTTGTTATCTTGACCTCCAATGGTGGAGGAAGAGTTGACATTTATAAAAGTCAACTAGCTTCGTTGAGTTTTAAATAATATCCAAACCTCTATAATAATTAATCAATGTGTCGTGTATGTTAAGTGGCCACTACATCACCATGAACTTGTCGTGGATTGACTTGGAGATTAACTACTGTCGATGACAAAATTAGGTTGTCATGATAATATGGTTTATGTGGCTTCTTTGGATTAGATAATAATGATAATAAGGGATGATGATGATGATTATATGTTTAACAAAAAGGTTAATTCCAATACAACTAAGCTCTAAGAGCCTTTGGTAGGTCGAAAAGCATAATCAACAATTAACACGCGAAACTTTTTTATGATTACTTTATGAAATACACAATCCTATTTTCTTTTCTATTTGTGTGGAATTTACGTGTCGTTAACCACAAATCTACGAGTGTTGTTTCGTTACATTTGTTGTCAAAATTATTAACAACGAAAACAAATTATCTTTTAAAAGAAAATATAGAAATTTAAGATTCTAAAGACTACTTTATCAGACGTGTAATCGAGTTTATCTCGATAACTTTAGAATCATTCCCTAATCAAGGTTATGATTCGATTAACGATCAGATAAAAAAGCGGTTTCCAAAGATAGCTTCTGTCAGTTGTCAGGTCTTTGAGAACCGGAGAGATAGTGATTTCCACGTAGGATCCTACGTGTGAACACGCCACAGTGGGTCCCATATATTTCCTTGTTTCCAAATAAATGGTCCCACATAGCCCTTTTTCGCGTAATATCTCGTAGAATCGTTTTTTTTTCTAAGCAAGACAATAAGGGAATAATCAACTTTGTTTGGATTCAATAAGAGAATAAATTACGTGGAAGGCTACTGGTAATTTATTTATTTTGGACTAAATTTGGAATTTGATGTTCCTTTGGGAATAAACGTGTAGGGGAAACAATCCTAGAAGTAAGAAAGTGATACTTATCCCTTGTAAAGCTTGTACAATACTCTTGCTAACTTTCCATTTTCAATAATTTATAGTAGTTTCTTTGTGTGTGAAATTAAGAATACAACGGTAGATTTTTGTGATGTTATTCAAGTTCAATAACAAAAATATGAATGAGAATGAAACTGAGCACACATTTTTATTGATTGCAATCCTTAAAATCTCCTTTCTACAACATCCAAACAAAAATGGTTATTTCACATCGCATACTATAATATTTGTTTTTAAGAAAGATGTCAAAAGGAACTTAAAAAAGGTGAAGAAAGATCCATTAGCTTCCTTGTGACGCAAACTTTAACCGCCTTGAGTTCTGACCTCTTTCCATCTTCCTCCGATAGCTTTCTTGACTTTCTCTCACTATTTTTTCTTGCTCACAAACTAATCAATTAGTTTACTAAATTTCATGTGGTGTACTCGATACAATTTTATGACTTGGACCAATACATTCTCAATTAGGGAATTTGACCTCCAAATACTCTCATGGTTAGAAGAATTAATGCAATTTCTTCATTACGTTTGCATGCATGATGTATATATAGTACTTCAGTTTATATATTATTCAATGCCTTTTCTCTTCTAATGTTAAATGGTATTACAATTTGACATAATCAAAAAGGATATTTTGGCATTATAAAATAAGTGGTTAGAAGGCAAATTGGCCTTTCAACTTGCCGTAGAATCAGCAGTCTCACTTTTTGGCTCTTACGATCATTGTGTATTTATTCCTGAAAATATTCGATTTCAGCAATTTTATTGAAAATAACTTCCCAAACAAGAGTCAATATGATATGGGAAGTTCGAATAGATTACCTTTTTTGTTTGTGAGATTTAGAAGATGTCTATCTGCTGAGAACTTGAGAACACAACGGGAGGTTGATTGAAAAGTAGCTTAAAAATCTAATGAAAATTAAGGAACTTACATAATAAATTGTCCGCACTCTTGTGGTTCAGTGGTAAGGGGAAACCTTGGTGAAAGGTGAAATTCCTAAACCCGGGTTCGATCCTCCCTGGAAACAAAATCACATTTGTGTGAGAAATCTGTCAATTGGGCCTAGGCCCAATTGGTTTACCTGGTAATTAGAAATGCAGTCGGCCTGCTTACTCCCTAGCATTAGTCGGAAGGCACTACAAACTCGGAATAGGCGGTGTGGTAGTTCTTAGGATGAGTCCACTTTGTAGCACCTTTGTGCGTTCCTACCGGAGCTAACCGGAAGCCGATAGGATCAAAAAAAAAAAAAAAAAAAAATCAATAAAATTCTATAATTTTTTTGGTCAATTTGATAATTGAAAATTACAGTTTAGTTAAACTTTGCAAAATTTTAAGAACCATGATTGATGATTCTTTTATCATACACACCATAAAGTCATATTATTTGCAAATATTCCCTTGGAACGGCTTAGATCCAAAGAATATGTGAACGACGTTTTCCAATTGTTCTAGCTTCCATGGAACAAAAAGACATCTTCGAGCTGACGAGAAATTAACAAATTGTGAATAGAACAAAAGCATCAAACAAATGTTGACAAAAAAGAATATAAAATTTAAATCATGTTCAACTAATTTATATAATTAAAAGAAAATGGGCGGCTTCGCTTCTCGTATTATATAAGGAAAGAACTTCGCATCCACCGAAACCAAGAGCGACAAAAAAAAAAAAAAATAGTTAAGAGAGATCCAAAAACAAAAACAAATATCAAATTTCTCATTTCAGCCCCAAAGTTTTCGTTTTGATCTATTTCACCTTCGTTTCTGAATTTCATGGCAGCCATAGATATGTTCAACAGCAGCACAGATCTCTCAGATCCTTTCAAAGAAGAGCTCATGAAAGTTCTTAAACCTTTCACCAACTCTGTTCCTTCTCTTCCTCCGATTCCAAACACGATCTTCGGTTTCAATCAAACCACACCTCTCGGTCTAAACCAACTCACACCTTACCAAATCCATCAGATCCAAAACCAGCTTAACCAGAGACGCAACGCCAACATCTCAAATCTCTCTCCAAAGCCGGTCCCGATGAAGAGCATGACCACTCAGAAACTCTACAGAGGAGTTAGACAAAGGCACTGGGGAAAATGGGTCGCTGAGATCCGTTTACCCAAGAACCGTACCCGACTCTGGCTCGGAACTTTCGACACAGCTGAAGAAGCAGCCATGGCTTACGATCAAGCTGCTTACAAGCTTCGAGGCGAATTAGCGAGGCTTAATTTCCCACACATCAGACACGAGTATGGATCATACGGTGGTTGTGATAGCAGCTTCAGGCCTCTTCATCCCTCTGTTGACGCAAAGCTCGAAGCGATTTGTCAGACTCTGAGAAAAACAGAGGATGTTGATCTCCCCTGTTCTGAAACAGAGCTCTTCCCGCCAAAAACAGACTATCAAGAGAGTGAATTTGGGTTTTTGAGAACTGATGAGAGTTCGTTTTCCGATGAGTCTCAGGTTGGATCTTCGTCGCCGGAATCTGGTATTACTACTACTACTACGTTCTTCGACTTTTCGGATTCTGGGTTTGATGAGATTGGGAGTTTCGGTCTGGAGAAGTTTCCTTCTGTGGAGATTGATTGGGATGCGATTAGCAAATTGTCTGAATCTTAAGGGAGAAAAAAAACAGACTTTATAATTTTATTTCAGGAGCATGTCTTCAATTACAGTGTCTGATGATGTCTCATATTAGTTAGTTGATCTCTGCAACTGAAATTTTTTACAGTTGGAGAGAAACGTCTAGGGTTTGTTTCTGTTGAAATCTTCCTCCATGTTTTGGTCTGGCTTGGTTTAGTTTTTTTATTTTACCTTGTCTTTGACCAATCGGAGAAGTTTCCGTGTGTTAAATTATCAGTAAAAACATCTCTTTTGTATGTTTTTTTCCTTTACTATTTTACGATTTCTATGTTCCATGTGCACAATGCTGATATGTGAAATAAGTAATTGTTCTAGTAGTATTGTAAAAGGTAATGAGATATGATTCAAAATCTCATTTTATGAAAATATTAATTACAAAACTGTTGTATTTGTGTTTATTGTGGACGACAGAGGGCCAGAGAGAGGGGTCCGTTGTTGACATATGGGAACACATAAGCCACAAAGTTTGATGCTTTAAGGTAAAGAATATTACAATAACCAAAAAATGTGGCAACGATTCAAAAGTATAGTTTGCCAGTAATATATAACATCTACAGAAAAAAATAAACAAACCAGACTTATCCGATATTCTGATTCTTTTCTTTCAGCACATAAAGACAGTGTTCATACGTCAAAAAAATTGAAATGGAATGATTGAGATTAAAAAGGCATTTTATTAAAACTTTGTTTTTTTTTATCACAAATGTTTATCTATATTAGCATATACTTTGAATAAAAGAATGGCGCATGCACATTGATCTATCTTTTTGTTAGAATATCAGTTTGGTATAAATTATATACAACATTGCCGTTTCCATAGATTAAGGCCGCTACGATATAGATTAATTCAAAGGAAAGTGGAAACAAATTAAAGCACTGGTAATAAAAATTTCATCTTACCATGCGATTTCATGAGTTAAGTCCTCTCTGAACTTACAGTCATGCAAAATTTGAATATTTCAAATCGATGTTTATCATAACATAGTTTAGTTCATTAACAAAATCCATGTTTCAGTATAAGAACTTCGACTTTGTTTTTCCTGAAGTTCAATGTTTAGACTCTAGCCCAACTATGAGGAAACAAAAACAGAACCATCCGCATACGTCTAGTCCACCACAAAATTCATAATATGCACCTAAACATTTGCTACATTCCCACGTCTTAGTTATTGATTATAGGCCTTTTAAGCATCCTCTGAGGTCCGCAATGGCTTACCGGGTCGAAATATGGGGTCGAAAAGAGTTGGCACTTAACGGTGGGCAAGCACTCGAACCGGGTTTGATGTGGTGCCTATCATGAAATTAGATTATCTTATGAAATCGTTGAAATGTGCCCAAAAATCAAAATCTGATTCGATATTTAGAAGTTAGAACCAAGCCCGATAAGCTAAAATGCAAACTTATTATTATTTTTTTTGGGGATCGGCACATAGGGTAGCTAATTGCGATTTTTATCAAGCAAAATATTTTAGTATATGAAAGAATTTTTAAAACGAACTTTTAACTACCATTCTGTATTTATGCCATTAAAGTTGATATAGCTTCTTTGAAAAAAAAGTTGATATAGCTTAACGGGAAAAACTAATTATATAACTTTTTAGCATACTTTAATCGATCGAATTGGGAGTAATCGTTTGTAATGTAGGATTTGTAAAGATATTAGACGTGTATACACTAGTGTACACGTCAAACTTTTAATATATGTGTTTTAAATATATATTTTATGTGATGGAGAAGGGCACGTGCTTATTCGAATAGGAAAAAGAGAAAATTAGATGATACATCAACTTTATGTTTTCGAATTAATATAAGAATAATTTTTTTTTTGGTATATGAATCAGAAAAAAACAAAAATGAGAAGGCTTAGGGTTAATGCAAGACACGTCGAAAGTGAAAAACTCCAACACGAAGCTTACTATGATCCGTTCTAATTCTACACAAATGTCACAATCGATCCAACTAGTTTCCGTTTTATATACACGATCTATAAAATATTATCTTTTCGTCTTATTAGAATAGTGTAACATTTGATGATTTTTGAAATTCATATTCTAAAACAAAAATAAGTTTAATAACTCCGATAGTCCGATATTTACATCACTACATGCACCCCCATGTACAATCAATATCACAAATGACATGTTTTATTGAGTTAGTTTCTTTACGCGTTTTATGAATTCAATGTCGCATAGACATAAATACACATCGCGACAATTCAACTAGATACATGTGGAGTCATATTGAACTTCACATCGCATGAAAATAGGCTGCGATGATTAATATAAATATGCATTTCAGATACGTTAAAAAGAAGATCATATCAACTTCATAGCTTTAATTATCGAGAAAGTGTCGGTCCATTAAAGGTTTGAAGGCATTGAAGATATAAAGAGAAGCCACCCAAATTGAAGATTGGCGACTCTTGGAGATGATAAGGAGTAACCTAAGACATTCTCCTTTTAACACATAATTCATAGATACTGATGATTGTAAAGTCAGAACCTGCTTCTTTTTTTTTCTCTTTTTTCCTTACTACAATTTTAGCCCCAACATTTCTGAAAAGTTCTGAATAAACCTCAGTGTGATTATATGGAACAAAAGGTGATTGAGAAAGAAGCTATATGCGTGTGTGGTGAGCGTAAAAAGTAAAAACATATTGATTCTTATGATCTTATCTACTGGCAATTTTCAAATCGATTGTTCTATATACTAATGAGGTTTTTATACAATTTAAATAAAAAGCATACATTTGCAGGTAGCTTGATAGCTTCTACTTTATCGGTTTTCTAATAAATCATGGAAAAGTTGTCAATGATTGGGCGCATTTCGGCCTAAAAAGTTAAATATTACACTAATATTAGAATCCAACGTCCTCTATATATGTGACTATAATTATATGATCCTTCATATCACATTATAAATGACATTGTTTATTGTAGAGTCATGTAATTTAGGCGTGGATCAACTCTACATAATAATTTAGGGAGGCGTGGATCAATTGGTTGGTTGGGATGAGATAGATGAGAGATAAACTTAATATAATTTGGTATCTACAATAAAAAAGATAGAGCCTATGTTAAGGTTTTTTATTTATTAAAAACGAGAGCAAGTTGATCAAATAGTGAAATATTTTTGACAAAAAGAATCGTGACCTTTTCTTCTTTCATAGACGACGTCCATATAATTGATCAATTAATATTCCCAAACTAAAGGCTATCAACTTTTTTTTCTTTTCCTTTTGAAAATGGTTGAACGAGAATCTACATCTTGATATCTTATACATGGCCGTATCTAGATCATTAACAATTTCAAGCATGATAAAATAAAATATTTTAATAAAACTTGTTTGTTTTTGGAAGTTAAGTACAGTAGAAAATACACGCAGAAACGAAAGAAAAATAGTAAAGATAAATAAAAAAACAAGTGGCCTTTCGTGTTAACTGTTAACCGAAAAAACAGGTAAATGATGACATGGCAGGACCGTGGAATATTACACGTGACAAAAACACTCACCATCGGGACCCACAAATCACCATTTATGCCGAAAAGTTTGGAGAAGCGGTTGCCGTTGGCCCGTTAGCAGTTTAAGTCAAAGCCATTGACTCAGCTTGTTAGTGTTTTTTTTTCACTTTCCTTTTATTAGTTTTAGCCAAAAAGGAACGAAAAATGGTATGATTTTTGAAATTAGATTTTTAGTTTTGTGTTTTTCTTTCTGACAGGTTATGAATTATACTGTGCTTTTGCATAAAGTGCACAGTCCTGGAATTTACTCGTTTGGTGGTTTACAGTAAAAGCTTGTCGCATCCAAAAATGTCATGTGATGATATATATTATTATATGGTCAAAGAATATGAAAATGTCTCATGCCTACGCGCGACATTATGCTTGATTTTCTTAAAGTACTGACTTATTCGCAAAAGGATCGATGATAATTGAGGATGATGTCAATCGTTCGTTAGCAACAAACTTATGTCTTACATTTGCCATTTCGATAATTAACTTTCATTGGATTGTTATAACTTTCAAATCTATCTCGAGTATATATGAAATTATCATCTTGCCACGAACTTTGTTTTGTACTTTGGTCAAGCGTGATTATCCGATCAGACAGCTTAAATTAATCATCCGATTTGACCTGATTAAGGATTCGATAAAAGGGGATTAACGTAACTGTGACAATTATTTGCATATGATACTGTTATATATGCGTCGTAGGGATCCACGTGTTGGGTAGAGACACACTTGATTCGTTACACGTGATGTGTCGGTTCGGAATTTTGCTTTGAATCTTGCCTAAATGTTACTACCTTAACGCAAATTAACACACATATGTGCATGTGTGTAGCATGTAGCATATAACTGTGTATACCTCCTTATCGAATCTGTTACACAATGACATTATGAACCTTACTTATATTTATGCACTAATTGTTTAGGTGCTGTAGATGTAGTTCAAACCGGAATTAAATTAAAAACTGTATGTGGTACTTTAGTTTGGACTTTGGAGGATGATGATTTATAGTATTATGTTTCGTGGACCAGCCACAAGTAATTTCAAAATGTGATATTTTCTTATATATGTTTGAAGTCTGATTTTTTTTTTTGTTATCCAAAATATGATAAATTGATAACTAGCGAGTTCCAACTTCCAACCAAATGTAAAACGAACTATCTGAAATAGTGGGACTCATGAGAATAATTTTAGACTATTTTAGTCCCAAAATCACGATTTTTTTATATGAGGTTCCTTTCTCCTACAAGTTACTAAGAACCCTATTCAGATTCTTCTAAATTTCATAATTAAATCCTGATGCATGCATGGGGGTGGCCACATAATCAGGATGGTATCCGATCAACTTGGATGCTTAATAGATTTATTACTTCTGTTGTATCGTATTTGATCCATAATCTGTTATTATTGATGAATCTGTTTCTTTTGGATGATTTATTGGTTCCAAACTCATGACGTACGGAATAAACCCGAATGAATACTTTGTACACAACTGTGACTCGAACTCTCTGAGGAGTGAGGAATATCTGTTAGTGATGAACTACTTGACCACGTGGCATTTAATAAATTTCAGCAGCTATATGCTATAAAAAAGACTATAGCTAAAAGAAATTAATAAATGGAAATGTTCGATGCATGTCGTATTATAATGCAAGAGAGCATGATTGGCTGATGCAATACAAAAGTCTTTATTAGTAACGGTTAAAATAAATGAGCTAACGTGATGAATTTTTATAAAACTAAATAAAATAATCCCTTCAAATCATTTCGAAAATTTTCAACTGTGGAACAATGTTATTGAGAATGGGTTTTCTGATTTGTTATCGTACTTCGAAAGTTATTGTTGCTTGATCTAATTACACAACAGAAGAAGAAGAAGAAGAAATAAAGAAAGAAAAGAGAGCATATGGTGTTGTTGTTAATGCGAGGGGACCACGTGGCGGTTGCTGGGAACGATGCAACGTTAAATTAAAGATCGGCGAGAGCGGGAAAGCCGCTTCTGTGGGCCCCATTAACCATATAGTGGGGACCCACACTCAAATGGGTTCCAGCGTTCACACACACCACAATATCTGAGTTTTCTTTTTTCTTTTTTAGTGAAGTTAAAATGTTACCCAAAAACTAAAGTTTCTCTTTTTCTTTTCTACAATAATTTGTAGCTTCCCTATAAATTCAGACCATACCACACCTCAGTCTGTGTCTCTCTCAAGCCCACACATTCTCACTCTGTTTTCACAACTCAAATTTTCTCTTCTCTCTATCGACTCAAATTTACAAACAAAAAATGGGTAAATTCTTGAGCTTGTTATATTAATACACATTCACGTATATATATTTTACATATCCTTATTTGTCTTTCTTTTTATGTTATTTTCAGTCAGATTCATTGAAGAAAACACAAAAACCGTGGAAAAAGAAACAGAAAACAAATCAAATGCTGATGTACCGCCCGAAGAAGAAAGTTCTTCAAGATCTTCATATCAACAATGGAGGAGGATTGATCAGTTCATGGGTTGATTCCATGAGAGCTTGTTCTCCTACTCATCTCAAATCTTTGATGAAGCAAAGCTCTTGGCTCGTACGTGTATTATCATTGATCAAGCTATGTTTAATTTCTATATATACATCTCTGTTTTTATTAAATGAGGGGTGTATATAATTTTGCAGACGGAACATCCATCAGCTTTAGATATGTTCGAAGATATCCTTCATGTTTCTGAAGGAAAACAAATCGTTATGTTTATGGATTATGATGGCACTTTATCTCCCATTGTTGATGATCCAGATCGAGCTTTCATGTCCAAGAAGGTTCATTTCCAAAACCCAAATATATAAAAATACAGTACAAAAATCTACTAATTCATCAAAAAAATGTTTTAACTTAATTCCTTGTTGGTCTAATTTTTAGATGAGAAGAACTGTGAGGAAACTAGCAAACTGTTTTCCCACGGCCATAGTTAGTGGGAGATGCAGAGAAAAGGTTTGTTAAATTTTAAATTAATGTGAATAAATCAGCAGTGGTTAAATATTGGAGCTAATTATCAACTTTTTGACTATTTTCAGGTTTATAATTTTGTGAAACTAACTGAGTTGTACTATGCTGGAAGTCATGGAATGGATATCAAAGGACCAGAGCAAGGTTCCAAATATAAGGAAGTAAGATTTTCTATACTTGCATATAAATAAATCTTCGAAAACTGAAAAAAAAAAACAAACGGTATCTAATTTCTTTTTTCATTGTAATTATTCTTATAAAAAAATTACAGGGTAGTGAATCTGTTCTTTGCCAGCCAGCTACAGAGTTCCTCCCCATGATCGACGAGGTCACATTCTCCTTCAAGATTTAGTCTCGTATATTTTAAAAGTACTAGAAATGTTACTTACATTTATTTTAAATACATTTGTTCAGGTTTATAAAAAGTTAGTGGAAAAAACAAAATTCACTCCCGGAGCCAACGTAGAGAACAATAAGTTTTGTGTCTCTGTTCACTTCCGACGCGTCGATGAACATGTACGATTTTTTAATGTTAATATTGTAGTATTATTCACATTATAAAAGAAACAAAACTAACCAATTAGTTTATTCGGTTATATGTTGACAGAACTGGAGTGATCTGGCTCATCAAGTTCGAGCAGTCATGAAAGACTACCCTAAGCTCCGTCTTACTCAAGGAAGAAAAGTAAGTTATTAATCATATTATTGATTAATCAATTTCTAAGTTTTAATTCATTAATTAAAGGGTTTATGTTTTGGTATAATCACTTCAGGTTCTGGAAATTCGCCCTATCATCAAATGGGATAAAGGCAAAGCACTCGAGTTTTTATTAGAGTCACTTGGTAAAATTTTCATCGAGTATTAACTAATTGAGTATGAGTAATAGATGCCGACGTTAAGAGCACTAGTACTGATTAAATTTTGTATTGGCTTGTGTAGGATACGCTAACTGCACCGACGTCTTTCCTCTTTATATCGGAGATGATCGCACAGACGAAGATGCGTTTAAGGTATGTATAGAGCCTCGTAACAACTACTGTAAGATTACATATTCAATGTGTAAATATAGTTTTAATTCAAATGCATGATGTTACAGATATTGAGAGAAAGAAGACAAGGTCTTGGCATTCTTGTATCCAAATTTCCGAAGGAGACTAACGCGTCTTATTCTCTCCAAGAGCCAGCTGAGGTAAATTGATTTATGTGATAGTAAGTTTTCGTTAAGTGTTTTGGAATTCCTAAAAAAGGTTGCATGTATTATAAGCTGATTATACTGTTTTTTTCTTGATTCTTCACAGGTTATTGATTTCTTGCAACGTTTGGTTGAATGGAAACAATTGAGATCTGGAGCATGATGAGAGCTATAGGTACAGGAGAATCTTTTTTTTTGTTCTTAATAACTTGTTAATTTAGTTTTTCTTTCCCATGCTCTTATTGTACTCAACGCATCTTTGACAAAAAAATATGTACTAAAAACGCTGATGTAAAAATTTCATTAAAAAATTTAGTCTATTTGTATATTAACAACTAAAATATGGATGTTCTCAAACAAAAGAATCTTTAAGATAAACTAAGCTCATCGCGTGGAATCTATTTGGAGAGAAGAAAGATCCTTTTATTTTATTTTCGGAAAACATAGGAAAGAAATGGAATATTCTATGAGACAAAACTTGGATGGAAAGATAGTGTCAAAGAGACTCGACCTATGATCGGATCTTTGCTGCTTAGCTTGATATATTAAGACTTAGGTACATTGTTTAACTAAAAAGAAAATACAAATTCCTAATTATACGTAACCAATCATCTTTGGACGGAATCTTTTGTGACATTATTTGTCCAAGTCTTAGGAATCCTAAGAAAAAAAGCACCAAAAAGAGAATCTCTCTGACAGTACAACTATTTCGACTTTCAAGTCAATGTTCAATTTGTTTTGTAAACCGAGACTTCGTTCAATTTTTACTTCTTCTTTGGGGTGCCATTTAAATTTCGTTTTAATTGAGAAAAAAACATATTAGATGTAGCAAATTGATAAAATTTGTATGCTGTCCATCTTGATTTAATCATAGGTAATCCTTACAATCATCAGATTTCGGTCTAATTAAATAATAAAGGACCAACTTGATCGACTTCTTATATCCTAGACGTGGACTTAATTATCAGTGTGTTTGTAGCCATGAGGAAAAACGAAGAAAACAGTTTGTCAATGATTAAAAGCTAACTAGATAATCGTTATCGCTAATTACGCTTTGCTTAGGGCTTCGGTCTCATCTTATTAGTTGTCTACTTTTGAACAAACCATTAGTGTTACTTCACCCATTTCTCCCGACACGCCAAGAAGATCATTGTGAGATTTGGTGGCGTATTAAGTTATAACTGTAATTATTAACTAGTTTAAATGTTAATGCTCCAAAATTATCATTGCAGTGGATATTAATTTATACGAAGTGCGTATATATTTCTAACAACCCTAAGTTCTTAGGGATGTCTCCTATGCTATAGAAAATATAATTTTAAAGCCAATTGGCCCGTGAACTATGAAGCTTGTCCGAGATTTTCCAATCAAACCATAATCGACACGTACGTGTTAATCAATAGATTTAAGTATTTAACTAATTGATTTTCTTCCTATTTTATTTATATTCAAATTATTTAATCATAGGCTCAATGCGTCTGAAAATTGAGTCGTTCATTGTTAAAGATATATTTCGTATTATCGCTGACTAGTTTACCAAACTATTAGATTTGACAAGGAAGATTCACATGGGCATATAATCATATGTAACTTGTATATTTCCATTTGGTTATGGTTTTCGACTAGAGAGAAAGACATATACTTAACTAAGATATGAGTAAACAATATCTTAGAATTTGTTGGAAAGAAAAAAAGGTTACGAGTGAAGAGTTGGAATCCACCAGAAAAGGCGAGAGAGATTCTCTATTCATTTCACTTTTCTAACTTTAATTTCTCCAACTGTCCTTTTGAAGAAAAAATATCAGCCTCCAATTATTGGCCGACTTAAATTTATAAATCCCAGAAGCACAATAATAGTAGCATTCGACCAATTATTGTTCGCCGTAAGTGTTCAAGTTCGTAGACCTTTACTTATACATATAGGTCAATTTTAGAATATCCATTCCTTCGAGAGAGTATAAAAATAGTAAAGAAATATATAACTAATGATGCATGTCTTCTTTGAAGTATTAAGTTTGGCGTGAAGTGAATTCAAACACATTCAAGTTAACATGCTTGACTTCCCCATATAAATTAATTTTTGGGCATTATTTTCCTTATAACAATAATGTCTGCACATAGCCGAGATTACGTTTTTGATGTCTCCACATTGTATAAAACATAAAATAATTTTAATTTTATATCTCTCAAGTAAAAGTTCCCAGGAACAGTTCACATGACCAAGATTCCTCTATTCGTGGATCATCTTAAGGTGTTATTATGAATGACTTTCCAACACGTGTTCTCTGAATGATGTGTTCATGATTTACGCATGACACATCTATTGTATGTATAGGTGTATGGGAGAGAAGTTCCAAACTCTTTGGTGGCATGTGGAAGCATGTGACTCAGATGCCCTCATTATAGGGAGCAAAACTTGTGTGTCGATCTTTTACTTGAACGATCCTCTCTGACACCTTCTTAAAGATTGGAAATTTCTCCTTGTGTTAAAATCATTGTTTTTACAAAGTCTAAATGATTTTAGTGGATGATGATGGGCTTTAAAACTAAATAATGTAAAGTAGAAGTTAGTATATTTTTTATTTAAGGGAATACAGACAAAGAAACTACAAGAACAATCTTAAAGAAACATAAATTAAAAGAGATTAACAGAGGCATGGGTTCCAACGAGACCATGTGGAACTTGTATGAGAAAAACTTTGCATTGGTCTTTAACCGGTTTCACCAACTACTGGTCTTGAAATGGTGTAAATATGTATTTGATTACGAATAAATTTTAATGAAGAAAAAAACGTGAAGTGAACGGTTTAGTTTTGTTTTTTAAATGGTTTGTGAATGACTAATAAGATGAGCTTGAGCCTGTCATCAACAATTTCAAAGAACCAAGATTTTTTGATGAAATTATTCACACTATCTGATTTTAAAGTAAGGATAGAGTCAATTTCTGACACTTTAATGAGATTAACCACACTACCTGTTTTTAATTTTAACACCAGACTAAAAGGTGAAGCAAAGGCACCGAAATTTTCTTAAGAGTTAAAAAAGCCAACCCCAAGAGTGAAAGCAAAAACATGCATGATCACTATTGATTAAATCTGTATAACACACGATATGGATTGGAACCCCCGTAAGCACAACATGAGACCACTTGACGTTTTCCAATTATGTACTTAAAACCATTGGCAATGGACAAAAGAAAAAGAATTGTCCATTAGAGAAGATCAAAACGAAGTCACTAGCGTACGCAAGAAAACGTAAGAAGTGGGAACCTTAAGCACAATATTAGCCCATTCAACCTTTCCGCGAAGATGACCATCCTTGGTTTTTTCAAGCGCAACCATTGCACACCAGATAGACTTGTATTCACGACCAGGAAGCACAGACTTGTCCCACAAGACTAAGAGTTTCCCATGGAATCTGGCCATCTGAATCACACTACCACGACAGTTTCTATTTAACGTAGCCAAACCTCGGACCACTCTCCATTCTTTAAGCTTTACGTCATGCCACAAGAAATTTTGTGAACCACAACGTAACCATACACGTTTTACGAAAAACTTGACGTGTGGTTTATCTAATTAGCTCCATTGGTTTGTTCTAGGATCATAAACATAGTCCTTCTTCTCGTTGCTTCTAGTTCTAACGTAAAGCTTTCTTCCGAACACCTCCACTGTTTTAATCGAAGAGAGGCGGGCCTCGGCGCCAGGGTCGGGTAGAGATTCCCATGTTTGAGTCTTGGGGTCGAAAACCTCGGCCCAATTCACAGTTTCATTCTCCTCGCAGCCTCCCATTACGTATATCTTCCCATCGACAACGCCGGCGACAGCTCTCCGTCGAGCTACCCTCATGTTGGGGCATTCACGCCACAAGCGGATCTCTCTGTTAGTCTCTTGATTACGAATCCACAATGCAGAGGACGGATCATTCCTTTGGCTGATTCCGTAACATTCTGAGCCAACCGAAACGATGAACTTTGGCACACAAGGAATATACGAACAAGGTGTTGGTACCAGCAATGTGTTTCTTGTAGACTTCTTCTTCTTACCGATGTGGTTGGTTAGGGTTTGGTCAGGTCTGATCCAGAGACTGAACCAGGAGGGAAGAGCCTGAGTGGGCAACTGTAAGCAGACATGTAAGACATCTTCTTGTGTTTTGAGGTGAAATCGAGCCACGGAGAGCTTATACTTAGTGGATAAGATTAGAGAGCGAAAGGTTTTGCAGACTAGGCAGAGTTTCGGGTAATACGATCTCGGCACGCGGGCTAAGCAGTTCACAAGGATTACATCTGGAAGCGACAAAAACCACGACGGAGGATATGGATTCTTCTTCTTCTTTTTCTCCGGTGGTTCGTCTTCCCGATTCATAGCGACAGAGACGACCTTTGGTCTATTAGGGTTTTCTTAGGCTCATGAGATCTTATTATATAGTCCATGTGGACCTATCTTGGGCTCATCAAATTCTATTTAGCCTACGTTGGCCAAATATGTTTTCTCACAAGATCGGTTCGATTATAGGTTATGACTTATGTTTTGGTTTTGGTTTGTGTGCAAACGTTTCGGTTATAGGTCATAACATAGTGACCTATTAAACTTAATGACTTAAGAAAAAGTTTTGGTTTGGTTTGGTTTTGTTTTGTGTGAGCAAATGTTTTGGTTTTAAAATTGTGGCTTTAAGTCTTTAACTTAACAAGAAATTCATAGATAGGTATAGCGCAGTGTCAAGCCAAACAACTTAGCAAAGGTTAATTAAGCAAAGCCACCAACGTTTCATATGTAACAGATTCAGCATATCCTCCTCATGGATATGTATTTTTTTGCTAAATTGTAAATATTCATGTTCGGGTATTACAAAAGCTCTTCAGTCTCCCCTATACTTGTTAGTAACAAGTTGTTACCACACCAAAAACAAATAAAAGCAACGAAAAACAATCTACATAAAACATAGTAGATACCAATATATAAAAACATAGAGGCATTACGTTACCGAATGTCTTCTTGACGTAATTGTGCTCCGGATCAATACCTTTGAAGATGAGTAAATAAGAGACAGATTAATAGATTCGTGCTGTTACTCTGTTTACAAGATGCACCAAGCAGAAAGCACTACCTTATTTGAAATTAGCCATTCTGTCTACAACTGATCAAACCAATATCAATGAAGAACGCAAGAAAGCGTATGAGCTGGGAAGCGTAAGCACAACACTAGACCACTCGACCTTCCCCCAAACTTGACCATTCTTGCGCCTCTCAAGCGCAACCAACGCACAGCAAATACTCTTTTCTTTACAACTACGACGAGCCTTGGCAAACTTGTCCCACAAGATTAACAGCTTCCCACCGTAGCAAACTGTTTCAATCAACCCACGACGACACGTCCTATTCAAGGAAGACAAACCCTTCACCGGTTTCCACTCGTTAGACACTGTGTCATACCACAAGCAAGTTTTCGCACGACAAGAGTAATACAGATTACCTATCATACACCTACTCTCACCAACGAGCGCTTTCGGTGTAACGTTCCATTTACCTAGCTTCGGATCATAAACAGAGTCATTCTTCTCGTTGCTCCTAACGTAAATCTTCCCTTGTATATTCTCTATCTTTCTAATGATGGAAGAGAAGCGTAGCTCCGCACCAGGGTCAGGTAAAGCTTCCCACTTCTGAGTCTTTGTGTCGAAAACTTCACCCCAACAATTTTCAGCAGTGGAACCTCCCATTACGTATATTTTCCCATCGAGCACGCACGCAGCGGGATTCGCTCGAGGTACAGTAATTTTAGGTGCCTTGCGCCAGAAGGCACACTCCTTATTACGGACCAACATGACGTGTGACGGAAGGTGTTGTTGTCTGAGTGCATAGATCTCTGAACCAACCGTAACGACGAACAATGGTTCTTGATTAGCATACGAAGAGGGCACTTGTACCAAGATCGACTTCTTCTTCTTCTCGTTATCGTCGATCTGGTCAGGTTTGATCCAGAGAGTGAACCATGAAGGGAGAGGACGATCGGGAAACTGTAAGCAGACATGGAAGAAGGCTTCTTGTGTTTTGTGGTGGAATCGCGCGTGGTTGAGATCGAGGGATAAGACGAGAGAGCGGATTGTCTTGGAGACTAAGGAGAGATTCGGGTAGTACGATTTCGATACGCGGGCTAAACAGTTTTGGATGAGCACATCGGGAAGAGACAAAAACGACGGAGGAGGAGATGGATTCGGTAGTTTCCTCTTCTTCCACGGTGGTTCCACTACGGAGGATTTCGCAGGCGCAGAGGCGGCGGTTTCAATCCAAGATATCATTGCATTAGGGTAAAACAAGATTAGAGGTCACTTTCCCAAACATGATTAGGTTTATTATAGTTACCTTTGTATTTTGATATTGAAAACTAACCCCTTGATTTAGTTTAATTATATATCTAGTCAAATCCTACACAAACAAACAATCAAAGAGTCACAAGCCAAGACCGGGCCAATCGAAACTGAGCGTCTCTGATCACTGATCACATTGACATATGTTTAACTTGGGATAAAATCCCCTCTTTTATTTCACTTATTTAAGTTTTGTAGATTAAATAGGGTAAATCAGGATCAGGTCTTTCCAAAACCAGCTTATAACACATACTTTATTTTCCAATATTGGAAACTAACTCATATTTTACTAATTTTTCAAAATTGGAAACCAACTTCTGTTTTATTTTTCATATATTCTTAAGTGGGTTATTGGGAGTAGAATTTGTGAGGATTTTAAAGATTTTAAAAGTCAAGAGATTTGTTAAATTTTATAAAGAGTTTTTTTTTTATATATTTGGAAAGATTATGTAAATTTAAAAATCAATCAAAATATTTTATTGTAATGGAATTTGAGAATCTAAGGGTTATAGGTAGTATTTTGAAAGTTTTGTTTCATGATTTAATTTGTTTAAAATCCATCTCCCAGTAACAAAGATTTTAACAATTCATGGAATCATTCAAATTGCAAATTTTTTGAATAACAATGGATTTTGTATGGCTTTTAAAAGTCATCAAACCAATAACAATGGATTTTAATAAGAATGTTAAAATCTTTTAACCAATAACAATTTATTTTGAAAATTTTAACAATCATCACAAATTCTACTCCTAATAACCCCCTTTAGTGATTTGGGATGATGCACTATAAAAGTACACTATCTAGTCATACACTTCTTTTTTTTCTCCACTGCAATTTGGGTTTTCGTTGAAGATTAAGACGATCAAATTCAGTCTTCTGCTTAGACCGGGATGAAAATGTTATTACATATCCTCCAAGCACCAAGAGACATGATACAAGTAAATGTTGATATGCTGGGTTATGAATCTTTAACTGGTTGGGTGTTTGGATTAAGAGAAACCACATAAAGCCAAAAATCAAAGCTAATGAAGTTAAGCGTCAGATCACACATAAATGTTTAAAAATTTGAAATTTCTAATTAACTTTGCTTAACTTGGTATAAAATCCCCACTATATATATTATATTTCATTTAAGTATTGTAGATTAGGAGTATAACTCATAATTATGAATTTTCAAAACCAGCCTATATTACCTATAATTTACTTTTCAATATTGCAAAATAACTCCTTGATTTGATTTAAATAATATAATTGTCCCCATTTCAGAGAACTTTAAACAACACAACCAGTCTGATCGTAGACTGTTCGACACTTGGTCCGACGAAATTTGAAGAAAACTTGATCGTGCAATTCAATTTAATTTGGAGAAAACTCTTCTCTCGGTAGACTATTTGTGAAATATTCTTAGAAGAATAATTCAAATACAACCAAAAGATCTTTAGTTTAAGGAGATCATACAAACTGACTAATGCATCACGCCGATATTGCTAGTCCCTCTTCAAGTGAACGAATGGAGAATTATCTTCTAGAAACAAATTCCAACCTACGAAACTAGTCCAAGAACAGAAAACATGAATAAGAAAATGAATGGTACATCTTACATCTAGACCAACTAAAATGTGGTCATGCCGTCATGGTTCAATACGTAGAGAAAGTATTTTGCAAATACATCAAACTGTTTAAAAAAAAAAGTGAATGTCATATAAATGGATATCCAGTCAAGATCTAAGAAAAGAGACATAAAGATAAGATTTTTTTCACTCTCGACTATATGAAATTCAAAAGTTACAGAATTATAGAAAAAATTGTAATTATGGATACAAATCACTTTAAGATTTATGTACTTGGATTACAAGTGATAATATATGTAAAGTAATTTCCAGTGAAAACAGGATTGCTTTTCTCTTTCATTCTTTAGTCCATGTAACGGCCAGTTAATTTTGTTTATTTTTTGCAGAAAGTTGAATATTTTATCCTTTATTAAGAGATCCCATTTATTAATGAAATAGCTATGTATGTTATTTAATTTTCCCGTAAATAAATATATGTTTTTCTTTAAATCTAAATTATTAAAATAGCTATACCTACACCTACACCTACACTACACAGAGAGACCCTACTCAGATATGTACGGCGAAACTGAATTCAACTTTTATCACTAGTTCTCAGTTTGAAACCTTTTCAGAACTCTCCACGCCGACTCCTACGCTTAACTGGTAATACTGGCTTTATCGCTATTTCCTCTCTGAATCTGATTTGAATTGGATCTCCTTTCTTTAAAGAGGCAAGAATCTCGATTTGCATGAATATCAACTCTTTGGCACCTTTAGATCTGCTTGAAATATCATCTGAATTGTCTATCTGAGAGGCGCTGGTTTGTTTTTTTTTGGTTGTTGTCCGTCTGCGCGTTTCTTGTTTTGGGATTCGTATAGAGTGAATTGAGTTCTTGTTATTGTTCTTAATGTTAACTTTTTTTAACCGCTGTACAATACCCAGCAGTAAAAAGAATAAATAAAAAGGAGCGAATCACTTTATCATACTAGTACTAGTATTAGTTAGAGGAAAGGTCAACTCAGATGATAGTTAGTCAAGTCATAGTTTTGAGTAATCAGAATCGATTTCTTCTTCCTTTTACGTTTTAACTTAAAACGTCACACACTTGAGAGGCAAGTTATTATTATTTTGGGCAGTTTTAAGAAAGTTGAATATTTAATCATTTATTAGCTCAGTATTTCTTTTTTATTTCGCATTTTCCCGTATGGAAATAAATAAATAAAAAATGTTTTTTTCTTTTTCTTTTAAATCTCATTTCTTATTATGATAGCCAACCTTTCACCTACACAGACACGATCGAGGGGAGACTTAGATCTGAACGGCGAAACTGAATCCAACTTTTTCATTATTCTGCCGATCTCATCGATCTAATTCTCAGTTTGAAGCCTTTTAAGAACTCTCCACATCGACTCCTACGCTTATCTGGTAATTCTTGCTTCTCCTCTTTGAAACTGATCTGATCTGAATTGGATGGATCTCCATTTTTTTTTATTTAAAAAACAAGAATCTCGATTTGAATATCACCTCTTCGACACCTTTAGATCTGTTGTAAATATCATCTGAACTGTCTTTCTGGGCGGCGCTGATTTGTCTTGGTTTGTCCGTCTGCGTTTCATGTTTTGGGAGGGAATTGAGTACTTGTCATTGTCTTATGATTCTTTGTCTGTGTGATATTGGTCTATGTAGAGTGTTTTGGCGATTTGTAATCGAAGGATATGTCGGAGACAAAGAATGACAGAATCAAGGGCATGAGCTTCCACACCAAACAGCCATGGTCTCTGCACATTGGTGTGATCCAACTGTTGTATTATCGTATGGGATCTATAGGTTTGCTGAGCATTTTCGTGGTCTTCATTTCCACAAATCACAACCATGTCTCACAGGGGTATTACATGTTCCTTTTGTTAAGTTTAGTTGTCAAAATGTCTTTTATTTTCTTCTAAATCCCATCAAAACCATCAAGCTTTCCTGCTTTTGATTATAAAGTTTTTATCAGTTTATTACTAGGCTATGATAAACATAGAGTTAACCATTTCTCATATTACTTATTGACATGGTACCATAGTAGAATTTGAAAAAAAAATAAATTAACTAAGCAAACTGTAGGAAAAACAAGGTAGCGTAATTCTCATACACCATTTTAGAGTTTGTTTGTGATTAACTCTTTGTCATTGTTTGTAATAAAAATGAAATTTACACTATTTGAAAACAATAGAAAAATTGGTTTCCTTGGAAAAATATATATGTAAAAATCGAAGATGAGTTGGAAAACAATTGAGCAAACTGAAGAAGAAAATGGTTAATTCTCAAAAACTGTATTAGAGTTTGTTTATTTTGATCACTTCCTCATTACGTATAAAGTGAATTGAGTACTTGTCATTGTTTTATGATTCTTTGTCTGTGTGATAATGGTTAATGTAGAGTGTTTTGGCGATTTGTAATCAAAGGATATGTCGGAGACAAAGAATAACAGAATAAAGGGCATGTGCTTTCACACCAAACAGCCATGGTTTCTGCACATTGGTGTGATCCAACTGTTGTATTATCATATGATTTGCTAAGCATTTCCGTGGTCTTCATTTCCACAAATCACAGCCATTCATTTGTTTGTCTCACTGAGGTATTACATGTTCCCTTTGTTAAGTTTATTTTTCAAAATGTCTTTTATTTTTCTTCTAAATCCCATCAATATTCCCTTATTTTGATCATTAAGTATTTATCAGTTTATTTCTTGTAAAATGAGCTTGCATACTAGATATGATAAACATAGAGTTAAACCATTTCTCACATTACTTATAACATGAAGTTTACGAGTAATTGACATGGTATTTCTCGGAAGAAATTTTTTAAAAAAAAACAAGGAGAAAATTGAAGGAAAAGGAGCTTAATTCTCAGATATCATATTAGAGTTTGGAAAAAGAATCGAAGATGAATTGAAAAACAAATTAACCTTGCAAACTTTAGGAAAAATAGGTAGCTTAATTCTCATAGACCATATTAGAGTTTGTTTGTGATTAACTCTTTGCCATTGTTTTATGATTCTTTGTCTGTGTGATATTGGTCTATGTAGAGTGTTTTGGCGATTTGTAATCTCCAATCAAAGGATATGTCGGGGACAAAGAATGACATAATTAAGGGCATGAGCTTCCACACCAAACAGCCATGGTTTCTGCACATTAGTGTGATCCAGATGTGGTATTATCGTAGGGGATCGATGGGTTTGCTAAGCATTTTCGTGGTCTACATTTCCACAAATCAAATCACTGAGGTATTACATGTTCCTTTTCTTAAGTTTCTTTGTCAAAAATGTCTTTTTATTTTCTTTTAAATCCCATCAAAACCAACAATCTTCCCTGCTTTTGATTAGAAAGTGTTTATCAGTTTATTACTTGTAAAATTAGCTTACAAAATTAGCTTGTAAAATTAGCTTGCAAAATTAGCTTACAAAATTAGAGCTATAGGAAAAAAAAGGAAGCTTTTTATTCTATTCGAGTTTCGTTGTCATAAACTCTTCTTCCTTTCCGACTTACCAAAAAAAAAACTCTCTTCCTCTCCGACTTACCAAATCAAACCGCAATCATGACTAGACCTAGTGTCGTTTGGAACGGTGGGATAGAGAAGAAAGTTCTGAGAGTTTGTTTCCACCCTAAAAACCCATGGATCATTGCAGGCTTCGAAAGCGGCGAAATCCAGATCTGGAACTACCGTAATTCTTTCTTCATCAATCAGGTCTCTAAGCACAAGGGAGCTGTTCGTGGTCTGGATATACACAAATCCAGAGAACTGGTGGTCTCAGGAGGTAAGTTAATTAGAGAATTTTGTTTATTTCGGAAAGATTTGAGGACTGTCGATTAAGTTAATTAGAGAAATTTTGTTTATTTCGGAAAGATTTGAGGACTGTCGATTTCTGAAGATCTAGAATCTGTGTGTTTCAGGGGATGACAAAAAGATTAGAGTTTGGAATTTCATGGAAGCGAAGAGCAGTTTTAGGCTAAAGGGGCATGAGTCTAGGGTAAAGACTGTGGAATTTCACACTCAAGAGCCATGGATCGTAAGTGCAAGTGAAGACAAGACAGTAAGAATCTGGAACTGGATGTCCAGGAAATGCATCTGTGTGCTTCGTCACAGAGGTCCTGTGAATTCAGCTAGCTTCCATTCTGAACTCTTTGTTGTGGTTTCAGCATCATCAGACAAGACTGTTTGTCTATGGAAGATAGATGGACTTAGAGTACAGGGAATGTCTACAGATGCTGCTGCGCTTGTGTTAAAGAAACTAGAGGAACTACCTGGTGCTGCTGGGCTTATGTTACAGGCACCACAGTCTACCACTGCTGCGCTTAGGGCTTATATGGCACAGCCACTGTCTCCCGCTCCTGTCCCTCCACGTGGTCTTTTTGGCACAATGGGTCAATAGTCCCACAAGTGCTCACTCATGCTGCAGGAGTAAGCTGGGCTTCTTTTCATCCCACAATGCCTCTCATATTCTCTGCTTCAGATGACCAGCAAGTAAGGGTGTGGGAATGGAATGGTTAGTATCTTTTTCCTTTGCTCCCACAATTCAATCACGATATGCAAATCTTCTTGCTCATTCGTTATGTGTTTTCATTATCTTTTGCAGAAAACTCAGCCTCACAGATACGTACATTGCAAGGTCATGCAGATAATGTGTCTTCTGTTCTCTTCCACGCACAACAGAACCTGCTTGTGTCTAACTCCGATCACAGAGGCATCCGCCTCTGGGGAGTCAAGAAAATTACTGATCTTGCTCCTCCTATCACAGTTCCACGACTTCCTCGCTATGCAGTGTCTTTCAAAACTGAATCTCGTCTTTTACTTGAGGAGCATAGAGTATGGTCTTTAGCAGTTCACCCAGAATTTAGTGTAATTGCTGGGGGACTTGACAGTGGAATGATGGTGTTTAGGCTTGTTAGAGAACGTCCTGTGTTTGCTGTTGGTGGGGATTTCTTGTTCTTTCAGAAGGCCAATTCGTTATTCAAGTATGACTTCTCCACAAGGCAAGAACCGACAGTTGTCCTTGGGCCTGGGTCTGAACTAAGGACTTTGTCCTATTGCCCTCAAAGCAATGCTCTTCTCTCCTCCTCCTCAGATGCAGATGGTGATGGTGACCAACTGTACAAGCTACCAAGTGTCAACAGTGAGCGTGTCCAACTCCCAAATGGTACTACTGGTCTTCGTTCTTCAGCTTTCCTTGGGACTCCCGGGGTTTTTGCTGTTCTTCATAGCACGGAGGGAAACATGGTCGCAGCCTCAGTCTATGATCCTCAAAACTCCTTGCTTGGTTCTGTACGTCTGTATCATGGTACTCATTCCATTTACTCTGCTGAGTCCCTTGAATCTCTGTTATGCATCAACGATTCTGGAGCTGTAAAGGTTAACTTTGCAACCAAAGAAATATGTGCTGGGATTAAATTTCCTAGGGCTAAATCTGCGGTTTGGTCTGGTGATATGGAGAGAGTTGCTTTCCTCAGCAAACACTCTATCTGTGTCTCCGACAAATACCTTGAACTCATGTATATCATCAATGACAGCCACGTGAAGAGTGCAGCTTGGAATGAGCATGGAGTTTTGTTCTACAGTACACTGACCGAAATTAGCTACCGTTGTCGTAATGACGATACTGGAACAAGACCACTACATCTCCCTCTCTATATCACCAAGGTATCTGGTGGAGTAATCTTTTGTCTGAACAGGAATGCGGATGTCGTTCTTCTCGATGCTAAAAACGATGTGGGTTATGAACCTGTTGATCACCAGAATATATTGGGAACTGGACATGTTGTGGAAGATGATGCTGATGGGAATGAACCGATAATGGGAGTGCTTGAACCGATAATGGAAGAGCTTGAACATGATGCTGATGGCTATGAAGCTGGTGGGAATGAACAAGGATTGGAAGATGTTGAAGATGGGAATGAACAAGGATTGGAAGAGCCTGTGGGGTTGCCGATATGGGATACGTCGCCTAACGGGTCACAGTGAGGATTTGAGGTATTGAGGACTACTGAATCATCAGGGGTTGACTGTTTATTCCCCCTCTATATTACTAGTTCCGTCTTTTTCTCCCTAAACTTTGAATCTTATAATAAAAACCCCCAAATTTTGAACATTTGAAGACTAAAGCCCTCTGACCTATCTCTGGTTTTTGAATTCCACATAGAGATTACTTGAGCTAAATCTTGTTCAGGTGACTAATGATTGTCCGGAATTCTTAAACCCGAGCCCAGGGACTTAGGATGGCGGTTCAACGAGTTGGGAGATATAAACTCTTTAAGTTTGGATTAAAATGTTACTAGGTAAAGACCTGCGTTTGTATTTTGGTTATATTTGTTGTATTTTTGGTCATGTCTCATCATCATGGGATCTCACCACACATAGTAAAATAAAGAGCATACACACATAAACGTGAAAGTAAATTTAGGTATATTATGACTGTTTAAATTAAAAACTGTGTTATCGTTGATACTACAATATTTGGTTTCTAAAAGTCACAGAGTTGAGCATTATACGCCATTGAAGAGAAGCAAAAGCTTGATCAAAGAAATGAAAAGTGTTTCTCTGTCTCTGATCTTCTTCTCCGTAACCCAACCAATTCTCGTCTGAATCAGCACCGTTGCAGCTTCCATTTTAAGCATTACATTATTCATCTCACACCTGCCCGAAACTCAGACCATAATCTTATCAGTTGATCATATCATCAATGAGTTTTCAATGACCTAAGCTTTGAGATCGCTGTTCAATCATTACCTTTGGCTCTCATATGCAAACAGACCATCAAGATGAAGAAGATCGTAAGAAAATTTAGACTTGCAAACACATTTTGTAGTTCATTTTTATTGCTATAATCCAAAAGTTACTAAGAAGAAAGGTACTAAAAACCTTAGTTATGCTTAACAAATCATCAACCTTAGTCATTCCTTGTAGCTGGAATACCAATTCAAGCTTCTCCACAACTTTGTTCAAGCGTTCTTCTACTTCTCGCTCTTTCAATGCCTCCAAAAAAAAAACATCGTTTTAAATGTTACTTAAATATATGATATATAATCTGATGGAACAATAGGATTACTAAGAAGCTTGCACCGCCTTTAGTGTTGCAGTACCATTCACAACCGATATGAGATCAACTAACATGAAAAATATGACACGAGACTAACCTTAGCACAGAGAGAAGCATGTTCCTTTCCGCCAGATAACACATTCTTCCTCAGGACATCAACTTTTCCCTACACCTAAATAAAACTTAACTTTATAAGCCAATGCTAAAATTAGTTGCATGGCAATACAGTGAATGACTTAGAGGGGATGCATATAATAGATACCTCTTCGTACTTAGAGGGTATTTTCCTACGAAAACTTTCCATGTATCCTTTTAAAGGTAGAGCCAATTCCTTAAGCAAAGAGCAATGTCAGAATATCAAGCGAACACAGCGAAAGATGCCATGAACTTACTTTCATGAGTGCATCAAGCTGTTTAGCTCCTCTGTTTCTTTCTCGCTTTGTAATATTAGCTATGCATCAGTGAGACCAAAATGGACACATACTCTGTTAAAGAGTCTCAAGGATTGAATGTGTGAACAAAACAACAAGATGAGGGAATATCAGCTTTAACTTATATAATAAATTCAAACTGAAAACGAATTTGGAGAATCATAAGACTCAATTCCAAAATTCTAATCCAATTAAGAAAAACAGGAACCTGATTCAGTTCAGTAAATAATCTGGATATTCGTGTCCACCGTCGAGAATACCGCGCCGGAGAAAAAGCTCACACTTTCTTGACATGAGAAACCGCAGGTTTGATTATACAATAGCTGCAAAGAGACACAAATGGGGAAGGGAAACTATATATATATATATATATATAAGCAGAAAATCGATTCAACTCCAATCCAACCAAGCAAAATAAACCCGATTCAATTCAGTAAATAACCTGCATCTCGTGTCGTGTCCACCGTTCTACAAAGCAATTTTAGAGTTTCGCTTCGTTTCCAGCTTTGATTGATTGTATAGGTTTGGGGATGTTGACTCGCGCCGGAGCAAAAGCACGGAACCTTAGATTTCATCTGGGGGAGAGAGAGAGAGAGAGATCTGGGGCTTTGAGAGAAAGAATGGGACTGAGATTGTGATTGTTCTTCTGATTGCCGACGAAGAGAATTAGAGAGAGAGAAAGAGCATTCATCTGGGGAAAGCTGAAGCTGAGAGAGATGCCAGTTTGATACAAGTAATGGGATCGAGGAGTATTAGCGGGAGAGAAGCTGAGCTGTCAAATTAAAATGTTTTCATTGGTTCTCAAAAAATTAACTGCAAAAAATTATTTGAAACATTTTTCTATTTAGTCTTCTGAAAACGATGTATCTTTTTCTTTTCTTTTAAAATCTTATGGAAAATTGTTTAAGTAAACTCGAAACATCACCGACTTATGCATGCAGTGAAATGGCGTTGGGTACAAATTATGCAATCTCTATCTCTTTGGCCATTATTTATGACTTTTTGACAATAATGTTCTGTGCATTATTTAAGAGCTATCTCGGTCACCAAAGAAAACACAGTCACAAATATGGGTCACGGTCAGGGAATGACTGTATGAATTGAATTGTATATACTGCATACTGTATTTGTATTTCCCTTCATTGACTATATTAGTTTATTACCAAAAAGTTCATAATGCTATGAGAATCTAATAAAACTTACAGAGTTAACAGTATGCCCAAAAAAACTAAATAAAACAAACGATATCTTTTTTTTTTTTTTTTTGTCAAAGACGTAAAATAATATCTTCATAATACTATACGACAAGCTTTGTGGTTCCTACACATATCAACATCAACCATTTAAAATATAATACGTACGAACCAGAACAAACGAAATCCTCTTCCTTCGATCTAGAAACACCCGTACCAAACAAATCGGTTACATCCCAGAGTTCGGTGTTTTTCACTCCTCGGCCTCCATGAGTGATGATTCACTTAACTGTAACGGAACTAATGGTCCCATCTGTGACGAAACATTGTCGTTTCACTAAGTAAGAGTAACGGAAGTAACTAACGCACGCCCCCACATTCAACCAAAATGCGGGCCCCACACCAAAAAGGCGACAGAACTTTGCTAATTACAAAACGACGCCACGTGTATGGGACCAGGATTCCGACGTGTCACTCTTTTTCCCTCCGCGCTCACTGTACTTAAACCCTTGTGTGAGGTTTGTTTTTGTGTAGCTGATCTGTACGGTAGAGGTGTTCATGGGTATGTAGTGAAAGCTGGGTTTCATGATAGTGTGTTTGTGGCTAGTAGTTTACCTTATATGTAATGCGGTCTTTTGGATGATGCGAGGAGTGTGTTCGATGGAATTCCTGAGAGAAAGGGGGTTGCTTGGAATGCATTGATGGTGGGTTATGTTCAAAATGGTATGAACGAGGAAGCGATTGTGGTGGGATTGAAGAAGGGAAACATGCAGTCTCATGCCATTGTAAATGGATTAGAGCTGGATAACATCCTGGGAACATCAATCTTGAATTTCTTCTATTGCAAAGTTGGTTTGATCGAATGTGCAGAGATGATTTTTGATGGAATGATTGAAAGAGATGTCGTAACATGGAATCTGCTTTAATATTTCCATTTTTGAGATTACATCATTGATTTGGTTTTATTATTTGTTACCACTTACCAAGGTCAATACTTTCAGCTTCTCTTGAGTTGAGTTAGTACAATCAAAAACTGGGAAAGAAAAACACTTTCAAAATTATGTTAGAAGAAATCCAATCATAGGTAAAAGTAAAACATAAAAACTGTTATAGATTTCCCCAAAACAAAAACAAAAACAGCATATCATATATATAATAGTCTATAAAACGAACGCAATGGATCATCACTTCGGATCATCAATGTATGTGTGACTTATTAAAAACAAAAATCATACCCAAAAGGTCTCACACTTGACGAGGCTGTATGACATAGGGACTGTAGCCACAGTATCAACCCATTCAATTTGACCCTCAACTTCACCATGGAGGCTCCTGTCAAGCAAAATCACAGCACACCATATTTTCTTGGTTTTATATGGACGAGAAGATGCAGGACTGTCCCAGAAGATTACGAGCTTTCCACCATAAGTACCAACTTCAGCATCATTTATAAAATACGCATCAAGTCCATTCAAATCCTTGACGATTCTCCACTCGTCTGACATTTTGTCTTTCCACCAGCATATTTTTCTCGCATAAGCGTACTTTACATCCTTTATCACACAACCCTTAACCAATCTCTCACCATGTTGTAATCTCTCACTCGAGCTTTGCTTGACATCCCATTTATTTTCGTCTACAAGGTAAACAAAGATCTTCTTCTTGTTCTTGACATAAATATTTCCATCCGCTCCTGCTAGGAATTTATTTGAAGAGAACCGGACCTCAGGGCCAGGGTCCGGTAAAGGTTCCCAAGTTTGAGTCTCTACGTCGAAAACCTCACCCCAATGCGTCGACTCATCAGCTCTACACCCTCCCATTACATATATTTTCCCATCGAGGACGCACATAAGTGCGGGTTCCCTGCGAGCCATCATCATCCTAGGGGCTTCACGCCTCTCGCCAGTCAGCTCGTTTTTGACCCACATAGCCGACGATGGGGGAAAGTTACGACAGTGTATCGTGTATATTTCTGAACCAACCCTTACGCTCCTTACATTTGGTATATTAGTACGATAGGAAGACTGCACCGGTACCAATAAATTTCCAGTAGACTTGTCTTCATCAGTCATGCATTGGTTTAGGGTTTGATTATCAGGTTTTATCCAGAGACTATACCAGATGAGGCAAGGATCGGTGGGATTGGTGCGCGATTTTAGACAGAGATAAAAACACTCTTCTTCAGTTTTAAGTTGGCGTCGTACCTTGTAGAGCTTATCGGAGCGGACAAGCCTGCGAAAGCTAGTGGAGACAAGAGAGAGCTTTGGGTAGTACGAAGTCGATATCAAAGCCAAGCAGGTCAAAACAATGTCCTCCGGTAGTGATTCAAACGACGAAGAAAGTGGCGGAGGCGGCGACGGAGGCCGTGGAGGATGGTTTGACTTTTTCGCTGGTTTTATCTTTATGAGCTTACGAAACAGTTTTAGAAACCCAGAAATCCTTATGAGCTTCATCGGTGGCGCTTTGCTAGTAGCTAAACTGGTGTTAAGTGTTAAGAATATACGACTAGGGTTTTTGTTATCAAACCAATACTATACATGATTTTCCTTTTTGTCTCGAAAATTAAAAACCAATTAAAAATATTTTATCAAATACTACTAGAATTTAGTTGCCTATTAGTATTTATTTACAAATTATAAGTGTCCGTAATAATATCTAACCCCTTGATTTTGCTAAAATACTATATTGACCATGCTAGTTTGTTGAGCATTTTCATGGTCTACATTTCCACAAATATCACTGCCATTTATGATTTATTTGATCATCTCACTGAGGTATTACATGTTCCTTTTCTTAGGTTTATTTGTCAAAAATGTCTTTTTATTTTCTTCTAAATCCCATCAAAACCATAGTTAACCGTTTCTCATGTTTTCTCAGATGGCTAACCATAATTCATAATTATAAATTATAAGCAAATAATACTCCATGAAGAATTAATAAGTATGACATACATAAGCAAATAATATTTACATATGAAAAAGGTAGCTTTATTCCGCTTTATTCTCATACACAGTTTCTTTGTGTGATAAACTATTGTTCTCAATAAAAAATCAATACCATGACAAAATTTAAATTGCTTTGTTTGAAACTCTGTTTTCACGCTAAATAAAAAACTATGCTCGTTCCAAGCATGGAAAATGGTGAAATCCACATATGGAATTACAATATTCTTTTTCCTGGATTATAAAGTGTTACCAATTCCATATGACGAATTTGATATTTTTAAAAAATCTCACTTGTTTGATGCCTAAAATCTGTTAGAAATTTATCTTGATTATTTATGTGGGTGTCATTTCTGTTTGGGTCTCATAAAATAGTTTGATGAAGCTTAAATTAAGCTTGTGTTTGTGCATACATTGTACACTAAGGCAATACGAGGACTATGAGCAGTTGCGTGACATCCGAGAATCTTGAGGTTACGGCACAAATACATGTTGAATTACGTTTATCAATCTGAGTTTATCAGTCTGAATACACATGCATTGAGTTTTAAGAAACTTTTACTTGTTTAAGAAACTTCTTTGAGAGTGGATTAAGAACCTTTTACATATGCGTTGATTACATGTTTCAAAACACGACTACAACTAAATTTTCAACACGAAAAACTGTGAAAGAATAACACTTTCAAAATTATGTTAAAAGATAACTAATCATCAGTTAAACATAAAAACTGTTATAGATTTCTAAAATGTAAAAATAAGAACAGCATATCGTATATAATAGTCTATAAAATGAACAGAATCATCATTTCGTATGAAAAATACAATATACAGTAGAAACTCTATAATTAATACTCGATAAATTAATAAACATGATAAATTAATAAATTTCTTCCGTACCGAGTTGAGTCGGTGTAAAATATGACACAATTTGATAAGATAATAAGATAATAACATTTTTTTAACTCCTATGTAAAATATGGTCCCAATAATATTATAAATTAATAATTATTAAATTAAAACTAATATATATCTAAGATACCTACCTAATAAAATATGAATCTCTCACACACCAAATAGATATGAATTTTTTTTTAAAAGGAATTGAAAACTGTATGGCAAGTATGAAAAATGTAAATAATAAAGTAAATATAAAAACTTTAGAAACAAAGTTAAGAAAAAAAATTAAGAAAATATACGTTGAAAGGAAAATCCTTATTAAATTTGAAGGAAATTTTTTAAAATTATTAAAATTGAATTTTACTTTTTGAAAAAAAAATTAGTCAAAATCTCTATATTATTAATAACTCTATAAATTAATAAAATATCAAAGTTCCGACATTATTAATTTATAGAGTTTCTACTATATGTGTGACTTATTAAAAAATATCACAGCCATTTATTTGATCATCTCACCGTAGGCATATGTAGATGAATCGCCCGGTGGTTTGAGGCGGGATCGTAGCTTGTAAGGTCTTAGAAACGAGTAAAAGATTTATGAAGTAGAATCTCGATATGATAGCCAAGAAGCTCATAATGATATTGTGAGGAATGAAGAAAACTATGAAGATGGAGATGATGGTGATGGTTCTAATTCTTTTCCTCAACGTAACAACACACGTAAATATTAATTAAATCAAACACAAAAACATAGGAAAAACGGAGAAAAAAACAGTACATGAGAATGAGAAGTATTAATAAATCACTAGCTAATTGCCTCTACTAAAGACTTCTAGACACAATAAATTAATCTTTCGAATGTGAATTTGTTTTATTTAGTGAATTCACTCTCACAATTCTCCGACACAATCTCAATCTCCACCACATCTAACAATCCTTTTACCTTAACATCGCATGTAACCGCCACTTTCCTCTTCCGTTTCAACAAGCCCGAGCCATAATTCGCATTCAGCTCCATCGTCAATAACAAACTAACCGCTTCAGGCGGCAGCACATCCTCGTTCTTGGACCCGTCTAGCTTTAGACTAACAGTGTTGAATCCATTCACGGCTTGTGACAGCTCCGGGAAGTCTCCTTGCCCAAGGTTCTTGTTCTTGTAGGTGAGCGAGACAAGACCTTTGTAGGTCACCCACATGTTGGACGCCGTGTTCTTGGATGTCAACATGATCTCGAGATGGCGAGACTTCCAGAGTTTCTTAACGTGGATAAAAGGAGGTTTGGGCTTGAATACAACAAAACGGACGATGAGTGCGATCCCGCAAATAATAAATCCCATGACGACCACTGCGATAAAGAACCACACGAGCTTTCTGGAGCATAATCTTTTCTTCTTTTTCCCCGGCTCGCTATTCATACGTCGTTGTTCAGCGATGGTTGCATTTTCCGGGGGAGGAGTCCAGTAGACTTGATCCCTTGGAACCTGGACTACGTAGGTCTCGATCTCTGGGGTCGGATCATGAGGAGGAGAGCAAGATGATAGTGCTGGGAAGAGATTGAGGGAATGTTTACGTAAATGGAGTGGAGGTGAAGAGACTTGGGAGGGATCAGACGAAGGGACATGGGGAAGGCTGTTGGTGGGACGGTGCCACGTGGAAGAAGTTTCACCTGGTTGGTTTTGATTGTCGTTGGCTGTGGCAGTGGAGGTGGAGGCCGGAGGTTGTCGTGGCCCCTCCATCGGAAAAAATGGTCAGAAGGGAGAATGTATGGTGGTGGAGGAAGTAGTGAAGAAAGAGGAGGAAGAGAAGAGAGTTTGCATGGAGGGACATAGAAAGTAAGTGGTTGTCGTTGCTTTGCGTAACTTTAGTTGGTCTTTTTGGACCGGTTTTTTCTGGCATTTACCAACTCAACTTGTCTTTTTAAAAGCATTTTCGATTTCAAATATGCTGAATGATCATTTTGGTTTATAATTTTGTAATCAAAATGTCAATCAAAATTATCATTTTCGAGCCAAAATGTCATAAGAAAGGTTGTGAGAATAATATTGCGCTCTAAATGCTATATTGGGCTTTATAATTGACAAAAACATTGGGCTTTAGATCGATAATAACAAAAAAGTATACGTCAACACAAAAATAAATTGCATCATAAAAAAAAGAGCTTGGGGATCAAGAAAAACAAATATTTCTCTTTTGGCTCCTCACCAAGGAAAAGATTCTACAAGAGGAAATTGCGGATTTTTTTAGACGAATCGAATACAGAAAATGGGTCTAAGCTTTGGAATGATTTGAATTTCGTTTTAAGAAAGAACAAAGAAATCAAATGTTTTCTTCTCTCCGTCTACTTGTTTCCTGCAAACATGGTGCGAATCAGGCGGCGAACTTTCTCCGGAGGTTAGTCATTCTTAAACCCATGATAAACCCTAATTTATACTCTTTTTTTGTCTGGATTTTGAATTGCGTAGGGGATTTCACTTATCTGGGTTTTATCTAGAACAATTTGTTACTTTATCAACGGAAAATTTTGTTCTCTCTAGTGAGAAATTGCGCAAGTTTGATTCTCTGATGCGAAATTGGGCAAGTTTGATCAAATTTGAAGTTTTTGTGTTCTTGACGAATTTATCGGTCCAGAAACATTAGATTGAGGAATCGAAGCAGTGATTAATGTCGATTTCGAATTGTAGGTCAGGGCCATCTAGACGAATCCAAGCATTCAATTACAGCAAATCAACAAGAAATAGCAGCCATGGAAAGGCAGATTCTAACAACCCTCCATTTCCTATAAGAACTCAAGCACAAGCTCAAGCTCAAGCCTCTCCTCCTTCTCGTGCTCGTTATGCTGCTGTACTGCTTGCTTTTCACTTCAAAACTTTTTAAAATCCCATCTTTTATTCGGTTCTGAAAACCAATTTCCGATGCCATGTCTCCATTTTCAGCCAGCCCTTTTGCTTGGATTTGCTGGATTCATCTCGTTTCTTCATTACAACGATGAAAGGAGAGCAGTTCCTAAAGGTATATTCAAAGACTTTTGATCGCACATTCGCACTGGATTGATCCATAAGAGTTTCTAAGATAAGTTTTTTCCAGGTCAACCAAGCACGAGCAGCAATAGTGGTTGTGGATGTGGCTCGAATACAACCGTGAAAGGTCCGATCATCGGAGGTCCATTCACGCTTATGAGTACACAAAACACGGTAGTCACTGAGAAAGACTTTAGTGGTAAATGGGTGCTACTCTACTTTGGATACTCGTTTTCCCCTGATGTTGGACCTGAGCAATTGAAGATGATGTCAATAGCTGTTGATAATCTAGGTTTGTAATCACTTCAAAAACAAACCTTTGCTCCACTCTCATTTCAGCTCTTAATGATTTTACTAATGATGGGTCTGTGTGTTGGTGGAAACTTAACAGAGTCTAGTCATAACCAGAAGATTATGCCTGTCTTTGTCACTCTTGACCCTTTACGAGATACACCTTCTCATCTCCACGCTTACTTGAAAGGTCTCGTTTTTGTATCTTTATGCTATGTGTTCCAGCTTCATTCTAAACTCTCTGACACTTGCGTTGCTCATCATAACCTTTTTTGTTTTTGTTTGCAGAGTTTGACAGTAGAATACTTGGAATCACTGGGTCTTCAAGTGCAGTGAGACAAATGGCACAGGAGTATCGTGTTTTTTTCAAAAAGGTTCAAGAAGATGGAGACGATTATCTCGTTGATACTTCTCACAACATGTAAGGAATCTTATTCCAATCCCAAATCAAATCTTACTTGTTCATAAGATAAAAACAGAGCTAAATGTTCAGATCTTTTGTTTGTGTGTGTAATAGGTACTTGTTGAATCCGAAGATGGAGGTTGTGAGATGCTTTGGGGTTGAGTATAATCCAGATGAGCTCTCACGAGAGGTTCTTAAAGAAGTTACTTCCGTCTCACAGTGACATTTTTTTGACCAAACACTACGAAACAACACTTGATGGTTTTGACTGAAACCTTTCCATTGGTGAATTTCATTAGACGATTTTGCTGTTACTTGTATTTGTTATTGGAACATGAATATTAGCTACTTAGATCCATCAAAGTCAAAAACTTGCTAACGTTTTGAATCCTGATTAATCACACGCAACTTTATTAATAGTAGCATTCGATTTTGTAAATTTCGAATTATTTTTCTTGATAGCAAAATTACTAAACAGAAAATGAACCAGGGAGTCTAGCTGGACTATTTGACCCGCCTACCATTTATAGAGATACAACGTGGACAATAAAGTTGCAAGTATCTACATAGATATGAAGCCAAACGTGGCATCACTTGCCCAATGTATTGCTGCTGGTCCAATAAAATTTCCATTAATACGGACACCATATATGCAGACAATTAATCCTATAGTTCATGTCGTATTCTTTCCATTTAATAGTTGTATGTAAACAAAATGGAGAAATATCCAATATCTCATCGATTGGTTTTATATGATTCACCAACTAACCAGTGAATTATCAACTAATCGCTGATTAATATCGGGAAATAACTAAAACGTTTTATTTATCGAATCATTAAAGCCACATTACAGTCGCAAGACGACCACAAACAAACAATACAAGAGCCATACAGATTGATTTAAAATCTCAAATCACTCAGACTACCCAAGAAAGCTTTTTCCGGATCTCAGACCCGACCCGGCTAACACTATCCCTAAGCGACACCGGACAGTTGTTCTTCACGGCGGTGAGCTCGTACGGAGAAGTATCGGTAGCGAGCCATTGCTCGACCTCGAAATTCTGAGTCGAGCACTGCGCGTGAACGCCAGTCATCGAAACCTCAACGTAATTGACATACCATCCATGGTGATCGCCGGAGCCGTCGGAGGTCAGGTTCAAGGAGCAGATCGGACTAGGCAGGCACGGTGCTCTTCCGCTGAAAATGTCGAGATTGCCCCTCTCGAAGTAGTTGTAGTCAGGCCCCATTAATCCACCCCAGGCTTCGAGGTTTTTGATCCCGATGTAGTCACCGTACTTGTCGTAGATCCTCACGCTTGCGATCGAGTCGGTGCCGGCTTTCCAGATCGATCCGGTTCGGAGGTAGAATGAGTAGACGCAGTCTGGTTCATCTTCCTGCGGAAACAATCAGAGAGAAATTAGAACTAGAAGAAGTCAAAAACAAAATGAAAATCCGGGAGAAGTTAGAGATTGAGGAACTTACAGCGAGCACGACGACGGAGACTGTGGCGAGAAGGAGGAGGAAAGGGAGGAGAAAGTCGCGGCGAGCCATCGGTGATTGATCTTTTGATTTTCTCTTTTTCCGGTGAGTGATGATTTGTATGCTTCTCTCATGGATGTATTAAATAGATGCGAATATTGAGAGATTAACAAGTGAGGTAATGATCCCGTGTTTCTCGGAGTAGTGTGTATCGCTGACGTGGCGGATTCTTTACCGTCATGATGTGAGAATTGTGATTGACTTTTTTTCAGAACACGGTGTTACTCGGCGAGTCGGTCAGTATGGTTTAGCAGATTACGAAACTACCCCGTATGCCTAGAACTTGCCAGCGTAACAAAATTAAGCTAAAAGAATGTATATTTGTTTTTTCCTTGTGTAACAACAAGTCCACTATGGAAATTTCGGTAATCAGTTTTTCAGGTTTTTATTTCTATGTTAACAAATATTAATATTCTTACAAATACATTTTGTTTATATTTGCTGTCAGATTTTGATAATCTAGGCATAATAACGTTTTTCATACCGGTGGCGATATTTTCTTTAAACGACCAAACCATATCCATGTTTCATAAAGTCTCCAATTTGTTTTTTCGTGTGTGGGGATGTGGGCTAAACACTCTCTACATTAGGCTTCAGTTGTGGGTTTAGTTGCAATATTGGGCCCATGTCCATTTCCAAAACAAAATTATAGACTAAAGTCAAACGCATTGTTGACTTGTAAAGATTAAAGAAGAGTTATGTGATTTTCCTAAAGTAATCAGAGATTCAAAATAATCATAACATACTTTTGGAAAACCATAGATCCCGCTTATAAATTTCTTTTTTACTATACTAAAATACTAAGATTTCAAATAATTTTATAAGTTTGTGATGTTACTAAATGTTTCTATCATATTCTACAATCTCTCGGTTAGATTTTCTGTCAACATATAAAGCTATTATCTATGCTGACTTTTGCCCGATTGTGTCCTGCCACAATCCAAATTCAATTAACCAATCACTTTCATCTCGTCCTTCCCTCACACGTGTTTGATAAACATCCTTCGATCTTTTTAAAACGATAGCAATTTTAGAAGCGTGTTCTATGTGGTACTGTCGTTTAATTAGATCATAGTAGTTTTTCTCCTAATCATTACGCTGATCGAAGACAATAGTTGACTTTTGCTATACATTTTTACCCCATTTTGCGATACAGTGATTATTAATTTCATCATAGTTTAGAATCTAGATTTCAACTAAGATTTTCGATCATTTTAGAAATAAAGTAAAACTCGACAACATTTTTAAATGAGTGTGGGTAACCAAACAAAATTAAGCCGTATGGGTAAAGTGAAAATAGGGTTATGGCATTTTGTTTAATAGCCCCATATGTATATGTATTTCGTTACTTTTATATTTAAACATCCACAAATAAGGAAGAAAAAGGTAAATAACACTTAGCAAGAGATCGAAGCAAAGAATAATACCATCATATATAACATTTCATATTGGTAGAAAAACAAAACAAATCATTATGCGAAGCAATTTTTCAAAATCAACTTGAATTTGACTATCACCAAAACGAATAAATCTAATGTAAACAAACTTTGGATATATGTATATAATATACATAGAGTAGACAATAGTGGATGGTGGTAGTGGAACCACTTAATGCGATTTCACCTTCCTTGTTTTTCTCCCTTTCACACAAAAATAAAATAATCATTAAAAAAATCATGTCACACCAAATATCTTGTTTACCATAATACCATATCTCATCGAGTACCTATTATCATCCGAATCACTTCTTACGTTTTCTCTCATCAAACTCATACAAAAAAATTTGTTTCCGCTCAGAAGATGGAGTCCGGTAATAGTAGTAGCATGCAATCTTCAAGCGGCGGAGGAGGAGGAGGAGGGGAAGAAGAGTACGATTCACGCGCCGCGGATCAATCCATTTCCGCCTTCTTCGACCACCACAACCACCACGTGTCCTCTCTTCCTCCGCCTCAACAAAACCACCTCAACCTCCTCCACTTCGACCACAACAACAACAACTCCCTAATACCACCAGACTACTTCAACAACAACAACACGTTCTTACAAATAAACCAACAACCCGACCCGATACATCAACCCGACCTCCGAACCTTCTCCGCCACGTCATCGCTCCCTCCTCCTAACAAAATAGGAGTAACCAAGAAAACCAAGAAAAGATCCCGAGCATCAAGAAGAGCACCAACGACGATTCTAACGACGGACACTTCTAACTTCCGAGCAATGGTTCAAGAGTTCACCGGGATTCCAGCTCCGCCGCTATTCAACAACAACTCCGTCGTGAACACCACACGCCTCAACACTTTCCTTGGCTTGTCTTCTTCCTCACCAAACTCTTACAATAACAACAATCTCTTGTTACGACCTTTCGCTCAAAAACTCCTCCCAACGTCTCCTCTCTTATCCGGATCACAGATTCAACAATATCAAAACCCTAATGGCAGTTTCGAGAATATGAATCTACAGTCTCTTCTTCAAGCTCAGATTTCAAACATTACTTCAAACCCTAGAAGCAATGATCACGATCAGTTTGGTCTTGGTATGTTGCAGATTCCATCTACTACTCCTCCGGCGACGACGACGGCGACTAACGGGAACATAACCACCGGTGAAAATGGAAGTTTGGGTGGCTCCGATCATGATCATAATAATGACGGTACTTGGTTATGCTCATCTTCCGACCAAAGAACATAATAATATCTATATATTGTCCGAAAATCTAGGCTAATGTCTTGACATGGTATTATTCAGCAAAATTAAACATAGCACATGTAGGATGAAGTTACTGATCATATTTTGTATTTTAAAAATACTTTTAGAATCATTTTTCTCTTGTAGTGTTTGTTAATTAATCATTTGTTAATCTAATGTTGCTTTTTGGAACAATGAAACTATAATAATTGACTATATTATATATGTGTGGTTTATGGATCCGTGCACTTAGTTTATATCCTATTCAATATTGGAGTGATTGGTGGCGAAATTTGTGGAATCTTCGACGGCCGCCGGATTCTGGAGTATAGCTTCGGGACCATAGTATATAAAATTTTAGTTGTATTATAGCTTTTATAATTGTGGTGATGATTTGAAATTTGATAAATTACTGTTCTCCCATGTGCTTAGTATTTCTTGGTGTCTTCTCTCGCAATCATCTACATTAAGAGTCATGTTTCCATTATGATATATAATTCCATTTGATATATGTTTTTCTTTACTTTCCTCTCATTTTTACCATGCTAATAGATTTGAAATTTTCACGAAACAAAATGCAGAAGCGAATACGTATGTAAATAATCAATAGTGATGATTAAAATGCAATGCGTCCGTCTCTCCATAAAGTTCGTACCCTTTTTTCTTCCATCTCTCTAGTTCTTGTTTTTTTCTCTCACTAATTGGATAGATTTATTCAGCTTGATCTCTCTCGCTCTCTCTCAACACGTCAGAAATGTTTTGTTAGAGGACTTTTTAATAATGTCATATGCCACTGTATATAATAAGTCTTACAAAAACAAACTTTTCTTTATTCGCAGTGAGATTGGTCGTCCAACAAATAATGAGATTTGATGAAAATATCTTTTGCTTGTTCGTGTGTACAAAAGTTTGTATGATTTTTTGATTTTTTTTTTTCTGTCCACGGACAAGTTACACGACATAACCTATACACATCACTTACATATAGATTGACCACAATATATGCATATACGATATACGTGTGTCTCTATCTAAAAGGAATATATATGATGATGATGGTTATTATTATGGTGGTGGTTATGGTGGACCATGATATTGAGCTATTGTCGCACTGATGGGTTTCCTATAAATTTCGTATGGACAGATCACGCTAATACTCGGTTTCATAGTCCAGTGATAAGCCACTGGTATGGCCATTAAGTTACTAATACTATCCAAATGATTCGATTCAGGTTCTGTATATTACTATATTTGGTGGGCCGATTGGCTCCAAAAGTTAAAAGAGTTGCTGCTAAAGGAGGATATGAATATACCTGAACATCAGGTTGTGATGGAAGTCTAAGATGAAACCTAAAATGATATGATATATGAAACATGTAATACACATTATAAACTTGTTAACGCACATTTCACAAAAGTTGTGAAATACATATATTGGTCCGCTATGAAAAGTGTTCCACGTGGTAGACTTTTGACAGTCGTATATATCTTTAATGAAAAATCTTGGTTGCTTAATCCTCAAATCGCAGATGAGGCTGCTGAGAGTTAGTCAATGGATTTGGTACTCTATTGATGCTTTGAATAAATTCCAGCTTTCAAATGCATCTTCCTTTTAATGGTCCGTTAGGTCTAAAATCAATTTTTGTCAAAGGATATGACCCAACAATAGAAAATGATATCGAATTCTTATTGGTTTATGTATCTAATCACTCGATACTTTTCTCCTGCTTAAAAAGACGATATTAAAAAAACTACTACACGCGAATAGAATCTTCCGAAAAGGTCATAGTGCCTAAACCAATCTCAATCAGAGATTAATCAAAATTCTTGTTTTCGTTTGATATTACTGTATTTAAAAATTAAATGAACCACTTGCAAAAAATGTTGACTTTCCATAGTATCAGTCTACGAATGCATAGAAATAAAGTTAATTTATTCTTTAAGCTGTAAAAGCAGTAAACGTGGCAGTGTGGGTCCTACAATCATATCCATGATGTTTGGTTTTTGCCCGTTGCTCTCTCTCAGACCAAACGCTTGCGCTTTCCCACAGATAAGGAAGAAGAGAAGGAAGAGAGCTCGAATCAAATCCAACAATGGCATATTCTGCTTTAACACTCACACAATCTCTCTACACACGTTCCTTCAGACCTATCACTCCCACCATCTTCTCTTCTTCTTTTCCCGCGTCATTCTCGTGTCTCTGTTCTTCTTCCACCGATTGCGAGCCGAAACTCACGTTCCTCGCCGCGAAGAAGCGCGTTTTCGGAATGGGTCTAGGTTTCATAGCAGCTTCGATTCTCTCCCTGACGCCTCTGGACGCAGACGCCACGAGGATCGAGTATTACGCCACCGTTGGAGATCCTCTCTGCGAATACCGCTACGCCAAATCGGGGCTTGGCTTTTGCGATATCGACGAAGGATTCGGTGACGAAGCTCCTCGTGGCGTTCTCGTCAATGTAATATATACTCTATCTCTCTAATTTTCCCCTAAATCGATATGATTGCTCTGTTTATGGTCTTTTGAGCACATTTCTGGATAAAAATGTCAGATTTGGCCCATGATTATGTTTAATCCATTCGAAAAACTTAACCTTTCTTGCTAAATTGCTATGATTTCTCTGTGAACGGTGTTTTGTGTTGAATATATACGAAAAGTTTCTAAATTTGGCGACTGGAAGTTGTTAAAAGAATTTGGAGTTGGGGCAGGTTCATTACACGGCGAGGTTTGCAGATGGAACGTTGTTTGACAGTAGCTACAAGCGTGCGAGACCACTTACTATGCGAATTGGAGTCGGAAAGGTACTACAACAAAACCCTTATTGAAAGTTAGTTCCTTTACTCTTTTGCGATTAAAGTCAGTTAGTCTCTATGAACAGGTTATTAGAGGTTTAGACCAAGGGATTCTTGGAGGAGAAGGAGTACCTCCGATGCGAGTAGGCAAGTTCTGTTCTGTCATCTTCTTCCTTGTTAAGACTTGAAAACATAACTCTTGTTGTGCGGTCTTATTTACAGGAGGGAAGCGTAAACTTCAAATTCCACCTAAGTTAGCTTATGGACCAGAGCCTGCAGGATGCTTCTCCGGTACTTAATTCCCACCATTTCACTTGTATATGTGTAATATTTTACTTATGCTTGTTGAAAAGATATGTGAATGTGTTTAATAATCCGATTTGTCTTATTTGGTTTATGTAGGTGACTGTAACATACCAGGCAATGCAACTTTGCTCTACGATATAAATTTTGTTGAGATCTATCCAGGAAGTAATACAAGATGAAACCCAACTTTCTAATTCGTTCGCCAGATAAAGAAACAACTATATATGTATATGAATATGATCATGTATATCACCAGGGGACTCCTTTAAGTTAAACTGAATATATAAAGGATTGGGTATTTTCGGTCCAATTTCAGTGTTCAAGGTAAACAAATTTAAAATTACATGTCAATGCAAACATGAATCAATCTATTTACAACTTTTGTTTTCCAGAATTTTTGATTTGGTATGAGAATTTTCCAGACAATTTTACTTCCAGTTCAATATGTACTTTAGCTTAGGTGAAAAAAAATGTGTGTTAGGTTAGAATCAGTATAGACAAGTGATGTACTGAGTCTAATAATATGTGTGTTACGTTGGATTCGGCTACTTCCTTTATTTACACAAGCAGTGATTTGATATCCAATTGATTAGGCTAGCTAGAGAATATTCACTAAGTAATTTGGCCAAATGGATGGCCCATTCTGAAAATGGAATTTATGAGAGTTAAGTACCGGCGACGTTAGGGTTTGGAGCGTAGCTCGAGAAAGTGGAGAGAGCGGCGATGAGGCAGGAGAAAAGTGTGATCAGACTCATGCCTTACGAAAACAGAGAGGAGGGTTTCGACGAATGGTATAGAGATGCTTGCTATGGTGGGTCAATGGTGGATTATCACCCAATGCATGGATTCTATGTGATGCGGGACACTTCAATGCAGATATGGGATTCTCTCAAGGTATGGTCCCTTTGGGAGTTTGTCAAGATGATTTTCACTTTTTTTGCCCTCGTTATTTGTTCTAAAACTAGGATAGGCTGCTAGGGTCATAGATTCTTGGTCCTTTAACAGTAGGTTTGTGACTTTGCCCTACTGTGTGTGTGTGTGTCTCTCTCTATCTGACTAGGATGTTTTCGAGCGGGAGATGAAACGCATGAAAGTGAAGAAATGTCACCTCCCTACATTCGCAGAGAAAGAATCTTCAGAGGTCAGAGATTCCCTGTACCCATATTTCAGAAAGTGGATCCATGAGGCTTCTGACTTGCCTCTCAAGTACAGCCAGCCAATGGTTCCACGCTAGTATGTCTGAGATGAGCAAACCAATCCCTTTTCTCAGGTAAAAACGAATCTAAACTATTTAATCCCAGAAAAACTCATATTTCTCTTTAAATGCAGGAGCCGTGAGATCCTGTGGCAAGAAGGCCATAGCGCCTTTGCCACTAGGGAAGAAGCATACCTTGATGTCAAGAATGTGATGGACATTTACTGCCGCATCTACGAGGAGTTTCTCGCCATCCCTGTTCTTACAGGCCGTAAGAGCGAGGACGACAGTGGACTCTTGTCCTCCACTTTGCAGGTAATTAGGTAAACTTACGAGGAGTTGTTGGATACTGTTTATTTAATTACCATTGTGATCAACTTTGTTTTTCTCAGGTTTTCATTCCGGAAACCGGTGGTGCCGTGCAAGGCGCGTATTCAAACTGTCTAGGACAAAGCTTCGCTAAACAATTCAACATCTGCTTTGAGAAAGGGATTGGAGTTTATTCACTGGTTTGGCAGAGCTCTTGGTCCTTCAACTCTGCTGCGGTAATTGTGCCATCCATTAACCTTCATTCTCCTCGTGATTTCAGATTTCAAACCATCGTTTTTCTTTTCTCCTCTTGGCTTCATTTCAGATCGGATTGATGGTAATGGTCCATGGAGATGACAAAGGGATGGTGCTCCCTCCTAACGTGGCACCAATTCAAGCTGTCTTGATCGCCTTAGCCATTGATCAGAGCGTTCGTGATGCCTGTGCTGCTGCTGCAATCCTTCTGGAGCTAGCCGGTATCCGTTGCATTGTCGACTCTTTCAGTGACATTCCTATCTCTTACAAGCATGCTCATTGGGAGCTAAAAGGGATTCCTCTCAGAATTCTCATTGGAGGCTCAGAGATTGCCAGCAACACGGTAATGCAAAACTTTTCTAACAAATAAAACATTACCAATTAGACTCGTGGACATCAACTATTTTTTTTTTTTTTTTTTTTTTTTTAATCTTTACAGGTTCTTATAGAGAGGCGAGATGATGGTTCTACGACATCCGTCTCGCGCGATGACCATGACCTCGGTGAACGTGTTGCTCTTCTTTTGAAGGAAGTTCAGACTAGTCTCTTCAAGGTGGCCAGGTCAAAGAGGACTGAGTCTGTTGAGAGTGTGGAGACGTGGGAAGAGTTTGTGGATGCCCTCGAGAGAGGGAAGCTGGTTTTTGCTCCTTGGTGTGATGAGCAGCAGGTGGAGAGGGATATCAAGGAGCGTACATACGGGCTTGCAAAACCCGTTTGCACTCCCTATGATCAGCCGTGTCTTCCTATGGGTAATTTCTTCTTCTCTTCATCTCACATCTGTCATTGTTTCTTGTATATAAAATAATAAGATTCTCTCTATATATAAAATAATAAGATTCTCTTGCATTATTTCTTTTATTTAGGTACTCTTTGCTTTGCGACGGGAAGGCTTGCAAAGACGTGGACATACTGGTCTCGTGTTCTCGTCTCTGAAGGATGATTATAACTTTTGACTAGTTTTGTAAGGCTAGTAACTAGCCAGCTTATTTTGTCGTTGATCATCAAAATGATTTTTCGGTTTTCTTGATTGAGCTGAGTTAGACCACCGACAAGGACTTTACTAGGCTCCATCACCGACTTGAGTTAAACGACTTGCTATTATATTTAGCAAGTTCTTGTTACTTAAATTGTTTAGTTATGTATCCATCAGTATTTCATATGATATGATGCACATGAATCCACATCACAATAACAACCATCAGTATTTCAACATCTATAATATGGTCACAATGCAGGAAACAAATACTTGAAAAAACATAATTCATGAGATCATCTTATTTTTGATTAAAACTTCTGTAACACTCTAACTCAGAGAAGATCTCTCTCGAGAACATCTGCAGTGTTTTTTAAACATCAACCCGTGATCCGAATTCTAAAAGAAACACTGTCTTTTTATCGTGCAGACATAAACATAGGAGAAATACAGAATCGTAAACAACAATTGATTCTTACTCTGACCAAAAAAGGGTTGGTGCTACTGCCCGCAAAATCAATGAACTCATCAAGGACTCTTTGAGTATCGAGCTGAACAGAAACAAAAAAGAATGTACCTTTCAATGGAAGATCTGAGAGGGATGAGATCAAGTTTGGCTGACACAAGTTGCATAGGATTGGAGAACAGTCAAAGCTTGTTCCGCAATGGCTCTGTTTCTTGCACTTCTCACCCAATCGCCGACTACTTCCTCTGCTTTACTTCCTTTAACGCCTTCTTCAAGTGCAGCTGCTGCTTCTGCTAGTTTCCCCTCAGCCAAGTGATTCTCAACTTTTTTAATTACAGATTCAATGCCTTCATTAGCTTCATCCACTTCCTTGAACTGTAACACACAAATATCCGAGGAAGCAATTAGTTTCAGATTTTTTGAGTGCAGAGTTTTGTTTCGCAAGTAGCAATACCTTGAGCCAAGATGCAATATGTGCTAGTGAATGTGTCAAGATTCCTCCGCCACCAGGTGGAATGAGACTGAAGTGTCGAAGTGTTCCTTTCAAGCTTTTAAACTGAAGGTAATAAAGAGAAGTTAGAAATAAATAAGTAATTAAATCCATTGAGATCTATGAATGAATAAGAAGCCCACCTTCTGGTTCAGCTGCAGTGTTGTATCTGTTCCACTGGATCGTACTTCTTCTGGAAGAGATGATAACACCAAGCCTAAGATTGAATCCTTATGAATTCCTTCAAGATAAGTCTGAAGCGTATCGATTTCTTTTTGGATTGGCAAGCCTTTCGAGAGTGTAGCATCCAGCGCAACTGCACCCTACAATAACCATAAGTTAAAAAAAAAAAAAACCATATAAACAACTTAAAAGGTGGTATAGAGAAAAGCAAAGTTATATAACATTAACATGAACCCATGACAAAAACAGACATTCGATTCTTACCAACGCAAGCTTGTGAACTGAATGACTTTGGCGAGCCTCTTCAGAGCGCGCATAGAATGCCATACGCAGGGCCTTTATCTACAGAAATCAGAAGCCAAACAAAAAAAGAGACATGACTGAACATTCAGGAAATCTACTCAGTTACAAAGAGAGAACACAAAATTGTCAAGTTAAAATTTTATCATGTGGCTTCATTAGAACGGAGCCCATCACGTCACTTTTATGGATATCTCATCCTTAATAGAATTCTTGGATACTGTGTTTCAAGAACAATTCATTCACTTTCTTTGTCTTCATGACATGTTTCCAACGAGCAACTGGATTACTAAACTTTCTTCCTAGTTATGGTTTCTAAACAGTCAACGCAATATTCTATACCATGAGATTGGAACCATTAACTAGTAGGAAATGAAGTAGAGTGTTTCGTTTTTACTTACATTAAGATCGACCTCTGCCATTCTTTCAAGATGTGCTGCCTTTTCTTTTGCAATTGCCGAAGTCAACTCAGCCTTTGCCATTTCTTCAGCTTTACTCAAAGCCAACTGCGCTTCAGTTTCCTGCAGTGAATACCAATTATCAGTAATGACTTTCCAAATCGCCATACAATTCTGTTATCAGCTTCCCTGCAACGAGCATACCTTTTGTTCAATTTCTGTTTTGAGCTTATCTTCCATTCTCTCTTGGATTGACTTGATAGCAGCTGCTGCTTTTGTTTTTTCTCTTTTTAGCTCCTGGAGAAAGCAACAATGGCACTTCAATTTTAGTTGTAAGTTTTATTTCTACTCAGGATCTTAAATACCCAGATTATATGGAATCCAGTTAAAAAATCGCATCAGATGTCCATGTTTATAAGAGAAGCAAATATGATATTGAACATCATCATGTTAGACTGATGCAGCATTGCGACTGGACATATGTTCTGGAAGTGAGTTAATCAAGCAGAGGTAAAGAGATAGAAGCACCTTATCCAATATCGCCGCCTCCTCTATACGCATTAATTCACGTGCCCTAAGATCTCTCAACTCATTTTCGTACTTCTCCTGAGGACAGTCAGAGTGGCAGGAGTAAGCAAGTAAATATCTCACAGATAACGCAAAGAGAGTACAGAGATGAAATCATTATATGAGATATTTCATCTTATAAGCAACCTTCAAGGCTCGCAGTTTTTCAGCAAAAACTTGGGCTTCTAAATGAGACTGTCTCTCCTCAGCTGCATGAATGGCATCAAGAAAATCAAGCACCAACTTTCCATCCTCATTCATGTAACCATCTTTCACCCCCTCAATTGAGTTACGAAGAGCCTAATTCACGAAAACAATGCAGATTAAGTATATTTCAAGCAGACCATCAATCAATACAAAGCACTGAAGGAGCAGAGAACAGGAAAATCAAGTGTGAAACCTCAGTTTCTTCAGTTAGTTGTTCCCTAAATGATGAGGATCCAGTGCTTTCAGTACCATTGCCTTCTAGATTGTATTCCTTAAGGAGAGAACCTGGCTTTTCTACTTCCCGCTCAATCCCATCCTGTAAGAGAACGATTGATTAGAGATTTACATCAATCCTTCTTAGTTTATACCTTCATCTGCTACATTTTAATTTGCAAGCTATTCGTTTCATCACCTGTAGTGCTCTTTCAAGTTCAACTTAAGGAAAAGTTAGTACCTCAGGTGGCGTTTCAGTGGCAGGATCCTTTGGTGAAGCAGATTCCATAACCGAACTAGTCAGGGCATTAACAACAGTACTGTCCTCAGGTTTTGGTACAGCTTCCAACTTCACATTTCCCGCCTCAGATATAATCTCTGGGGACGTGTCAGACTTAGTACTCGAATCTTCAGATGTAGCGTTATCATTCAAAGAAACAGGCAAGCTTTTCTCACTTTCTTGAGGCGTCTCTTCTTTGTCAGAAGAAATATATGTATAACGGTCAGGTGTTACATCAGACTCGGGTTGCACGTCTATGACTATGTCACTCTGCATTCCCCCAGAAGCTTCAGGTAGCGTTTCGGCTTTACCATCCACTGATGAGCTGATTCCAGCAGAATCTTCAACACCAGGAGGAGCCACATTCAAATGACGAGCCTCCTCCAGTTTTTCAGTAACAGCAACTGGCTCACTTAATTTCTGATCTTCTTTCCCCAGATATTGATCCAAATACCCAGTCTGATATGCTACCAGAAAGGCACCAACAACAGCGACACCTCCGAGGACCACTTTCGAAGAACTACCTTTAGAGCCATCTGGTTTCCCCACAGGAGGAGTAGTAGGAGGAGGACTCACATTTGGAGGATCAGCTTTAGGTGTCCCCACGGGATTAGCTCCGGGGAGGCCAGTTTTGCCAGATGTAGATGCCTTTCTCGAAGAACTCAGATGAAACCTCTGTAGCAAACACAACGTACACAATCAGAAACAAGAGTGTGTGCTCACAAAATGTTAAGAAGAAAATCAATCACCACTAAAATTGCATACTCACCTGAGCTCCCAAATTCGCCGGGAATCTCTTTGTTGACAAACGCGAAGACAGCTCGAGGACAGACCTAAGCCAAAGAGCAACGAGATCATCAAATTTCAGTAAGATTCACAACGAATCGAGCTAATCAAAACTCACGATAGCTCTCAATTTTAGAGAGATCAACAACGATAGCAACAGACGCTAAGCCTACACAAATATGATATTGCCACAGCAAGAGAATCCAATCGGTAACAATTGTATAGCACCAAATTGACGAAAGGGAATATAATCTCCGATTTCTAGGATTGAGGAAACGTACTTCCGCAGCATTATCGCGTTGCTACTCGTGAAGGAGCGATATTTTACGACGGACGGAGAAGACGACTTGGGAAGGAGAGCCTCCGGTGGGTAAAATATTCTCCCCTCTTGGAAAACCAAAATGCGTCAAAACGACGCCGTCTGTGGACACATTGATAACCAAGGGTAATTTCGACATTTACTTAGATAATGGTGATGTTTTTCATACAAGCCCTTCCTTCACTTCAAGTCCTCGACTTTTATTCATTATCAAACACCAGACGAACAAGAACCCTAGAATTCGCCTCCTCTTTCAATTTCCCAAATTTTTTTTCAATCAAAAACAATGACGGGATAGGAAATTTTCCCAATGTACGCTTTATCTGTTCGTCTCTTTTAGAATTACTGCTGATAAAGCTCTCTCTTTCTCCGTTTCACATCTTCGAGATTTCGTTTTATTCAAAGGTGCGTTCTTTTTCTGGGTTTGAGCTCATAAGTTGAATTGATTCGTCTGATTTGCGTTGAAATTTTCGAAATTTGTAATCTCTCCGTGGTGGGTTTTGATTATTGTCTTATGCTCGGAAGTCTCTCTAATTGTCGTTCTTAATCTTCTTCGAATTCAGGTTTTTTTCATTATCCCGTCGTTCGTTCACCTATTTCAAGAAGTTTCAAGCCAATTTACTGTAAGTCATATTAAAAGCTGATCTCTTTTGCATTGTGCTTGTTAAGAACTGATTTTGATTTTGTTTTCGTTTTGCTTTTCTTTTAATTGTTGTTGGCTGATTTGGATTGAGAGAAAAGTGTTCCAGTGCGATGGATTTTTATAATTTATCGAATTTAATATTGGATTTTTTTGCTTTGTTTTTCAGAATCAGGTCATAAGCTAAGATGTCGTCATCACCTTATCCAATCCTGGACAACCGACCAATTGACAAGTGGAAGGTTACGGAATTGAAAGAAGAGCTCAAAAGACGGAGACTAACAACAAGAGGCTTGAAGGAGGAATTGGTTAGGCGTCTTGATGATGCCCTTCGTGCTGAGCAAGAAGAGTCTCAAAGACTCAACGATGCTGCTCTTGCTGCTGCTGTGGCAGCCAATCAACAGCCTGAGTTTACTCCTATGCCTGGAGGCAACAATACACCACATCGAATGCAAGCTACTCCTGTTGCTCCAGTTGAAGCGGCGGTATTCAGCACTGAGACAACTCCAGTTGCAGCTGAGACAACTCCAGAGCCAACTGAGGCTAAGACAACGACTGAAGCATCAGCTGCGGCGGTTGAGACTACACCACCCCCGGTGTTTTCTAACTCAGGTGAAAAGGTTGATGATGTTAGAGATGTAACTGGTGATGATGTGAAGCTACAAGAACCTCAGGGATTTGGGATGGCTGCAACTGATGCAGTAGTTGCCGAAGAGCCGTCCAGTGAGCAGATTGTTGAGAACTCTGAAGTAGAGATAGAGAATAAGGAAACCTTTAACGGGTTTGATGGTTCTATGGACCAACCAACAGAGTCAGGTCTTGAAAAATCTGCTATGTACAACCAGGTATCTGAGGTCATCCCCGTTACAGGGTTTGAGGTAAAATCTGATTGTATTTCTACTGATTCTGTGTCAAATAATGAGAAAATAGAACTAAAGGATAACGAAATTGCTGATGATGTCAAATTAGAACAAATTGTTAGTAAGTCCCAAGAGCCATCAACTGTCGTTGGTGAATCGCATCCAATGGATGTCGAGAAGCCACTTGAGCAGAAGATGTATGTTGGAGGTGGGGATGACAGCGTTGCTGCAAATGCTGATATGAGCATAGGCAATAATGATATCGATGCAGGGGACTCAGAAAAGTTGAATTTAGATAGAAGTTCTGGTGATGAGTCTATGGAAGACGAGCCAGAGACTAAGCAAACTGAGTCAGTTACATCTCATGAAATGGTGGAGAAGAGTGAGAAGAAAGAGGAAGCCCCTGAAAGTAAAAGCCATCCAATGGTGGCTTCTGACAAAAGAAAGCTCCCTGTTAATGGTAAGGCTTTTTACTCTCATCTCTGTGTTTATGGCTACTTCTGTTGTCTGTTGGTTTTTGAAGTATATCTGTTGACTTGAATCTAAATATGATGAAATGTCTTGATTTCTACCTTGTAGAGCAAGAAGCTGTTGGAAACAATGAGCCTGCAAAGAGGCAACGTCGATGGAACTCTGAGAGCATTAAGGTTCCTGAAGCACAGGCCACTAACAGCGCCACACCCACTACAACACCGAGGTCAACTGGTCTGAAGCGTGACTTCTCAAGATCCAACTCTTCGGTTAGTGAGGATGGACCCAAGGAGCGTGTGGGTATGTAACCTAGCACCCCTTTGTGTATGTTTCTATCTCTTGTTTTGTTCTTTGAAGCCATTGATATTTATATGCTCAATATGTATTTGCAGTTCCTCCATCTCCAAAGGAGCCTACGAATTCTCTCAGGATTGATCGTTTCCTTAGGCCGTTCACACTGAAGGCTGTTCAAGAGCTTCTGGGAAAAACGGGAAACGTCACTAGCTTCTGGATGGACAACATTAAGACCCACTGCTATGTATCGGTAAGACCATTGCTTCTCCAATCTTTTTGATTTACAAGAATCTCAATTCCATCTTGTTCTTCCGACTTCAGTTTTCTAAATATACAAAGAATTTATTGTAACTTTAAATTTTATTGTGATGTGATGTGAATGCAGTATTCTTCAGCTGAAGAAGCTGCAGCAACAAGAGAAGCAGTGTATAACCTCCAGTGGCCGCCTAATGGAGGACGCCTTCTGACAGCTGAATTTGTTGGACCAGAAGAAGTGAAGGCAAAACTGGAAGCTCCTCTGCCTGCTCCTCCTCAGGCTCAGGCTCCATCGCGGGCACATCCAACTGCTCTTCCACCACCACCGCCTCTGGCCAAAGCACCTGTTGCTCTGCCTCTTCCTCCACCTCCTCCTCTAGTCCCTGAGGAACAGGAACCTCCAATAGTCACTCTGGATGATCTTTTCAAGAAGACAAAAGCAATCCCCAGGATATATTACTTGCCCTTGTCAGAGGAACAGGTTGCAGCTAAACTTGCCGCTAAGAACAAGTGATGTTGCTGCTTGTTGGGAATGTGATGTCAGGTCATTATTTTCGTAGCAGGCTCTTAGGAATTTAGCTCAGTGCGGACAAAAGATGAGGACACCTTTGTTGAGTTTGGTTTGGTATTTTCTAATGTAGAAGGCTCTTTTTATGTTTAGTTGACTTTGGTTTGAACCTTTCTTTGATGAACGAACAGAGTTTGCTCGGGACCTATCTGCTATCCATTTCTCTTTTCTTCCTTGTTTTTATGGAGCTATGAACAATTGTTGGTTCAGAAATAAGTAATAGCAAACCAATATTATCAAATATATCTATCAGTCGTCATAGTAGAAGTGGAGCCATGCCTCTTCCTTTCTGATTTATGAGAGAAAGTAACAATGTTTTCCGAGATTTGCAGTATCAATAATATTAATATTACTTGCGTAGAGAAAACCTTCAAAACTTGACAACGGAACACCAAATCACACGCATAGTTTACATTTCCACGAAAACTAAAAACACGACCAGTAAGATTTGTGAACCAGTTTTTCCAAGAATTTTCGTTTAATTTTACTCTTGTGATTGGGTTGCTACTTAGTTCACAATAAGACAAACGAGATGGGGAGATTTTGTAAGAAATCCTTCCGGTAGGCAAAAGAGGATTCTTTTGCATAACATGTACGGCCGTACGGGTGCATAACTTGCTCCGAGGGATGACATTTCCGTTTAGTGTTAATTAACGAGATAAATGTTGTAAGAATTTTATGTAGCTTAGAGTTACCAAGTGAGGGTTGAGTTTGTTGAAGAGTGCCTTTTTATAGAGGTTTCTATGAGAAAAAAAAAATTGAGTTGTCAAAACAATGTCTGAGCTCGGGTTCGAACCGGGGACCTCTAGTGTGTGAGACTAGCGTGATAACCGACTACACCACCCAGACTTCGCTGCTTAGTTCATTGAAACTAGTTATCAATACACTTTAGTAATATCAAATCAAACCAAACCATATTATATACATGACACAATCGGTTAGAGTTCTTCTCAACATGAATGGTTCAGTTCGGGTTGAGTTTAAACTGAACTAAACCGATAAACTAATATGTTTATTGAATTATCTCATTTGTTAATTATACATATTTATATTTATTCAGAAATTTGGAAAAATAGTAAAATACTAAATGGTTATTAAGCAAATACTCTTCTCTATTTTTTTCTTATCTTGACGAAAATAAATAAATAAATATTGTTATCATCCCAATTCCCAATCAATCACCTACCCCGACTATAATTTAGACACAGACAGTCAGACACGTTCATTGGAAACTCAGATCCTTTTTTGGTAAAAAAGAGAAGTCAGATCTGTACGGCGAAACTGAATTTCATTTCTTCTGGTTCTTCTTCATTGGCGATCTCAATCTTAAATCTCTTCGGATTTCTTCTTGTTCCTCTTCATTGGCGATCTCAATTTTAAAACTTGTTGGAATCTCGCAGCGTCAAGCCATCAACTCCTAGGCTTACTTGGTCGCTTTATTTCTTATCTGAAACTCTGTTCTGGTCTGGTAAGTGAATCTCCATTTCTTTATAAGAATCTTGATTTTGAATCTCAATTATTTGACTCGCTTATCTGTCAGAATTGTCATCTTAATTGTGGTTCCTGTGCGGCTGTTTTTTTTTGTTTGCGTTTCATGTTTTGGTGTTGTATGGAATGAATCGTTTTATTCTTCATGATTTATCTTGGTTTGTGTAGAGTGTCTTGCGATTCATAATCGAGGAATATGGTGACCAAGTTCGTGGCAAAGAGTAACGGAGTTAAGGGCCGGACCTTCCACACCAAACGGCCATGGATTCTCGCGAGAAGATTGCTCTGGCATTACCGTAGGAGGGACCTGTTCGTGGTGTTCATTTGCCATAAATCACGGCCTTTCTTTTTCTCACAAGGTACACTTTCATTATCTAAAGTTTTTTTTATTTTTTATTATTACTTGAATATTTGGCAAATTTCTTTTTATTTTCTTCTTCCGTCATCAAAACCAAGAATCCCGTTTTCATTTTTCTTTTGATCTTATGAGTTTTAATATGAATAATCCTTTCTCATCACTTGTACAATGAAATTTACACAACTGAGCTTATAATACAGTGGCAAACATAGCTACTTAATAATGTTAACTTTGCAACAGCAGAATAGGTATCCACATAAATCCAATTCTTCCTTTTGATTATAGGCAATCAAAAGTTATGTTTTGAATTTTTAACACCCATTTACATGCTTAGTAGGTGGTGAGGAATGCAGTTTTTAAGTGTGATTGTTCTCAAGTACCTGCAACTCCAAACTCTTTATAGCATTTTCCCATACTATATGACATTTAGGTTCAGTATAGGTAGTGGGTTCAAATTTCTAGGTAATAGCAGCTATATAAGTTTGGTATGGCAGTTATATTCTTAGTCGAACCACTTGTACCCGAAAGCAAAAGTATTGTGGCTATTGTCGACAATCTAGTGATGTCAATTTGGGCTGAAAATCTGCTTCTCCACGGGGCGGGTTAATGTTGTAGTTTTTGACAACAATCTCAAATGGGTTAAACCCGCGTGAGTGATCCAAGTAATATGATAAAAAATAATTTATATATAATGTTAAATACATATGGTTATGATTTCTAAATGCAATTTACCAAGTAATATTAACTTCTTCTTCTTTTTTTTGTGTATGATATTTTTGTTTTATTTTATTATGCATAGGAGATAACGGATAATTAAAATTAATTCAGAAGAGTGATGTTTCTGAAATGGAATCAAAACTGGAATGGATTAACGGATAATTAAAATTAATGATTAACGAATAGCAAAAGATGCTCCGTTAACAGTTAGTTCTAAAACAAACAATTAACGGATAATCAAGACTAACTGTCTACTACATTGTCAATAATTTGTCACAGACGAGTCGCTACTGCTTTTTCTCCGAGCTTCGTCTCTGGAGGTTTTTAGGTTTATCCCTAAAGCTTTTCCCCGGAGGCGTCGCAATGACCCGATCGATTGTGGTGTCCAAGTGTGAGAGAAAGAGCGAATCGAGGACCGTCATCAACACAGAGAAGAAGAGAGTGTACGGACTGAGTTTCCATTATAAGCGACCATGGATTCTCGCGAGTTTGGATTGTGGCGAGATCCAGCTGTGGGATTATCATAAAGAGTGTTTGATCCGTCGTTTCGGTGAGCACCAAGGACCGGTTTATGGTGTTGATTTGCACAAATCGACTAATTTGTTCGTCTCTGGAGGTACGCTTTCTTCTCTAGCTCGGGTCGTAATCGTTTGGTAGAAATTGGTTAATGTGTCTGTGATGTGCTTGCTCGGTTAGTAAAATTTGTGATTCAAACTCCACATGTTTGCTACTTCTTGATTCCACAAGCCAAATCGTGCCTATATGAAAGATTTAAGGGTCGAAAGATTATGGTTTGGGATTGTAGGAAGTATGTTTGCTAAAAATTGGTTGATGTATGTGTAATGTGCTTGTTGCTTGCTCGGTTAGTGAATTTGTGATTTAGATTCCACAGAGTTGATATATCTGTCTGGTTCTTGATTGGATTCTTTGCAGCCTTTTATGGTTTACATTAGCAAACCAGATCGTGCCTTTATTTATTTAGGAAAGATTCTAGAGTCTGAATCACAAGATTCTTGCAGGGGATGATCGAAAGATTATGGTCTGGGACTGCTACAAGTCACAAAGTCTCTTCACTCTGCAAGGGCATGGAGATATTATCAGAACCGTGCAGTTTCACCACGAATACCCGTGGATAGTTAGTGCTAGTGACGATAAAACTGTACGCATATGGAACTGGCAATCACGGAATTGTATCTGTGTCTTGACCGGTCACAACAGCTATGTCAAATCCGCCTCTTTCCATCCCACCAAATACCTTGTCCTATCAGCTTCTATGGATTGTACAGTCCGTATTTGGGATATTGGTGGTCTTAGGAAGAAGACACTGTCTCCAGCTGATGCCCTCCCACGTTCCAGTCAGATGTTTAGTGGTGATGATGCTATAGTCAAGCACTTGCTCCAAGGTCATGCCGCAGGAGTAAACTCGGCTTCTTTTCATCCTACCCTACCTCTTATTGTCTCTGGCTCAGATGACAACCAACTAAAGTTGTGGGAAATGGATGGTAATCATTTAACTTTTTTGCCGAACAAAATTGGTATTCAATCATGGATGGTACACTGATACATGATAATATTGCTCATGGATTCGTTCTGGATTAGTTATGAGTTTTCAATGTCATTGCAGAAACCAGAGCCTGGGAGATAAAGACATTGCAAGGGCATACAAACAATGTGTCATCTGTTATATTCCACGCGAAACAAGACATAATTGTCTCCAACTCTGAAGATAAAAGCATCCGCGTCTGGGATGACATTGAGCAAACTGCAAATCTCACTTCCCGTCAAGAGATGAAATTACGGAGTTATCCACCAGGTCACCCATTGAATCTACAAGCAGCGAGATTTGGGAGTGGCATGATTACTTCATCACGCACTTTCCAGGAAGAAGAGAAATTCTGGAGTCTTGCTGCTCACCCAGAGACAAATCTACTCGCAGCAGGACATGACAGTGGTATCATCATCTTCACGGCTAAGAGAGTACGCCCTGCATTTGTTGTGAGTAATGATTTTCTGATATATGCCAAGGGTCATGAGTTGCGGCGCTATGAATTCTCAAATCAAAGTGACTCGCATATTATGCGTTTACCAAGTGGGGCAAGGACTCTATCTTATAGTCCAGAGAAAGATGCATTACTCATCTCCACAAATCCGGATGGGCAATATGAGTTGCGCAAGTTATCAGAACCGACAAGTCCGCCTTTGTACCCTGGAAATTATCAGTCTGCGGTGTTCGTAACACCGAATAGGTTTGCTGCTCTTGAAGACTCTCGTAAAGTGTTACTGATAGATCTGCACAACAAGATCCGTTCAAACTTTAGCCTGCTAGTACGTGCTGATGCTGTTTTCTACGCCGGGACTGGATATCTGCTTTGCAGATCTGAGCATCAACTGTTGAAGATTGACATAAATGGTGCTTTCGTTGCTGCGCTTAAGATACCATCTGGATCTGTTAGACACGTTGTTTGGTCTCGGGATATGGAGAGTGTAGCTTTGCTCAGCAAACATAGTATACGTGTTGCAACCAAGATGCTCGTCAGCCAGTGCTTCATTGAGGAGACAATACTAGTGGACAGTGCTGCTTTTGATGAAATTGGTGTCTTGCTTTATACTACTTTGAGCCACATCAAGTACTGTCTTCCTAATGGAGATATTGGAACCATACAACCCCTGGAAGTCCCCATGTACATCACCAAGGTTTGTGGAGATAGAGTCTTCTTACTGGACCAAGATGGAAGAAATGGAGTGGTTACAATCGACCAAAGTGAGTACCTTTTCAAGCTTTCCGTGCTAAATGACTATGATGTCACGAGTAGGATCTCCGAGATAGCTATGTTTGCTTACCTGGATCAGAGAGGCTTCCGTGAAACTCCACTCCATTTGGAGAGTGAAAGGATCCGATTCAAGCAGGCTATCTCCAGTGGCTGCTGAATCAGCAACAGAGTTGCTTGCTTATGAGTCTCTTAGAAAAGGTAATATCCTTTCAGCTGAAGTGTCTTACAAGCAGACAAGAAACTTTGAGAGGCTTTCTTTTCTCTATTCCGCTACTGGAAATCTGCCCAAACTGTCGGAGTTGATGAAGACTGCAGAAGCGAAAAGCAACCTCTCGTTTCAGCTTCAGAGTGCGCTATTTCTGGGGGATGTTGAAGAACGCATTAGGATACTTGAGAAAACTGGAAATTTGACTCTTGCGTACACCACGGCTTCAGTGCACGGTTTAGTTGACGTTGCGGAGCGTCTTGCAAATGTTCTAGGAGAGTTGCCAACTTTGCCTATAGGCAAAGCTGCTCCGTCGCTTCTGATGCCTCCGAGGCCTGTCATGTGTGGGGGTAACTGGCCAATGATTGCTGCTCTAGGTCAAGGCGAAGAGGTTATGGGTGATGAAGAATCTCTAGGTCAAGACGAAGAGGTTATGCGTGCTGAAGAATCTAATGTCGCGAGGGTTTCTACTTAAAGACGAATTCAAGGCTAATGATTGTTGCTCTAGGTCAAGGCGAAGAGGTTATGCGTGATGAAGAATCACACCTCGTCGGGTTTTCTACTTAAACAGAAGTTCGTTGCAAACTTTTATGTTCGTTTTTTTGTTTTTTTTTACCAGTTATGTTCGTTTGCAAGTAAAAACAAGCGTGTGACGAATACAAAACACAAATTATGCGGTAAAGGACAGAAGAAAATAAAGCATGCCAATCGATCATGTGCTCATGTTCACACAACTCGCAGGTGTATATGACACAGGGACTGTACACACAATGTCAACCCATTTAATCCGACCCCAAACTTGGCCACTGATCCTCTTATCAAGCAAAATCATAGCACACCAAATTTTTTTAGTTTGATCATTAGGAGACAAGGCAGGACTGTCCCAAAACATAACGAGCTCCCCACCATAAGTACCAATTTCAGTATCGTTTCTCGAACACGCATCAAGTCCAGTCAAACCTTTGACAATTCTCCCCTCGTTTGACCCTTTTTCTGACCACCAACACTTATTCTTGTCATAATAGTAGTTTACATTCTCTATCCAACAATTAATGACCATCAAGCGCTCCTTGACCACTTTCCATTCCTTTTCTTTTATAAGGTAAACAAAGTTCTTATTCGTAGCCTTCACATAAATCTTTTCGGACCTTAGCAGGAGCTTTATATTTGAAGAGAACCGGACCTCAGGGCCAGGGTCCGGTAAAGATTCCCAAGTTTGAGTCTCTATGTCGAAAACCTCACCCCAATGCGACGACTCATCAGCTTTACACCCTCCCATTACATATATTTTTTTATCGCTGATGCGCGTAAGAGGTTCCTTGCGAGCTAACATCATGCTAGGGGCTTCACGCCATTGGCCAGTCAGCTCATTATAGACCTTCACATCCGACGAGGAGGGTGAGTTTTGTGTGCCACCGCACTTGTAAAGTTCTGAACCAATATTTGGGAACATTATATCTGATGGGCTAAGAGAATAGGAAGAGGGCACTGGTACCAACAAATTTCCAGTAGTGTTTTCTTGACGCATCATGCATAGGTCTAGGGCTTGATGATCACGTTTTATCCAGAGACTATACCAGATGAGGCAAAGATTGGTGGGCGATCGTAGGCCGAGATAAACACGTTCTTCTTCAAATTTGATTTCTCGGATTCGTACCTTATGGAGCATCCTGGAGAGGATGATCGACCGGATGCTCTTGGAGACAAGAGCTAGCTTCGGGTAGTAGGATCTTGATATGCGAGCCAAGCAGCTCACAATAAGGTCCTCCGGTAGTGATGTAAGCGACGACAGAAGAGCCGGCTGCGACGACGGAGGAGGTGGAGGATGGTTTGGCTTGTTCGGCGGTTCTGTATTCGACTGCATAGCGGCGCCTTTGCTTGTAGTTAAAATTTAGTTAGATGTTAGGTTGTGTTCCTTGTTTAGTTAGGATTTTCTTAAAATACTATCCTTTTTTTTCATTCATTTACATATAACTATATAAGTCACCTAACCATTAATATAGTGCCATGTGGCATGTGCTTCAACTATCTCCACGATCTCCACCACATTCACTTTTCTACTCTTCTTCTAGCAACGTCGGTTTTCAACAACGAGTCAACGACGACGACTAATCAGATAAATTTTCCATTTTTAATGTTTGAGAACATAATAATATGCTTAACACATTACATAAACAGTAGGAAACTTTCTTTTTTTTTTTCTTTGGCCTCGGATCAAAGCTCAAATTTTAATTTACATGGAGAAAAAACAAAATATTTACAAGACAACCTTTTTCTTTAGTTATGGTTTTGTTACTTGAAGTAGAACAAAACTGTCACCAGTCGAGTTTTATGTTCCTTTCAATGTAAAGCTTGTCAATATACTCTATGATTGGTAGTGACGCTTCCATGTACCTCCTCATGTTCTTCTCAACAGATTGATCTGTTTCATCGAGCCGTAGCAGAAGTTGATCCCTAGTCGGAAGTGTATACATTCCGGCGTAAACTGCGGTTCTAACAGCCCATGTATGGAACGGTGCGCATACTTGTGTGTAAGCTGTTGTTGCTGCGTCTTTCAAAGAATACTCATCTGTCATCAAGAACTGTTCGAAGATTGCTCTGATTAGATCTAAGCCTTGTCTTACACGTCTTAGGTTACGCGAATGGCTTCCTGGTGTTTTCACCGTCTCTTTTTCCACGTCTAGGTCCAAAATGTTCTGTAACGTGTCGAATGACTTCGAGGCCTCGACCAGATCCTTAACCTTGGAGATGTACTCCATTTCAGCGAATTTGAAGGCGAATCCGAGGCAGCTGAAGAGGATAGAGACGTGAGTACACGCATTGCAGAAAGCATCAAGCCTTAATCCGATCTCTTCTTCATCCTTCTCCGCAGGTTTCAGCAAATCTGCAAGATTTTCGAACGCTTCTGTGATTACAGATAGAGGCGTGTTGACTCTGGCGGGTGTCTTGGAACACACGGCATCCTCGAACGAGTCGTCTTCTTCCTCTTCCTCTTCCTCTTCCTCCATCACTTTCTTCCTCTCCTCCTCCTTTTTATATAGCTTCGCCACGATTGCTAAATTTTTCAAAAACTCTCTTTGATCGTGATGGGTCAGAGGAGGAACTTACGAGAAATGAAAGACGTGTTTTTGGTTTTGGAAGTGGAGGAAAATAAAGAATTGAGTTTATGTTTTGGGACGTGACACATCGCAACACTTGCGGGTTCACCAATCAATCAAAGTGAGAAATGTTTTTTTTGGATCATAACTATATAAAGAATGGCTATAAATGGTTGCTGCTATAATTTAGGAATAGTTCTTGTATGAACTTTTAAGATTATGGTGAACAATTTCAAAAGAGAAGAAACTTTTATTTATGTATCCTCAAATCAAAGGAAGAGAGAGTTGAACTGGTTCATCAAAAGGACAAAGAAGCATTGAAAACAGATCATACGGTTAAAAGCTCTCATTCGCTTTTCTTTAGTCTTTCCTTCACAACCTGGAGATGGAATAGTCCAATGCATCTACCAAGAAATCTGTGGATACAAAGCACCATTCATGACATTATACATTTTGTTTGAAACCAAAAACAAAACAAAAACTATGATAAGCAAACATATAGATATGAATTTACCTGCATCGTCTTTGGAGAAACACATTGGTGGCTTTATCCTGAAAACATTCCCATGAAGTCCTCCTTTTCCAACGAGAATGCCAAGTTCTTCATAAACAGAAAAAGTGCAAGATTTTCGTGAGCAAGTTGATGCGTTTAATTAAAATGTGAATGCATTTGGTTTAAATGTTGTTTACCTCTAAGATGCTCAAACAAGACAGCTGTTTCAGCCTTGGCCGGTGTCTTGTCTTTCCGATCAGTTACAAGCTCGATCCCAACCATTAATCCTCTTCCTCTAACATCTCCAATGACTGATACCAAAAACAGAGGCGGTTTAGTTATAAAAAAACAAAAAACAGAGTAGGAGCTCAAATATTGTTATGTTACTTACTATCATGTCTTTTCTGCAGATCTTTCAAACGTTGAATTAGGTGTGAACCAACTTCAGCACAATGTGCTTGGCGTTTCTCATTGTCAATAACCTTTAGAACAGCAAGTCCACCAGCTGAACACACAGGGTTTCCACCAAAAGTGTTGAACAGAATCTTCGTAGCTAAAACACTCGCGATTTCTGGTGTAGTCACTACAGCTCCTAATGGCAATCCATTTCCAATCCCCTGTGAATACAATAGTCACCAGTTTGTTACTAAAGGTAAATGACAGTCTATGATTGGAGAACAGAGCAAATGGTAAAAAAAACTTATTTTGACAAACCTTTGCCATTGTGACTATGTCAGGAACTACATCTTGAGTCTGGAAACCCCAATAGTGACTTCCTGTTCGGCCAAATCCAGTTTGGACTTCATCAGCGATGCATACACCACCAGCGTTGCGTACAATGCCATACACCGACTTTAAGTAACCAGGAGCCAATTCTACAGCTCCTCCGACCCCCTAAAGTTGAAATGATAATGGCATGGTGAATAGGACGCTCAATCAAGAGAGCCGTGAATCAAAAGACAATAGCTTATAACCTGGATGGTCTCAGCGATAAATCCAGCCACTTTTCCAGAAGTACCATAGTCGATGTGGTCTTGCACATCTTTAGCATAAAGAGAACCATCAGAGCCAAATACTCCACGGTATGGATCTGGATTTACAACGTGGTGGATTTCCCCCTGCACAATAACAGAGTTGGCAAACGAAAGTTACAAACACGCTATTGCAGAATATTATATAGTCACTCAAGCTCAAAAACAGAGACGATATGTCTATTATGTGCAAATGAACTTTTATAAGGAATGGGGACAAAACCTGTGGTAATGGGTACTTCCATGTGTTAAGAGCTGTTAGTCCAATAGTATTAGAACTTCCACCATGATAAGCATTTCTCAGCGAAATCATCTCAAGGCTACCCGTGTAAAGCCTAGCCATCATCATCGCTAGCTCATTAGCTTCCGAGCCAGAATTTACAAAGTACACAACCTGCATTCAAATCATGAAGCTTGCTGATTTATCTCAGAGAAAGAAACAACAAAAGCCTAACTAAATGATTGTTGTTTCAGAGCTTCTTTCTTTAAATGTCAAGTACCTTTAAATTTCCAGGCATCTTAGCAGCTAATGCTTCAGCGAAATCGCCAATGGCGTGATGGAGGTATATGGTTGTCGCATGCTGAAGAAGCTTGCTCTGTTCATTAATAGCATTCAGAATATCGGGATGGCAATGACCGCATGAGACAGTGACTATACCAGCAAACGCATCCAGATATCGCTTACCACTCTCATCAAACAAGTACTGCATCTTCCCTTCAACGATGTTAAGCTGCAAGAAGAAAAATACAACGCAAGGAACATAAATCAAGCGGCTTTAACCACACAAATCAAAAACCAGTATTGGCAAAATGCAATCAGGATCAAAACCAACGTTTCGTTTGATTTCTAATGACTCTGGCTGCATCAATGTATTCACAGGCAGAGTAAAATTGATCAAAATCAAGCTAATACATCCGGGAATTTCAAATCCCAAAACAATCGATTCATCAATATGCAAAAATGGGGAAACTCATGAATCTAAAACCGCAAATGACATTTCCTAATCGGAACTGATCAAAATAGTGTTTCGATCCTACTATATGTGATTTCAGCAGAATACGTCAAATCGGAAAATAAGAAAACGGAACGTACAGGCTTTTGGTAGAAGTGGAAAAGAGACGGTCCGAGAAACTTCTTCCGTTTCTGGAAAACTTCATCGGCGGAAGGACCAGTATACGGCCGCGGCTGGTAATCGAACGGCGGAATCTGCGGCGGAGAATCGGCAACTGAAGGAGAAGTGGAGAAATCAGAGCGGAGGAAGGAGATCGCAGGGCGATGACGACGGATCCCGGAATCTACGACTCTCTTTAGGAGTTGACTTTGTAACGCCATTTCTGTACGGAAATTAGAGAGAGATTTCAAAAAATTAGGAGAGAGAGAGAGTGATAATGATCATTATATGGTACCGTAGGCAAGATTAACAGTGGAGTTAATAAGTGACTAGTGAAGATTAATAGAGTACAGTTAAGAATATATTTAATTCAAACATAAAGTGATAATGATTCCATTGATTTGCTGGCTAAAAGCACTGACAGTGACACATCACCGCCGATATCCTCTGCATGATGACGTGTTAATGACTAGAGAGGGTGCGGAGTATCCAAGATTTTATATATCCTCCAAGTATATTATTTAGATTCGTTATCGATAATTATGTAAAAACCATGTGATAAGAAGCAAAATTTCATTTTGTTTTTTATTCTTTGATTAAAGGTATAATATAACCATTACAATTTTCGTTGCAATACTCCATGGGAAAAACAATAAAATCCAATCTCAATATCCTGAAGGGAACCCTCCTTTTCTAGGATCACTGACTGCCACAAGTCTACTCATTCCGCCGGAATTTCCACCGGATTCTTCAACTATGAGCTGAGAAATCGTCCCACCGGGTAACGGCGTCAGGACGTGACCTTTCTTTTGCAACACGTCTCTCTTCTCTTTAGGAATCTCGAAATGTTCATTGTAAGCCGTCGTCCAGTTCTCATACAGAATTTGGTTTGGTATCAGCTGAAAAATGAAACCAAAGAAACAAATTTTAGTTATGAACAAGAAGATTCAATAAGCACATAAAAGAAGAAGCAAAACCTGATGGTAGATTCTCGGAGCCAAGACCGAAGAGAGAGGATCCATGTTGAGGAAAAAATGATTCAAGAAAACTTCAGTTGCTCCAGCAATGATATACATTCCTCCGCTCGCACCCACCGCAGCTTTCACTTTACCATCCTGCGTTAAACCAAAGAAGACAGAAAAAACCGTACGTTGTTCAGAACCCTAATTCAGAGTTTCTTGTAATGCAAGTAACAAGGTTTTTAGTTTTTTTTACCTTTAATACAATAGTGGGAGCCATTGAGGACAAAGGTCTTTTCCCGGGACGGATGAAGTTAGATGGTGCCGGCGGTGGCACATCCGGGTCAACGTTAGATTTCACTGGCATTGAAAAATCGTCCATTTCGTTGTTCAGAACGATTCCGGTGCTCGGAGACAGCACCACTGACCCAAAGTAACTGTTTATCGTACTGGTCATGGAAACAGCATTCCTCTCGCTATCTATGACCGACAAATGGCTTGTCCCGTGTTCATTGATCTGATTCCATCTATACGAATTAGGGGAAAAAAAGAAAAGATTTATAAATCAACCATATGAAATATATACGAAGATGAAATTTGAGACTTACTTGCCACCGTAATACTTTGTACCAAAGGTTTTGTCATCGTTTATCTTTTCCTTTAGCTCTTTTGCAAACTTTGGAGACAACATATCCGAAACAACATCAGTAACATTGACGAAAGCCGGATCTCCGAGGTTCATTCGAACTGCGAATACGTGTTTCAGAGCCTCCACTATTCGATGAGTGCCGAGAGGTCCCGAAACACCCGATGGAATCTCATACTGAGAAAGAATGTTCAACATCTGCAACGCAAGAAACTCCCAAAAGTTAAACCTAGGTTTGATGAAACGTGAACATTTTATCAAAGAATTAAAAAACAGACTTACAAGCATCATTCCAGGGCCACCGGACGAAGGAGGAGGCATTCCGAGTAATCGGTATCCACGAATATCCGCAGATAATGGTTCTTTAACATTAACTTTGTAACTCAACAAATCTTTCAAAGTTACTATCCCTCCGGACTTTTGTATATCACTCACTAGGTTAGCTCCAACCGTGCCATTGTAAAATGCTTTTGGACCGTGTTCCGCGATTTCACTCAGCGAAAGAGCCAGCTTTGGGTTACGGACGATCGTGCCTGGTTTCTTGAGCTCTCCGTTTGAAACAAAAAGCTCAGAGAGACCTTTGTCGGCTAAGATATCGTCTCTGGTCGTGTTCATTTGCACATAGAGATACTTTGAAATCGCGTATCCTTGAGCTGCAAGTTTCTGCGCGGGAGACACTAACTGCTTCCACGGTAGCTTCCCGTGTTGTGTCCAAGCCGTGAATAGACCTGCGACCTCCCCGGGAACGGCTACTGATAAGGGTCCTTTATGCTTAAGCTGACGATCACCACCATACATATCCTACATCAAGAACGTTGATCAGGAAAACGATAATTACATAAGTTCAATAGTCTTTGTTCAAACACATACTTAAAAAACGTTAGGAAATGCTATTAATCTGTTTATAAATTTCTAAATCTAGAGAGGAACAATTAGAACTTATGTTTAAGGAAAACATATATTTCAAAACGCATCATTCAAAACGTGTTACGTACCTCTGTGGCGCGGAGAGGAGCGGTTTCTCTAGAGTCGTAAACTACTTCCTTCCCATTAGCTCTCTTAACTACTATAAACGCTCCACCGCCTATACCGCTAGATGCTGGACTCACAACGCCCAAACACAGCGTAGCAGCGACCGACGCATCAATCGCGTTTCCTCCTTGAAGAAGAACTTCCATCCCGATTTTAGAACACCTTCCATCGTCCGTTGCAACCGTACCATGATACGCAACACTACTTTGCTGAGCCGCGGCGTTTTGAAGAAACGCGATTAGAAAAAGACCGATCATCGCCGTCCGTACCAGTGACATTCCTAAGATCGATCGAGTCAAACCAGAGATTAATCACAAAGGATAAAAAAAACAAATATGATAATTTAACGTTTAAAACATCAACAGATTCGTTCAACATTAATTTTGAAAAAATCTCGACACTTCTTGAAATTTAAATTTAGTAAGTCCGAGTTCCGACTTATACATATACATGCATATAAACTAATAAAATTGAAGAAGCTTCTAACAACTGATTATTTAATTAAGAACATCTCCATTACGTACGTACCCACTTATGGTTAATCTAGTTTTTTGACAACAAATAGTCAGTTTTCGTGTAAGAAAATCAAATGACTCGACAAATAAACCAACCAACTATCATAAAACACAAAACACAAAAGAACCTATACCGTTCATGTGCATGTCTCTTTCTCAAGAAGGTCTCCCCTTCTTACGTCCTTGGCAATAAGAGATTGTTCTGACAAATGTTAGCAAGAGTCTGTGTTTATATAAGTCTCATGTGAACTATATATTTTGGTCGGTAGATAAATTACGAGGAATACAAACCTCCTTTCCAAAGTTGAAAGTCTTTCAAATTTTTCATTTTTTTGCCAATGTTTTTAATGTTCTACAATCGGGGGTGAAAGGAAAATGTAATCTAAGAACATTAAATTATTAGTCAATATAATATATTTTGTTATGGTCTGAAATATGTAGGACTCCATTTTTTTTGGCAAGTGCTTTCAATCTCAGACCATATATAAAAAAAAAGCTTACATTGACTAATAATGATACATCGAAGATGAAAGAGTCTCTTCAATTTTACATTGACTATCAAGTATCAAATACCAGTCAAAATCAGTAATTATTTTTTCTTCAAAGTTCATAAAATTTAACATGAAATCAACGTTTGAATTGATTATACTATGGAATTCAGTTCACTTGGGCTACAATAAAAAATTTCAAGATCAATTTTATTGTAGAAAAAAAGAGGTTAATATTCATCGGAAGTTCGATGCAATAAACAATAGAAAAAAAGAAAAAAAACAATCAAGGCCGATCTCAATATCCTGAAGGGAACCCTCCTTTTCTTGGATCACTGACCGCCACAAGCTCATTCCTTCCGCCGGAATTTCCACCGGATTCTTGAACTATGAGCTGAGCAATCGTTCCACCGGCGATCGGCGTTAGGACATGACCTTTCTTCTCCAACACAACTCTTGTCTCTTTAGGGATCTCGAAATGATCACTAAACACCGTCGTCCAATTTTCATACGTAACTCTGTTTGGTATCAGCTGAAAAAAAAAATTACAAAAAAAAAAACTTTTTTAGTTATGAGTAGAGAACAAGAAAGTCTCTATTTTGGGGTAAAAAAAGAAAAGACGCAAAAACCTGATGGTAAATTCTTGGAGCCAAGACGGAAGAAAGTGGATCCATGTTGAGAAAAAAATGATTCAAATAAACTTCTGTAGTCCCGGCAATGATGTTCGCTCCTCCGCTCGCACCCAGTGACGCTTTCACTTTACCGTCCTGCGAAAACCAGCCAAAAAAAAGTAAACGTCTTTTGTAGCTCTAAAGAAGAGTTTCGTGTGTCACAAGCAATAAGGTTTATTCTAACCTTGAGTACAATGGTGGGTGACATTGAGGACAAAGGTCGTTTCCCTGGACGGATGAAGTTAGCCGGTGCCGGTGGCGGCACATTTACGTCACCGTTGGATTTCATCGGGATAGAGAAATCGTCCATTTCGTTGTTGAGAACAATTCCGGTGCTCGGAGACAGCATCACTGCCCCAAAGTAACCATTTATCGTACTAGTCATCGAAACAGCATTCCTCTCGCTATCTATGATCGACAAATGGCTAGTCCCATGATCATCGATCTGATTCCACCTACGAATTAGATAAAGAAAGATCGATAAATCAAGAATCAAAGAAGAAAATCTGTGGGTTTATTTAACAGTGCAAAAACTTACCTGCCGCCGTAATATTTTGTATCAAAGGTTTTCTCGTCGTTTATCTTTTTCTTCAAGTCTTGCGCAAACTTTGGAGACAACATATCCGAAACAACCTTACTAACATTGACGAAATCCGGATCCCCAAGGTTCATTCTAACCGCAAAAGCGTGTTTTAGGGCCTCGATTAGTCGATGAACGCCGAGAGAGCCTGAAACACCTGATGGAATCCCATATTGGGAAAGAATGTTCAAAACCTGCAACGCAAGCAACTCCGTAAAAACCTAAAGTAAACCAAGGTTAGAAAAAATGTGAAATTTTCACACAAGAAAAGAAACTTACAAGCATCATTGCAGCACCACCGGATGAAGGAGGAGGCATACCGAGTAGTTTGTATCCGAGAATGTCTGCGGATAAAGGTTCTTTGACCTTTACTCTATAACTTTGCAGATCTTTCAAAGTTATGATCCCTCCGGATTTAAGAATGTCTCTCGCTAGTTTCACCCCTACTGTGCCATTGTAAAACGCTTTTGGACCATACTTGCCGATTTGTCTCAAGGTTAAAGCCAATTTAGGGTTACGGATAACCGTCCCTGGTTTCTTGAGCTCTCCATTTGAAACAAACAGTTTAGAGAGACCTTTGTCTGCTAAGATATCGCCTCTAGTTGCGTTCATCTGCATATAGAGATACTTTGAAATCCTGAATCCTTGAGCTGCGAGTTTCTCTGCAGGATACACTAATTGCTTCCATGGTAGCTTTCCATGCTGTTTCCAAGCCGTGAATAGACCTGCGACTTCCCCGGGGACTCCTACTGATAAGGCTCCTTTCTTCTTTAGATCAGCATTGCCTCCATACATATCCTTTAATTATCAAGAAAAACAAATGTCTTTAGTTTAAGCAACACACAGCATTCAAAATATTCGTCTAAGAGGAAGAAATCCTAAGAAACGCTATTTAGGCTCAAAATCGCGTTCAAAACGCTAATCTAAGTGGAAATATGTTGAAAGTGCTATCTGAGCTAAAGATAGCATTGGAAAAAGTTACTTAATAAGAGAGCACAGTCAGAAGCACTATTATCCGTATATTATTTCACGTCAAGAGCAAAAACATAGCTTTACCAAAATGATAAAACGCTAACGTGACCACATATTTTAAAACGCATATTTTGAAAGAAACACAGTACGAAAACGGCGTTACCTCAGTGGCGCGGAGTGGAGCGGTTTCTCTAGAATCATAAGCTATCGCTTTCCCACCAGCTATTTGAACCAAGGTAAACGCTCCACCGCCTATACCGCTAGAAGCTGGACTCACAACTCCCAAACAGAGAGCAGCAGCTACCGACGCGTCAATCGCGTTTCCTCCTCGACGAAGAGCACTCATCCCGATTTCAGAACACCTTCCATCGTCCGTCGCAACCGCACCGCGATACTTGACAATACTTTGCTGTCTTTTCTGAGCCGCAGCGTTTTGCAGAAACACGATTAGAATAAGAGCGATCGTCGCTGTTCGAACCAACGACATTGCTGTGATTGATGGAGAATAAGACCAAGATTAATCACAGTGGATAAACCAACAAATGATTTTTACGGTTTAAATAATGACAGATTCGTTTAACAATATATTTGACGAATTTTCGAACTTTCCTCGAAACTCAAAACAGATTTGTCGAATATTGAAAACTTTTAAACCAGTCTCACGCGTACACGCAAAAGCTCAAACCTACAAAAGTCTTTGTTGTGCTACTGTCATGACTCTTGACCACACACAGAAAAAGGCTCAAAACTTGGATTAGATGATTCCCAAAAAAAAAACGCGACTTTTTATTTCTTGTGTTTTGAGTCAAAGCCTGATTAATGAGTGGAAATTGAAAAACCAGGGACCAATCTGGAAAATTCTCACTGGGTCAAAAATGCTGACGAAGCTTTTAACAAGACTCTCTTCATTATCCAATAAGCTTGTTATATCAAACAGTCAAAATTTTAGGTGAGAAAACCAAATGGCTAGAGAAATAAACCAACTAGAATAACTAGATTGTCGTTGTATTGACGATTTACTTTTATGGAATTAGGAAAAACAAAATAACTTACAATTCATGGGGACGTGCGTCTCTTTCTCAGAAGGTCTCGTCCTTGGCGTGAAGAGACTTGTGCAGAGGAATATATTTATATACAAGTCTATGGTGTAAAGGTCTAGTTTGAGTTGTAGATAAACCTATGACGTGAAGTCTTTAATTATACGTACAGGGAGAATATTATTCAACAATGTAATAAAAGAAAGTTGGTCCAACACTCCACATGGCTATACAACCAGAAATCTTATAAAAGTATTTTGTACATTAAGATATGAATTCATGTTAATCATTTGACTAATTTTAATACAGTTTGATACAATGACTAAAAAATGACTTAATCATCTATATTTGAAGTAAACCCGTGAAGTTTTTTCTGAGTGCTACGGGTCGTGCCAGGCTTTTTGAAATACATATATGCTAATTGGTCATGAAAACAAGTGCTCGTCTTCATCAATCACCATGCGTTGTCCCTTACACCCTCCTCGTGGACCGTTGAGAAAAAGAAAAAAAAAAACCATTATTATTTCGTCCAAATTCTGACTTCCTATCGTCTTTAATCTTCAGTTCTTCACCACACACTTAACTATTTTGAAAAACCACTGGCACGAAAACAAAAACTAGTTGGAAACATGTGGGGTTCTGTGGACATTAAAGTTGAATATCACAGTTCGGCCTTTATTTGATACTATTATGATTTTGGTGGGCCCTTTGGGCCTTATTCCAATTGAGGGTACATACGTAATTTCGTATACTAGTTACTGCCGAGATCTGTTTACGCCTAATTCTCCCGCCCAGCTAATTACTGTTCAACTTCAAATGCTTTTTGATTTTGGGGTTTTTTTTTACTTCCTTGTGTTTTAGGGTTTCGAGCTCAACCTCGAATTCAATTTGTTCTGATTTCAATTGCATGATAAGATAATTCCGTCTTGCTTTTCGAATTGAGGCCATAGCTGTTTGAAAGGATCCGATAATGCCGAAGCGAAAAGCGAAGAAGATTGTCAAACGCACTGAAGAACAAAAGACGGACGACGAGAGCGACAAAGGAATTCAAGGAGAAGAGAAGAAAGAGGACTTCGTCGACGAAGAAGGTATCAATTATTCCAATACCCAATCACACATTTTGCGCATATTGAATTGAATTTCTCTCTACTGTTCGTTGCTGAAATCGGAATCGGCAAATTCGTCTTTTGTCCTAGACTATTGTTCTCAGTGATATTGTCCTTGAATAATTTCAATTCAAATGGTGAATAAGAGCGAGCACTGAATTGGAATTTAGGATTTTTTTATGAAATTGGATCTGATATTGATGTTTTTATTTTCTTTCCGGAAACATTTTGTGTAGCTGAAAGACAGCAAGCTGCAATTAGAGCAATCCGTGATGTTGAGATTGAGCACACTTTGACTGCACTGAGCTTACTCGAGTCATATTTTGCTGAGGAACAGATGCAGACTCCCGTGTTACAGTTCTTTAAAGAGAAACTCCCGAATTTATCTCTACTCAGAAACGAAGAAAGTGGGGAGATTGAGCTGAAGTGGACTGACGAAAATGGTGATTCGTTCATGGGCAATGCAAATGGGGTTGACTTGAATTATTCCATTCTGAAGCGCTTGTCGATGGGTTTTCCAGATTTTTACAGTAGGCCATCTCTTGGTGGTGGCTACGATTTACCTGGCAACGGTAAGGAAGAAAAGAACTTAACTAGGTTCCTTTTAGGGTAAATGGATTTGAGTTTCTTTTCATTTTGGTGCTAGAGTTTGACTTTAATTTTGTTTTTGTCTTTGGTGGTAGTGAGAGCAAACATGTTAGGAACTGATAACCCACACCTCGAGAATCTTGTAAGTTTATATCTCTCGTCTTCCTCCATTTTCTGATGGTTTCATGGAATCTGACATATGCTTCTGCCTCGTAGAACTAGGGAATGTAGCACAATTGTTCAACCTTGTATTTTTCTTCTGCCTTCCAAAATTACTTCATGAGAGTTTTTATAAAGCTTTAGCTTGCTATTTTTTTCCATGGTTTTAGGTGTTACAGGGGACATCTGAGAGACAAGTGCTTGCAGGCCATGATGCTTTTCAGACTCCTGGGGTATGTATTCATGATTGTGTCCCCTATTTCTCTCTTGTTGCAATTATCTTGTGCCTAGGACTGATATCCAGATCACTGTTTTTACTATCAAATCTGGGAAAGAGAATGAAAAGTATTTGAGGTTTTTTCCTGGATTCTTTGCTTGTACTCTGATCCAGAGAGAAAGGAATCAGTTTATGGTTTCCGGACTTAGTCGTTTACATTCTCTGTTGTAGATTGAGTAATGTTTGTTCCTATGCTATTAAATTTTACGAATACAAGCAGAGACTCAATGATACTTGTAATGTTGCAGGTAAATGGACAAAGACTCTCTTTTGGAATGACACCAAAGACTCGGAGGCTACCAAAACCTGGAGAGATGATGCTCTCTGTGCATGGCTCTCCTTTGGGGGTCTTTAACGAAGATCAAAACATGGAAGCTATAAAGGGTATGTTTACTATATCACACTATCTCTCAGCTCTTGCTCCCTCCTATAAGATTAAACCAGAATAATTGTTCTTTGATTTTGCAGAGTAAAACTGTTCAAAATATTCAAAGGTTCAGACACTTGCAGATTATCAGATTGGCTAAGCTGATGTTTGCAGCATTGTGATGGTGTTTTTAAATTTCCAAACACGAGATATCTTTGTTTAGTCTGATCTTTTTCCTGCATGCTATGGTAATATAAATGTCTGAAAGAACACACAACAATAAAGCTTTGTTTGTTATATAAAAAAACCTTTTGATTACAGTTTACCAATTGATTACATGAGTATAGTGAATGGTTCTGTCTTCACTTCGATCTTTCCATTTCGTTATCTTGATCTGAAGAAACTAGTTCTTTCTACACTTTGATCTTCCCAAAATAGTGGCTACTGCTAATCTTGACTAAGCTTCCTTGATCCCTACTTTATCACGTCCACTCAAGTTGTCCAAATAATTCTTTCTGCAATTCTCCTTTCCAATCTTGACCAAGTCTGAAAATTCATGTTTGTACTGAAATCATATAAGTAAAATGTCAATTAGTCAAAAGTATGCAAACAATGAACAGAAACTGGAACTCAAGTTGTGACACTGCAGTCAACATCTCTATAAAAAGCTAAACTAACCATGATATGAAGGGACTGACTGGATAACTTGTTGGAGCATATGCAGTTTCACATCCAGCAAAAAAAATTGTTAAGCTTCACATCATTATGTTGAAATTTAGTCAATTTCTTTCCACCAAGTCCTTAGCACTGTCTTGTGACCTGCCAGAACCAGTTGATTTCCTGTTTTCTGAATCCGAACCAGGTAGTTTCGACCCAAAAACTTCAAGGGCTTCCAAGAAGAATCTCTTGCTAGGTACAATTCCATCTTTCTCCATTTTCTTTATCAGCATCTGCACATTCTCCTTCATATCTGCCTTAGTATACGCCTTATATAGAAGCTTATACGTTGATGCATTTGGCTGAACCCGAAAAGCACTTGCGTTATGGAATAGCTTATCTGCTTCCATGTGAAGACCACTAAGACAATAAACATCAAGCATGGCATTGAGTGTTGACCCCTTCACCACCGTTTCCGATTCAACCACCTCCTCAAATACTTCCCTTGCTCTGGAAACAGAGCCAGAGTAACCATACATCATGATCATGCACTCATAAGTGATAAAACTTGGCGTGTAGCTCATATCATCCATCTTCTTGAAAACCCATTCGGCCTTATCTCTAAGACGAGCTTTCCCGTAGTTTATAATCATTGAATTAAAAGTAGACAGAGTCGGCTTCTCCTTGGACCGCATCAAACTCTTGAAAGTCTGCTCCATCTTCTCAAACTCTTGCTTCTTACCATAAGCATCAATAAGCAGATTAAACGTGATGATATCTGGCTTACACTCGTTACTCCTCATCCGAGTAAGCACAGATTCCATTTCTTTGATCATCCCGTTTTTCCCATACGCATCCATCACACCGTTGAAGGTATAGACATCTGGAGAAACTGCGCTTATATCCAAGTCTTTGAACAGAGCATTGACTTGGTCTACTTTTCCCGACTGAGCAAAAGCTCTCAACAGGATGTTGTAAGTCACAACATTGGGTTGACACCGTTCCATGCCTTTCATTTTGTCAAAGTATCCACGGGCCTTCTCCAAAGCTTTTGCCTTGTCCCGAGTGTGGAGATGAGCCGTTATAAGGGCGTTGTAAACAGAAGCATCGGGACGACAACCACTGTTTTTCATCTCGGAGAACAGCCACATAGCCATCCGGGTTTGACCTTTTTTCCCCATCACGGATATCAACTTCGAGTACACTCCATTATCTGCGATGTACCAACGCTGTTTCTGCATCCATCTGAACACCTAGAGAAGAATCACACAGCAAGTTAAGGAATAAACACAATGGCACCAACACGTTTCCTCACAGAACCTTTCATCGTTATTCATTGGATACAGAACAAAGCTTTATGAATCTACCATTGAGCTAAAACGATAAAAGTCCAATCTTTTTAAAAGACCCAGGAGCTGAAACACACAATTACGCCCCGGAATCGAAAATACACAAATTGAAGCGAGGAAGAAGTAAAGGATTTTAAAAATCAAAACTTTTTAGAAACACAGTAGCTGAAACTCCAAGGAAATTGAAGTGGGGAAGAAATTTTAAAGGAGAAGAAGCAAAAACCTCGAGGCATTGGAGCCACTTATCACTCTTGCCAAGCTCTTCAAAGAGTAGAAAACAATGCTCACATCTTACGACCTTCACGTACTTGTCAAGTGTCTTCACCAATGGCTCTCTGTCACTGATCCTCGACATCAAACTCCGTACGAGCACTCTGTTCTCTCTCTCCGCGCTCTCTCTCTCAGCAAATTTCCTCCTTGACGAAATCGGACCGCAGGTAATCCTCGTCGCTGTCCTCATCGCGCCGCTGGGTTTCGGTGAGAAGCGAAGCCATTTGTGGTCGGTCTCCTGCGAAAACGGAGAGATGAAATCGGAGAATCTCAGCGAGGAAGGCGATGTCAACAAGTAGTCTATGGTCATTTTCTGGTAGTGAGATAGCACGACGATGAACATTTTCCCCTTAATCCTCGATTCAATGTGGATAAGGTTTTTTCAGCTCCATAAGAAACTGTGAGGTGTATTCCGAAATTTCAGAAACAAAATGGCATGTTTTTGTAAATACAGCAAAAATTTAAGAAAAAGTTAAGGATCAAATTTTCGGGATTTTGAACCCGACGTGAATCGAACACGCAACCTTCTGATCTGGAGTCAGACGCGCTACCATTGCGCCACGGATCCTGATGTACTATTCTCTACATTAAATCAATTTAACAGTGATGTAAATTTGCAACCTATAAGGAAGATCTAAATCATGAAAGACTAACATACGCAAATTATTTCTTGGATTTTCATTTTTTTATACGATAGCTTTGATTTACCTTATCATCAAAACAATTCCCCAATATAACTCTTCTTAAAAAAGAAATTAAGAAACCGAAATTTAGAAAAGAAATAAATAAACTTCAAGGATAAGGATTTTGATAGGAGGAAAGAAATCTTCAAAAAGGGAAGGGAGAGAGCTCAGATAAAAATAAAAAGACCAACATTTCTACAAGGACGTTGTTGGTTAATTAGTCGTCGTCGGTCGTCGGAGGAAGAAGTCTTTTCTCCTTCTTTCTTCGCCGTACGGTCGTCGTCTATTGATGGTAGGATCATCAAATCCAATGGCTACAAGTTCCTCTTCCTCCTCCTTAAATCCTCCTTTGTCTCCATCTTCTCCGGCGACTACGACCACCCCGCCACGTCAGCATGCTCTCCTCGAGCCACCACCTTCTAAAAAGAAGAAAAACAGATCAAACGTATTTCGAGTCTTACGCACCGTATTTCGCTCTTTCCCGATCTTCACAACACCAGCCGTAGCATGCAAAATCCCGGTTATGAATCCCGGTTTAGGGTTACCGGATCCACATCACAACACGTCAAGAATCACGGGAACGTTATTCGGTTACCGTAAAGGCCGAGTAAGTCTCTCGATTCAAGAAAACCCTAAATGTCTACCTTCTTTAGTCGTAGAGCTCGCCATGCAAACCACAATGCTTCAAAAAGAGCTTATCACGGGAATGGTGAGAATCGCTCTCGAGACTGAGAAACAGCCTCGAGCGGATATTAATAATCATAATCATAACAACAAAGTAGAAAAGAAGACAGATATCGATATTTTGGAGGAGCCGTTGTGGACAATGTATTGTAAAGGAGAGAAAACGGGTTACGGTGTGAAACGTGAGGCGAACGAAGAAGATCTAAACGTGATGGAATTGTTACGCCCGGTGTCTATGGGCGCCGGAGTTTTGCCCGGAAACTCGGAGTTGGAAGGACCCGACGGCGAAATGGCGTATATGAGAGCTTATTTTGAGAGAGTTATTGGGTCTAAAGATTCAGAGACTTTTTATATGTTGAGTCCTGAAGGGAATAATGGACCCGAGCTTAGTTTTTTCTTTGTAAGAGTTTGATTCATAATTTATTATGAGTTAAACCAATTTAACGTGCATGTAGAGGCCGGAGACGGTGGTTGACTTTTATATAATAAGATTTTAGGATGATTAATAATACATTTCTCCTTCTTCAGCAATAAGTTTCAGACGAATTGTCGCTACATCTTGGCGCCTGGACTTGGTTTATCTTTTTGACGTGCTGGTATTGAAGTACTGCGTCCTACGTCAATCTTGATTTTTTCGGTCATCCTTTGATCCCAAACTCTTTCTCCGTTTCCTTCCCATACGATCAATACAAAAAATATGTGAATTTGAATATATGACGTGCTCGGTTCAAAACGGATGATAAATTATAATCAAACTCATATTACAAGCTAGGACATACTCACATACACCATTGACCATTCTTTAAAAAAAATGAAATTCATGAATCTTCAAGGCATATATAAATAGAAATAAATAAATAAATTTGGTTTGGGAATAACTTAGAAACTTACTTGTCATGGAGGCCTTGGTTGGTGTCCGAGCGAACGCTGTGGTTGATGATGATCCAGTGCACAATAGAATAATCAAAGTAAATAACCAAACCAAACGGTGAAACATTGTTTTTTAATTTACTGGTAAACACTGATCTCTGAGGACGAACGATATGCATATTTTTAATTACTGAAAGCATGTGTTTATTTATAGAGCTGTTTTCCTGACTTTTTTGGTTCTTTGACGAAGAAAAAGCAATTGACTGAATAAATTATATAATGTACATAGTTTCTTGTCAAATTTGGAAGAATAGTCCAAATTTCCGGCTGAAAGACGGTCAAGCGAGAAATATGCGTTTTAGAGGTCAACTACTCAAAAAAATCGGAATTATTTGTTTTCGGGAGATCCATATGGTAGTCGCGAGCCAAGACAGTGCCTGATGATGCAGAGAACAAGAGAAGAACCAAAGTCAATAACCTAACCTAACCGTGTACCTCATTTTGCTCTGTTTTATTTTGGTAAACCTTTCATGGGTCTTGTAATATGTTAACTGAGTATTTCTATAATTATATCAAACCCACCTCTGGTTTCACTTCAAATCCATCATGGTCCGCTACTCCGCTTGTGCTTCGACCCTACCTACGCCATTATATTGTTTAGTGTGTATGTCATATACTTTACATTTTTTGTTCTTTCTAAATAAATATCCCAACCCACATATATAAATAGGAAAGGTATGAGCATCGAAATCAGCTTCATTTAATAGGCCCAATAGGATAACGCAGGCCTGTTTCAACCTTTTTGAACCCCACACAAACAAGAGAGAGAAAGAGAGAACACACACAAATCAGTGGGAACCCTAATTGTGTCGACATGCAGAGTCTTGTTCGATCCGTTATCACGCAGGCAACGCGCAGAGTGAGACGGGTTGTGTCTCGCCGTAATTTCTCTGCGTCTTCCGATGGCGAACGCGAAAGTAACATATTGATGTTTTATAGTCTCATGTATTCGTGAACAGAAAAAAACAAAAACTTCAAAATTTTGTTTCTGTTTTTGTCATATGTTCCTTGAATCAGCATGAAATCTATCAAATTCGCTAGGGAAAGCTGTTGATATTTCTGTCATCTGTTGTTTGTTTTTGTTTCGAGGGATTCTTATTGCTTTGATCTCCTTTTTCGTATTGTTTCGCTAGGGACTGTTGTTTTTTTGTTTATTCGGAGGGGAATTTGCTTTGACCTTTTTTTTTTGTCATATGTGATTGTAGAGATGAAGGACAAAATCCGGCGTCTGTTTCAGTTCCATCCTAACTCTACCGCCATAATTGCAGGCACAGCGTCTGTGTCGGCTCTAGAAGGTATAGAGAGAGAGAGAGAGAGAGAGAGATATATTTAATATTCCCTTCAAGTTTTCCAGTGGCTGTGTTATGATAATACTTTTTTTCTTTCGATTTAAGGTTTCAATTTCATGGATGATGAGGAAGCGGAAGGGAAGGATGAGAAGAAACGGTATATATAATATATTAAGCCATTGAATGACTTTGTGACCACTGCTATTCATCATCATCATCATCTCTGTATTTTTTCAGTAAATGACGGAGTCTGATTGGAAATTCTTCAGAGTTGCCGACAGCAGATAATTAACGGATAACTGCTCTAGTCATTTGTGACGTTTCACAATCTCTAATTATCCGAGCACTTTTGTTTAAATGCATGTGTGGTTTCTGATTTTGAGAATTGTGGTTAACAAGTGTTTTCGCTTATTTTATTTAGCCAATTAAGTCTGGTATTATATTACTATATTTGCTTTCTTAACTCTTTGCCTCTTAAAGAAATACATCATGATTCATGTACCAAGTTTGTTGGTTTTCAATTCGTTTTCATTTGCTTTTCTGTTGATCTTGATTATTGTGTTGTATCACAGATTGTTAATTTCACCAAATTTTGTTCAGAGTCTAGTTGAATATGGAAATGATAGTAAATTTGGATGAATTTTGGCTGAAATTAAGAATATATTATATAATGTACGTAGCTTCTGTCATTTTTGAAGAATAGTCCAAATTATCGGATCCAAAACCAAAGTCAATAACCTAACCGCGCGTGTACATCATTTTGCGTTATTTAATCTTGGTACTATACCTTTCATGAGTATTTATATAACTATATCTCAAATCCATCTCTGGTTTCAATTTAAATCCATCATGGTCCGCTTGTGCTTTAACCCTACCTATGCCATTACTGTATATTGTTAGCGTGTAAGTCATATACTAATCATTTTTTACTCTAAATAAATATCCCAACACATGTAAATAGGGAAAGGTATGAGCATCGAACCCAGCTTCATTTCATAGGCCCAATAGGGTAAGCAGGCCTGTTTGAACCTATTTGAAGTTTTGAACCACACACAAACGAGAGAGATTGAGAGAACACACACACAGATCAGATCAGTGTGGGAACCCTAATTGTGTCGACATGCAGAGCCTTGTTCGATACGTTATCACGCAGGCAACGCGCGGAGGGAGAAGGGTTGTGTCTCGCCGTAATTTATCTTCGTCTTCCCATGGCCAAGGTAACGTTTTGGTGTTTTGATGTATTCGAAAAAAAACTTCAAATGTTTTGATTTTTGTTTATTTTTGTCATCTGTTCTCTGATTCCGCATGAGATCTATCAAATTGGCTAGGGACAGTTGTTACTTTGTTTAAAGTCTTGATCTCTTTGTCATATGTTGTTAATTTGTTCTTTATTTGATGGATTCCTATTGCTTCGATCTTTTTCGTATTGTTTTTGTTTCGCTAGGGAATGTTTCTTTTGTTCAAGGGGGATTTAATTTGATCCTTTTTTTGTCATCAGTGATTGTAGAGGCAGATGAGAATGCATGGATGAGAACTCCTAAAAATATGTTCATGATTGCATCCCTGCTGACTGCGTCATGTGTAGCAGGTATATATATATATATATATAGAGAGAGAGAGAGAGAGATTTAATATTCCCTTCAAGTTTTCCTCCGATGATGATATAATATTTTCTCCTCTATGTAAGGTTTCAATTGCACTTTTTGGGAGGAAAAGGAATGTTGTTGTTCAAAGGAAAAGGAAAAGGTTTCAAGCTCAAAGTTGCAGGCAGCAGATAATTAACCGGAGAAATTTGTGTCTTGTGAAAAAAGATACCTCAAAGGCCTTGCTCTAGTCATTTGTGATGTTTCACAATCTCTAAAACTGGTTTGCTTTTGTTTAAACGTGTGCTTTCTGATTTTGAGAGTTGTGGTCAACTATATAATCAGTTTATTAAAAACCATCAAGTGTTTTCTCTTATTTATTTAGCCAAGTCTGGTATAACTATATTTGTTTTTTTTTGCCTCTTAAGAAGTACATCATGATTCATGTACCAAGTTTGTTTGCTTTGAATTCATTTTCATTTGCTTTTCTGTTATTGATTATTGTTTTGTATCACAGATTGTTCATTTCACCGAATTTTGTTCAGAGTCTAGTTGAATCTCTAGTAGTGAATTCATTAAACTGTTGGTTCCCTCCACTGACAATTTAAAACTCCTCTTAATGTCATTCACTGCTTCATGTCGCTCGTAGCGAAAATGTGCTTCAGTCAGGTGAAGTAGCATAAACTCGTAATCATGATCCAGTGATTTGATATAAACTCATAAACTCGTATTTTTGTATACAAGATTGAAGATGCTCTTCTGAGTTCTGCGTTCTGAGTTCTGACTCACGCATGAATTTCTGGTTAAGGAAAAAGTCTGAGAGATTTGGTATAAATTATAAAACATGAAGAACCGGTCTAAATTCATTTGAACCGAGGCCCACTAGGTTAAAGCCCATATTCGGTTGATTTTTTTGCGTGACGCGCAAATTAGGGCGTACAGTTTACTTGGCCAACCAAAACCCTAAGTTTTGGTTTTGAGTCTTCGACGTTTGAGGTCATGTCGAATTAGGGCAATGTCGTCCACAGTCATCGCTTCCGTCGCTGCTAACGGTGAAAAGTCACCGTCGAAGAAGACTCCGGAGACAGAACCGACCCTAAATCCGTCACTCCCTGATGATTTGGTAGTGACTTGCTTAGCCCGCATCCCGAGATTGCACTATCCAACTCTCTCACTCGTCTCCAAGAGTTTGCGCTCACTCCTGTCTTCACCGGAGCTTTACCAGACTCGGTCACTCTTAAATCGCACCGATATTTGTCTCTATGTGTGCTTAAGGTTCCCTTCTGAGACCATCCCACGTTGGTACACTCTTTCCCGGAAACCTGACAAATTCCTCAACAACCACATCAGTAAGAAGAACAAGAATGCGCCAAGTGGCAATCTCTTGGTTCCGATCTCATTTCTCAACTCTCCTCCTGCGGAATGTTCAAATCTCATCGCTGTTGGTCATAATCTCTACGCACCCATCGAAAACGCTCCATGCGCTAACGTCTCATTCCTTGACTGTCGAACTCACACTTGGCTCGAAGCTCCGAGCTTGCGTTTTGCCCACACCGGTACCAAGTGTGATGGGGATATGTACTTTGCAGGATGCTACGAAAATCCAGATTCTTTGAACTGTATTGAAGTGTTCAACACGAACACCAAAACTTGGAAGCCTGTTCCGCCAGAAAAACGGATATTCACATGTGGAAAATTTCAAGGAAAGATGTACATTAGCTTGAAAGGACGTGTGGCTTATTATCCGAAGGAAGCGACTTGGGAAATTGTAAGATTGGATACTGATTCGGGTCAGTTAGGTGTTTGTTGCATAAAGGACATATCCTATTTTTATTACAAGGGGGTGTTTATGTGGGCCGACCCTAAGGTAGGAGGAGGACCACGGGGAAAATTAGAGGGTTTAGAAGGTCTTCCTAAGTTTCCCTATCATAGTACGGTTAAATTGGTGGATTATGGTGGTAAGATGTTGGTTTTGTGGGACAAGCATGTTCCTGCAAGTTGGTTTAAGAAGAAGATGATTTGGTGTGCGGTGATTTCGCTTGAAAGGCGTAGCAATGAAAATATTTGGGGAAAGGTCGAGTGGTTCGATGCTGTGCTTACAGTCCCCAGGTCTTACAAGTTCGTGTTTGCTGTTGCTGCTACTGTTTGAACGTAAGGAATCAGGTTTTATCGTTTTCATCTATTTCCTTTTAGTATGTCGTCTGTCTTTCAGTGGAATGCAATTGAAATTGTTTTTTCTTTATAAACATATCTACTCACTTGCTTGTGGATGAGTAGGCTTATTCTGATCCCAATTTCTTTTAATGCTACTGTTTAATTTAGTCAATAAATCATTTAGAAAAGCAGGTAATATTTTTCTTGCGCCCTTTCATTTATATGCGAGCATGATGCATGATCAATGCAGTGTCTCGAGATTTTAGCGGACCTTGTTTCACATATTTGCAGTAACTATAAGACGACTTAGCTTACTTTGTGACAATATTTCTTTGAAAACACTTATGTTTGTGTTGCAAACTTGTAGTAGGAGGCTACCTTTATATCCTTTACGTGGGATCATAAATCTTCTCCATTAGTCCTACTTCAAAACGAACTCATTCAGCATTTCTGAATTTTTTTTCCATATAATTACAAAAGCTTTTGCTGTTTAAAATAAGCTCATTTAAACTAAAAAATCTGGACTTAAACATCCAAAAAATTATAAAATAACTAGAATCATGTTGGACCAATTTAGAGAAGACTTGATGCATTTTCAAGAGTCAAATACGCATTTTCAACAAAAAAGAAAAAGACATGTTTAGCGTAAAATCGTAAGGTCTATCGCACCAATCCGCGTGATCTGACTTTGCTTCTAAAATTATGAAAGAAACACCGCGGAACTTGAGTTCCATTCTCTCTATATATGCACCAACTTGCATTTTTGAAGTTCTTACTACTAACCAACGAACAAAATGTATAACGTTTGCTTATTAACTCTTGCTTTTCTCTTGCTCTCTGGATTATCAATCACGACATTGGCCCGAGTACAATACCAATCTCCAAAGTCAGGTAAAAAGACAAAATTATAATTCCGATAAATTTTGATTTTCGTTTGGTTGTAGTTAGTTATAATAGGGTTTCTTTTGTAGATGAGAGACTGAATACTGAATTATTCTATTCTTCTCCAGTTGACTGTTGTTCTCTTTGCTGGAAAAGAATTAGGTGAATGGATTTGGGATCAGAAGGTGATCAAAGATATCAAGATTGGAGCAGACCCCAGTTGTTCACTGATTGGACCAGGAAGAAGACCACCAAATAGGCCAGGCTCACCAAAACGATGTACTTAATCCTAGCGACAAGACAATTGAATTTGATGGTGTAATAGTTAACGATTTAATGCTACACATCGAAAGATTATGAAAACTTACACAAGGTTTTGAAAATTTATGGATTCTCTTTACATTCACGTGAAGATATAATTGTAACTTTTCTCGTCAATATAAAAGGATATGAATCTTAATTGGTCCAACTTCATTTGTTCTTAATTATAATATATGATAGATACGTCTTGTTGTTGAGAAAAGTTGAAGTATAAAAAGACCAAGACCAAAAAAAATATAATTTTCTTACGAAAGAATACATTGCATGTCGTCCTCTTCGATAGTGACGCCTTTGATTTTATGTTATGGTGTTGTTTTTTGGCAATATCACATTCAGACTTTCGGCCCATGGGCCAAGTTGGTGGTTACATTTCTTCACGCGCACGCGTAAAACTCGCAATTTTTTCCGAGATCTCCTTTTTTTTTTTTTTTTTTTTTTTTTTTTTATTTTTTTTTTTTTTTTTTTTTTTTTTTTTTTTTCTTTTTATTCTTTTTTTTTTTTTTTTTTCTTTTTTTTTTTTTTTTTTTTTTTTTTTTTTATTTTTTTTGTCTTTTTTTTTTTTTTTTTTTTTTTTTTTTTTTTTCTTTTGTCTTTTTTTTTTTTTTTTTTTTTTTTTTTTTTTTTTTTTTTTTTTTTTTTTTTTTTTTTTTTTTTTTTTTTTTTTTTTTATTTTTTTTTTTTTTTTTTTTTTTTTTTTTTTTTTTTTTTTTTTTTTTTTTTTTTTTTTTTTTTTTTTTTTTTATTTTTTTTTTTTTTTTTTTTTTTTTTTTTTTTTTTTTTTTTTTTTTTTTTTTTTTTTTTTTTTTTTTTTTTTTTATTTTTTTTTTTTTTTTTTTTTTTTTTTTTTTTTTTTTTTTATTTTTTTTTTTTTATCTTTTTTTTTTTTTTTTTTTTTTTTTTTTTTTTTTTTTTTTTTTTTTTTTTTTTTTTTTTTTTTTTTTTTTTTTTTTTTTTTTTTTTTTTTTTTTTTTTTTTTTTTTTTTTTTTTTTTTTTTGATCCCGCCCAAATCTTCTAGGGTCTCTGTTCTTGATTGTCGCTCTCACACGTGGCGCGAGGCTCCAAGCATGCAGATGGAACGGAACCACTCCTCCGCTGCAAGCTTATTTGAAGGGAAGATATATGTGGCAGGTGGTCTCGAAGACGAACACATCGCTTCCTCCAGATGGACAGAAGTGTTTGATATAGAGACCCAAACTTGGGGATATGTGAGGAACCCTTGTATTTTCGAGTGGTCAGATGAGTTTAGGAGTAAGCCCTATGTGGTTAAAAGCTTGATACTTGAAGGTAAACTTTACCTGTTTGGGGACTCGCCTGCGGTTTACAATCCCGAGGATGGTAGATGGTGGGAAGTGATAAGAGAGGAACGATACAGTATGTCTTGGGGAGTGAAGTCTTGCCATTGTGTTGTAGATGATGTCTTGTTCTATTGGGATAAAAAAGTGTTCCAATGGTATGACCGTAAGGTTAGTTCATGGAAGGAGTTGAAAGGTCTTGAAGGGTTGCCTGATTTTCGCGACCGTGAGGGTTGCAAAATGGTTGATTTTGGTGGGAAGATAGCGTTTTTTTGGTCCGAGTGTTTGCCTAGAAAGAGGCCTCCGCATACTATGATTTGGTGTGTTGAGATTACGCTTGAAAGGCGCGATGGAGATGAGTTTTGGGGGAAGGTTGAGTGGTTTGACTTTGTGCTAAGAGCCCACCCGTCTTGTTCCTCGTTCGATGTTTTGTCTGTTTCTGTTTGATGAAATGACGCATTATATTTCATGACAAGAGGCTTGAACGGTTCGTTGCCGATAACTTCGTTTTGCTTTCAATATTTGCGTTATTTTTTGTTTGTTTTCCTTCTCTTTTAGTGTGTATGACTACTACTGATGAATGGTTGTTTCATGTTTTTTTTGCCATTGTTTCACTTTTTAACATATGCATCCACACTTGTTGACGATCAAGCTCATTTTGCCAAATTGTCCTTGAAAATATTGTGTTGTAAATATTTAGGATACCGTTTTTTCTTAAATTTACGAGAGTAACTAAAACAAGATACACATACAATATATAGCTTGTGTACAGTCCCTTGGGTTTTCTCATTTCTGTAATGGATTTGTATTGTCTAAGGTATAGCTTAATTGTTTATAACTTTCTATTATTGCATTGCAGCGAAGAACACAGACTTTGCTGCTAAAAGCTAAAGCCCATTACAGATCTGCTAAACATATGGATAAAGCCCAAAACTTGGCTTTGAGTTTCCCCACGCGCAAGATAAGCGCGTAATATATACGCACCCGACACACCGGTTTTAAATTAATTAAAGGAAATCGTCGTTTCCTACCGGAATTCGCTACCGCCAAAAAATGTCGTCCAAAGATGAACCCTCCGCCGCTACGAACGTCGCGAAACCACCGCGTAGGAGGAGAAAGAAGAGGAAGATGATGAATCCAACGACGGTGCCCGAACCGACCTCGATCTCTTCACTTCCTTACGATTTGCTATTGAGTTGCATCGCCCGCATTTCTAGATCCTACTATCCAACTCTCTCCCTCGTCTCCAAGAATTTCCGATCCATCGTTGCTTCGCCGGAGCTTTACCAGACCAGATCACGCTTAGGCCTCACCGAGAGCTGTCTCTACCTGTACTTGCGCCACCCTCGTGTCCCTGGCACGAATTGGTTCACTCTCTGCCGGAAACCTAATCGAACCATAACCGGCAATTCAAGTGGCAATCTTTTCATCCCAATCCCATCTCCCAACTTCCCTCCTGAGGAATCGAAGAGCATCGTCGCCGTTGGTTCTGAGATCTACAAAATCGGCGGTTATATGCGCTCTTCTTCTAGAGTCTCGGTCCTTGACTGTCGGTCTCACACGTGGCACAAGGCTCCGAGAATGCGAGTGAAGCGGAGATCACCAACAGCGGGCTTAGTTGATGGGAAGATATATGTAGCGGGAGGCTGCAAAGACGTGACTTCTTCTAACTGGATCCAAGTGTTTGATCCAAAGAGCCAAACATGGGGAAATGTGACTAACCCTGGCACCGAGACACGCAGTGATTCTCAAGTCTCAAGCTTAGGAATTGGAGGAAAGTTCTATCTGTTTGGGGATGAGTGTGTGGTTTATAATCCCAAGGACGCTAGATGGGACGAGATAGGAGTTGGTATGGATATGGCTTATGTAGTATTCTTTACTTATGGCGTGATAGGCGACATGTTGTTCCATTGGAATGACGGAGTGTTCAAGTGGTATGACTGTAAGGCAAGTTTATGGAAGAAACTTAATGGCGTTGAAGGGTTGCCTGATTTTAGCCACCGTGGGTATTGTAAAATTGTGGATCTTGGTGGGAAGATGGCTCTTTTGTGGGATGATTATGGGAATTCGGTTGGCCGTCTGGATAGAAATGTGGTTTGGTGTGCTGTGGTTGCGCTTGAAAGGCGCGATGGAGATGACATGTGGGGGGAGGTTGAGTGGTGCGATGTTGTGTTTACACCCGACGACGACGTCGACGTGTCATGTCCCTTGTACGATATGGATGTTCTTTCTGCTACTGTCTGATGAAATGACTACTCATGAGAACATGCTTGAGAGGTGATGGGAGAATCATTCACTATATTGCGGGTAATTTTCGTTTTGTTTTGAATATTTGGCTTCTTATGATGTAATTCCCTTGTGTTTATATGTAAGAATGATTGTTTCATGCTTTTAGTAGGATACAATTTGTATTGTTTCACACCTAAACATATGATGCACTCACTTAGGTAAAGCTATCTTCATGTCTTACGAGTAATCACATAAGTTCTTGGGTTTTCTCATTTCTGTAATGGATTTTTATTGTGTAAGGTATAGCTTAATTGTTTTTAACTTTATATTTTTGCATTGCAGCGAAGAACACAAAGACTTTGCTGCTAAAAGTTAAAGCCCATTACAGATCTGCTAAAAATATGAATAAAGCCCAAGACTTGGCTTTGAGTTTACCCACGCGCAAGATAAGCGCGTAACTTATACGCTCCCGACACACTGGTTTTAACTAAATCGTCGTTTCGTACCGGAATTCGTTACGTCAAAAATGTCGTCCGAAACCAAATCCTCCGCCGCCACGAACGTCGCGAAACCACGGCGTAGGAGAAAGAAGAGGAAGATGATGAATCCAACGCCGGTTGCAGAACCGACCTCGATCTCTTCACTTCCTTACGATTTGCTATTGAGTTGCATCGCCCGCATTTCTAGATCCTACTATCCAACTCTCTCGCTCGTCTCCAAGAATTTCCGATCCATCGTTGCTTCGCCGGAGCTATACCAGACCAGGTCGCGCTTAGGCCTCACCGAGAGCTGCCTCTACCTGTGCTTGCGCTACCCTCGTGTCCCTGTCACGTCTTGGTTCACTCTCTGCCGGAAACCTAACCGAACCATAACCGGCAATTCAAGTGGCAATCTTTTCATCCCAATCCCATCTCCAAACTTCCCTCCTGCGGAATCGACGAGCATCGTCGCGAAATCGACGAGCATCGTCGCCGTTGGCTCTGAGATCTACAAAATCGGCGGGTGTATGCGCCATTCTTCTAGAGTCTCGGTCCTTGACTGTCGGTCCCACACGTGGCGCAAGGCTCCGAGAATGCGAGTGAAGCGGAGATCCCCAACAGCAGGCGTAGTTGATGGGAAGATATACGTAGCGGGAGGCTGCAAAGACGTGACTTGTTCCAGCTGGGTCGAAGTGTTTGATCCAAAGACCCAAACTTGGGGAAATGTGACGAACCCTGGCACCGGGCTACGCAGTGACGTTGAAGTCCTAAGCTTAGGAAATGGAGGAAAGTTCTATGTGGTTGGGTATGGTTGGAGGAAAGTTTACAATCCCAAGGAAGCTAGATGGAACCCCATAGGATTAGATATGGCTGACGTAGTAATCCGTACTTATGGCGTGGTAGACGACATGTTGTTCCATTGGAATAACGGAGTGTTCACTTGGTATGACTCTAAGGCAAGTTTATGGAAGAAACTGAATGGTGTTGATGGGTTGCCAGATTTTCGCCACCGTGGGCATTGTAAAATGGTGGATCTTGGTGGGAAGATGGCTCTTTTGTGGGAAGATTGGGAGCTGGACAATAGTGTGGTTCGGTGTGCTGTGGTTGCGCTTGAAAGGCGCGATGGAGACGAGATGTGGGGGAATATTGAGTGGTGCGATGTTGTGTTTACACTCGACAGGTCATGTTCCTTGTTCGATGTGGATGTTCGTTCTGCTTCTGTCTGAGGAAATGACTTTCTCATGAGAACTGGCTTGAGAGGTGATGGGAGAATCATTCACTATTGCGGGTAACTTCGTTTTGTTTTGAATAGTTAGGTCCTTGATGTAATTCCCCTCTCTTGACATGTGACTAGTCACTGACTATAACGAATGATGGTTTCATGTTTTTTAGTAGAATACAAATTGCATTGTTTCTCATCTAAAGTTATATTCATGTCTTACGAATAATCACATAAGTTGGCATAAGATCCTCTGTTTCAGTCACAAATGGGACTTTGTCAAGCCCCTTTATGTGGTGTTGTTATAGAAATGTGATATCTGCGTTGGTGGGAAGAACTAAAACAATATACACTCTAAATGAGTATTTTTCTAGTGCATGCACTACTGAAAATTGAAGATGTATTGCTTATGCAAAGAAAAACCTCTTTGTTCATGTATTTGAGGATCCTCTGTAATGAAGTACTAAAAATATATATACTAGGAGATTTGTATGGTCCTTACCAAAGCTGTCTTTTACGACCGGGTCAAACTTTTGAAATAAACGCATAATTGTTTATCGAGTATTTCGTGACTGATCCAACAAGTCTTCCGTGACTCTGCTCCAACATTTTTCTTTTTATATACTTTTTGTGTGGAAAAAGTCACAGGTTCACAAGATCAAATATTTCTTTTTTGAATGACAACTAAACACGCTCAAGAATCGATGATCTAGTTATGCAAACGCCGTAAGGATTTGTTCTTCCACTAGCAGAGGAAACCCTTTCATCGCCATGAATGACAACGACGAGGCACCGATTGAGACGAAGACGACGGTACCATTAGTACCTTCGCCGACCACGAATCTTTCTCTTCCCAACGACATACTTTTGAGTTTCCTAAGCCGGATCTCTAGATTGTACTACCCAACTTTCTCCCTCGTCTCCAAGAGTTTCCGATCTCTAGTCGCTTCACCGGAGCTTTATCAGACCCGATCCGCACTCGGCCGTACAGAGAGCTGTCTCTACGTGTGCTTACGGTCACTCACCGACTCTAACCTTCGGTGGTTCACACTCTGCCGTGTACCAGATCGGAAACTAACCAATTTCTCAGGTGGCCATTTACTAGTCCCAATCTCATCAAGCCATTCTCCTCCTCCTGCTCATTGGTCGAGCGTGGTCGCGGTTGGTTCTAATATATACGCTATTGGAGTTGGAGGGCCCATCAACGACGCACCTTCCTCTACTGTCTCGTTCTTGGACTGTCATAGTGACACGTGGCGATCAGCTCCACCGATGCGTGTGGCTCGGAACTACCCCACCGTGAGTGTTCTTGATGGGAAGATGTACGTAGCTGGAGGCTGTCAAGATTGCGATTCGTTGAGTTGTGTAGAAGTGTTCGACCCAAAGACTCAAAAATGGGAGTTTGTGGCAAGTCATGGCACCGAGAGATGCGAGAGGCTTGTTTACAAAAGCGTAGGGGTCGAAGGAAAGTTTCACTTGTTTGGTGGTGCAAGCAACGTGGCTCACAACCCGAGAGAAGGTGGATGGGACTTGATAGGTGTGGATATGGATATGGGTCGGGCATGGGTTCCTTACTGCGTGGTAAACAATGTGTTGTTCTATTATCATGATAAGTATAGAGAATTTAGATGGTATGACTATAAAGGAAGAGTTTGGAGGAAAGTTTTGGGTTTAGAACGGTTGATTAAGTTTCACTGTTATAGCCGTGTTAACTTGGCGGAGTATGGTGGGAAGATGGCGGTTTTGTGGGACACGTTTGTGCGTGCGAGTGGGTCTAAGAACAAGATGATTTGGTGCGCTGAAATTACGCTTGAAAGACACGGCGTGGACGAGATTTGTGGCAAGGTTGAGTGGTTTGATGTTGTGTGCAGAGTTTCGAGATCATATGAGTTGGTGCATGTTCTTGCTGCTAAAGTTTGATTAGTGAATGATTTCCGGAATATAGATAAGCTGGATTTCACTAATCTTCTCATTAATATATAGACATGTACATGAATTTTCCTTCAGACAAGAGATCACAGTTTCTTTCTTTGGTGACTGTGTGACGTCAACTTCAGACAAAACCAATAACCAAAATTATAATTTTTGATTTGTTAATTTGAGGCCCACTAACATCGATGATAACTGAACTGACCCCACGATTGAGTTTAGTTTAGCCTTTTGTGGCATTTTCTCACGCGTAATTCGTTAACTGCAAATCGGAGAAGAAGTAGTATAAGTAATCCGAGGTTGATCAATTGCGATTTCATCTCGGGTAATTCCAATTCCAGAAATGTCTTCTCCAGAAAAGAAGAGGAAGAAACCGTCGCTTACGCAGTCGACGGTGCTCACGCCGACGCCGCCGCCGCAATCGATCCCAATAGTTTCGCTTCCTGATGATTTGCTAGTAAGCTGCTTTGCACGCGTCTCGAGACTGTACTATCCGACTCTCTCACTCGTTTCCAATAGCTTCGGATCTCTCCTTGCTTCACCGGAGCTTTACAAGACCCGGTCCTCCATAGGCCACACCGAGAGCTCACTCTATGTGTGCTTACGGTTCCATCCCGACTCTAACCCTAGCTGGTTCACCCTCTGCCGGAAACCCGAACAAATCCCAACCAGCGACGCCACGAAGAAGAAGAAGAAGAAGTCGAGTGGGTATGCTTTGGCTAAAATCCCAACTCCGCATTCTCCTCCTGTGAACTCGTCGGGTCTCGTGACAATTGGTTCGGACATCTACAACATTTCCGGATCCATCGGCAACGCGCCATCGTCTAGCGTCTCGATCATGGACTGCCGGACTCACACGTGGCGCGAGGGTCCAAGCACGCTGGTGAAGCGGACTAACCCACACGCCGTTATCCTTGACGGGAAGATATATGTTGCAGGGTACGGTACCGACCCTGATTACTCGGACTGGATGGAGGTTTTCGACCCAAAAACCCAAACTTGGGAGCTTGTGTCTTCTAGCCCCGACCCTGTGTTATGTGTGTGTGATAATGTTCGAAAAAGCGCAGCGATTGGAGGAAAGGTTTACATGGTTGGAAATCTTGGTTTGACCTACGATCCGAGGTCTTGTAAATGGGGAATGGTGGGATGTAGGATGGATTTGCGTTGGGTGCGGTATTCTTACTGCGTGATCGAGGACGTGCTTTACCATTATGATGGTGGCAGGTTCGAATGGTACGACTCTAATGCATACCGCTGGAATCAAGTGAACGGTGTCAAAGGACTGCCCAAGATCACCCGTTCTGTTGCTAGATTGGCGGATTACGGTGGAAAGATGGTCGTTTTGTGGGACAAGTTTGTGACTTCCGGTGGAGATAAGAACAAGGTGATTTGGTGCGCGGTGATTGCTCTTGAAAGGCGCAAAAATGGTGAGATTTGGGGGGAGGTCGAGTGGGATGACGCAGTGCTTACGGTTCCCAAGTCATGTAAAGTGCAATATGCTCTTGCTGCTACCGTTTGATGAATGGAATGTGATGAATCTTTAGTGGTTGTGGGTAGTGTCAGTTGTGTCTTTTGTTTTTAGCTCAAGTTTTAAGTTTTTTTATGGTTGGCTTATTTTGTTTTGCTAATTCTAAATACTTATGACTTATGAGAACACTGTTTTGGTTGAAGAGAAAGTTCACTGATGAATGATTGTGCAGTTAGAGCTCATCAAAACTGACAAACCGAAATCTACACACATGTAGGAACAGGGAGGTTCAAAGACATACCTCAATGGCGATTGCAGCTGGTGTAAGATCTGAGACGCTTCTGTACCCACAATTTGATGTGATATCTGAACAGATGGTGTAAACAAGTCGCAAAACAAAACAATTTGGTAACTCTCTTCACAGTCATGAAGAAGAACTGTAACAAAAGAAGCACACTTGAAGAGAGTTTGGTCGTTTAGTGAACACAACTCTTTTCTTCTGTTCTCTTATTTTGGGTAACTGTTGTTTTAAGGCCCATTAAGATAAAAGGAAAAGGATTTCGATCACAGTTTTATAAATTGAGACCACACAATTAAATTAGCCCTAAGAGTATCTCACACGCAATCTGAGCAGAGTAACGCGAACGCGCTTAAAAGCTTGGTTTCTCTGCGAGTCGCATCAGAAAGAAAGCAGAAGAGTATAATTCAGAGGTTGATTAACGGCGATTCGCCTGAGTAATTCCGCCAATGTCGCCCCCGGATAAGAAGAGAAAGACCTCGAGTACTACGAGGAAGGAACCATCGCTTAAGAAGCATAACAAGAAGCCGTCTCTGGTGCTCCCGCCGACGACGCAATCGGCCATCACAAACCCGTCGCTTCCTGATGATGTTCTAGTGAGTTGCTTAGCCCTTGTCTCGAGAGTGTACTACCCGAGTCTCTCACTCGTCTCCAAGAGCTTTCGATCTCTCCTTGCTTCACCGGAGCTTTACAAGACCCGGTCCTCCATAGGCCACGCCGAGAGCTGTCTTTATGTGTGTTTACGGTTCCATCCTGACCCTAACCCTCGCTGGTTCACCCTCTGCATGAAACCTGATCGCGTCCTAACCAAGGACAACATCAAGAAGAAGAAGCAGAAGAAGAAGAAGTCAAGTGGGTATGTTTTGGCTAAAATCCCAGCTTCCCATTCTCCTCCTGCGCGTTCGTCGGGTCTCGTGACAATTGGTTCGGATATCTATAACATTGGCGGAGACATGAACCATGAGCCATCGTCTAGCGTCTCGATCCTGGACTGCCGGACACACACGTGGCGCGAGGGTCCAAGCATGCTCGTGAAACGGATATACACACACGCCAATGTCCTTGACGGAAAGATATATGTTGCAGGGTACGGCAAAGCCAAAGAGTCTAGTTCCTCGGACTTGATGGAGGTTTTCGATCCAAAAACACAAACTTGGGAGCTTGTGTCGAGGTGCAGTGGCGGGGAGTTGGGTGACATTAGTTATATACACAGTAGCGCAGCGATTGATAGAAAAGTATACATTTTTGCAGGTTCTAATGATTTGGCTTACGAACCGAGGGAATGTAGATGGGAGAGGGTGGGAACGAAGATGACTTGTGTATGGTCTTCTAACTGCGTGATTGAGAATGTACTTTACCAGCAGAATGATGGCAAGTTCGAATGGTATGACACTAATGCACGTCTCTGGAGAACTTTGAAGGGTGTGGTAGGGCTGCCTAAGTTTGCCCGTTCTACTGCTAGATTGGCAGATTACGGTGGAAGGATGGCCGTTTTGTGGGACAAGGTCGTGGCTTCCCCTGGAGATACGAAAAAAGTGATTTGGTGCGCGGTGATTGCCCTTGAGAGGCGCAACAGTGATGAGATTTGGGGCAAGGTCCAGTGGCGTGACGTAGTGCTTACGGTTCCCACGTCATGTGATGTGCAATATGCTCTTGCTGCTACCGTTTGTTGAGACCGAATTTAACGGGGAAAACGGCCAAATAAATCCTCAACTTTTTCGATTAGAACGTTTTATTCCCGAACTGTCAATTGTACGATTAATTCCTCAACCGTGTGAAAATTGTCTCAAATTAGACGAAGCCTAATTTGGTTTTAACGTCACTTAGACGGGAAAACCTGTACGTTACTTTTAAACGCGATAGACGTCGGGATTTTTTTTTTCCGACATAAAATCCCCAAATTGAGAATCCTAGAACATTTGGCGACAAACTGAAGTTGCTCTCTTCGAATCGGGAGTTTATTCCTCCTCCCACCTCCTCTCCCACCTCCTCTCCACATGGTTTTCACCATGGAAATTGCAGAATTTGGCTCAATTTCACTTCAGTTTCACCTCAGTTTGTCGCCAAATGTTCTAGGGTTCTCAATTTGGGGATTTTATGTCGGAAAAAAAAATCCTGACGTCTATCGCGTTTAAAAGTAACAGACAGGTTTCCCGTCTAAGTGACGTTAAAACCAAATTAGGCTTCGTCTAATTCGAGATAATTTTCACTCGGTTGGAGAATTAATTGTGCAATTGACATTTCGGGAATAAAACGTTCTAATCGAAAAAGTTAAGGATTTATTTGGCCGTTTTATAACATTTTACTGGATTGTTATATTGTCTTCTGTTTTAAGCTTGTAAACCTTTTCATGTGTTAGCTTATTATGTGAAACTCTGTTTTGGTTGAATAGAATGTTCACTACTTTCATGGGAAGAAGAAGTTATACAAGATGCAAAATTGTTTGATGATATTATGGTTATGGATGTCAAAGTAATCAAAGAAAGAGTAGTACTCAAATTATATACAACAAAATGCATGACATGTAGCGCGGGAACATAACTGTCTGGAACTAGAGGCCTTCTTTCTCTACAAAGCTCTGAACTTGCTCAAAGGCCTGATGATGAATGATTGTGCAGTTAGAGCTTATCAAAACTAACAAACTGATATCTACACACATTAAAAGGAACAGGGTGGTTTCTGAGACGTACCTCAATGGCGATTTCAGCTGGTGTAAGATCTGAGACGCTTCTATACCCACGCTTAGATGTGATATCTGAACATATGGAGTAAACAAGTCACATAACATAAATGGCCGAGATTGTGGAAAGCTATGGACCATGGAAGGCGAAAAAAAGGATTATACTTTCTAATGAAACTCTTGCGCTAGCGTTAGTGTATGCTTCACCGCGTGCATCCCAAATAGTTGAAAGACGGTTCAAGGCCTATGAGAGAAGTCAGACATGATTCAAAAACCACACAAAGCAAAAACAGAGTCTTTTCATAATTTAACAAATGTAGCAATTCATTACCACTGTGTATGCGTCTTTTGACTCATCACCATCGTCATTACCACGTAACAATGGTCTTGAATGAGTTCCCACAGCAGCGATTCTATGCGCTAAGGCTTCTAGAGGAACATCTAGCCAAATGCTTATACCGTTATGCATATACTTCCTGAGTAAAACATTGGACACATTACTACCAAAAGGATCCGAGTTTCAGCATTATATATATTCACTGATGAGAAGAAAGCGCACCAATTGATGGGTCTTATAACTGCACCTCCACCGGTTGAGACAACGACTTGGTGGTACGTCAAAGAGAGTTTCTGTAGCGCCTCGGTCTAGGAAGAGAGCATGTGACGAAATTAGGAGCAAGAATACACAAAGAACAAAAGGACTTATGGAAGGAAGAAAAGCAGAGTAAAACCTCTTTTTCTCTGAAGACGCTCTCACCGAAATGCTCAAATATCTCAGCTATAGAAGTTCCGTTCATTGCTTGCTCGATCAAAGCGTCACTGGCACATATACATAACGATCTTTAGTTGAGCTAAAGACTAATAGACACACAGTTGAAAAAGGGTTGGAGAATGTACCAATCAAAGAATGTATAACCAAGTGCTCTTGCCATTATCTTTCCCACTGTCGTCTTCCCAGAACCCATCATTCCTAACGCATTCACCAGGAAACTCTTAGTTAACAGACTGTACGAGAAGCTAAGCAATAATCAACCAAAGTGTGAGACGAAGAAACTAACCAACAAGATACATAGATCGCCCATTTAAATACTGTTTAACCTCTTCAGCTTTTCTCTGCAAGAGCTTATATAATCCACTGTCAACATAAGATTTTTATAGAAAAGAGAGAAGATTGATGCTCAGAGAGAAGTGTATCACTTGCCTTCAAAACCAGTTCTTCATCAAATGGAGAATGAAGGAGACTACCAGTTTCCAACAATGCTACAAAATTTAAAGGTGGAAACACATCTCTTGTCATCAAACACGATCGAAAAAACAGAAAATTCAAAGATTCATGCTTTTTTTTCTTTCTTGTCAGAACCTGAGGAGTTCTTGTCAGAAAGTGATCTTTGTCGATGGTCTCTTCTTTTGTCAGGTTGAAAATGAGCTAAAGCAAGAACTCTAAGCCTTTTATTTTCTTTGCTTCGATGATTGTACTGTAGAGAACCACGAGGCTTCCCTTCAAAATTTCTCAAATCAATCCATGGTGATGAGTACTGAAACCTATGAACAGTAGTTGCTTCCATATTCTGGAAATGCAAGCAACACAAGAAATCAGATTCTATGCGAAAGACAAATTCTGTTGGATTTAGATTTCTTTGCAGAGTGTCAATAACTCAACGTCAAGGCCAAATAGAAAAATGGATTATTACACAATTTCATGGGGGAAAAAAAGTGAATTTTCATGTGGAATTAAGCTAATTACAGCAGAAACTTTCAAATAAGCTCCATGAATACAAACAAGAAAAAGAAAAGGACAGAGATTAAGGAATAATTACTCCATAAAAAAACAATGCAGAGACAAATGAAATCGGAGATTGTAGAATGGATAAAGGGTTCACCTTTTTCCCCGACGGCGGAGCAAGACTCGAGACACGGAGACTCTCTCTTCTCTTTTTTTCTATTGGCTTAAATTAGTTCTTAGTAGATTTTTGTTTTTATTGACCAAAAACGAAAAGAATTTTGTTAATCTAATTAAACGAAAATGCAGGGGACAATGGGTAGGTGAAATACCTAAATTATCTGTTCATTCATGCCAAGTCACTAAAATCGATTTATGTTAGGGTCCCAAATAAAATGTTAGTGGAAAAGAAATCTGTAACGTGTTTTAAAATAAAGATATGGTTATGATATCTGACATCTTTTGTGATCTTTCAAATTATCTTGATTCTGTGTTTCGTACATATAAAAGATATAAAATCGTATTTTTAGTAACCTTCAACATTAATATTATCATTGTGATCTAAACCGAATCAACCACATATCTAATCTAACCATAACTGAATGCAAGATCTTTCAAATTTTAAGGTTTGTCAAACGAATGTCAGGTTTAAAATATGGAAAATGTAATTTGGTAGGTGGTGAGACGTGGAATTAGAATTCTTATCCGACCAAAATTATATGTGGCAAGTACAATATACTTTACAAAGTGGATATGGCCCACTAAATAATCAGGTAGGGCCATCCAATATACTGTTTTTGTTTTGCGATCAACCTACCAACCTGTTACCTAAAATAACTCTAAACCCATGTCATTTCGATGCTTGGTAGTATAACCGTTTGCCGTTTTCACTTGTCATATCCACCATCCCTTTCTTCGATTATAACACAAAACGGCAGACTGTTTTTGTCTTATGAAATAGTTTCTCAACGGTCGTCGCGGCACGCATTTGCTTCTTCTCTCTCGGTAGGATGAGAAGCCATGGAAGCTGGCGTAAAGTGAAAGAAGCGATACGTTTCTACTCTTCTTCATCTTCCTCTGCTTCAGGTCTCTTGGAATTTGTAAATGTAGATTTTCCTTCTACGATAGGAATTCGAGGAAGGCGCGAATTTGCCAGTCTCTTGCAGCTTCGTGCGTCGGACGATCCGTTGATCTATCACAATGTAGTTCATGGTCAGATCATCGTTTCGGGTTTTGAGTCAGATACGTATCTTAGCAATCTTCTGATGAAAGCGTATTCGGAAGCTAACGGTATGGTTTATGCACGGAAGCTGTTCGAGAAAATGCCTGACAGAAATTTGGTTACTTGGTCTACTATGGTTTCAGCCTGTAACCTTCATAGGTTATACGACGAGTCGTTGAAGGTTTTCATAGAATTCTGGAGAACTAGAAAAATCAGCCCGAACGAGTTTATTTTGTCGAGTGTTATCCAAGCTTGCTCTGGATTAGATGGTGATTGTGTACGATGGATGGTGTTTCAGCTTCAAAGTTTTCTTCTCAAGAGTGGGTTTGATCGGTATGTTTACGTTGGTACACTGTTGATTAAGTTTTTTCTGAAGGAAGGTGATCTCGATTACGCAAGGCTCGTGTTTGACGCTTTACCGGAGAAATCTACAGTGACGTGGACGACTATGATCAGTGGGTACGCCAAAATGGGAAGAAGCCACGTGTCATTGAAGTTATTCTACCAACTAATGGGAGGTAACATTGTTCCAGATGGTTACATCCTTTCGACGGTTCTAAGTGCGTGTTCATCACTTTCGTTTATCGAAGGTGGGAGGCAGATTCATGCACACATCTTAAGGCATGGACATGAGATGGATGCCTCACTGATGAATGTGCTTATAGATTGTTATGTGAAGTGTGGCAGAGTTACATGTGGTCTTAAGCTATTCGATGGGATGTGGAATAAAGACGTGACTTCGTGGACCACAATACTGTCTGGATATAATCAGAACTCTCTTCATAAGGAAGCCATGGAGTTGTTTTCGGGAATGTTAAAGATTGGTTTGAAGCCAGATGCGTATGCTTGCTCTAGCATACTCACGTCTTGTGCCTCACTTCATGCTCTGGACTATGGAAGACATGTTCATGCTTACACTGTCAAAGCCAATCTTGGCGATGATAGCTATGTGACTAACAGCTTGATCGACATGTATGCGAAGTGTGATTGTTTGACCGACGCGAGAAAAGTTTTCGACCGTTTCGCTGCTGCTGATGGAGTTTTGTATAATGCAATGATTGAAGGTTACTCGAGACTTGGGACACAATGTGAGCTACATGAGGCAGTGAACATGTTTTGTGATATGAGGTCCAGATTGATTCCACCTAGCTTGTTGACTTTTGTTAGCCTTCTACGTGCATCTGCTTCTTTGAAAAGCTTGGAACTTAGCAAACAAATCCATGGGTTGATGTTCAAACATGGAGTAAACTTATATATGTTTGCTGGAAGCGCTTTGATTGATGTTTACTCAAGTTGCTACTGTCTCAAGGATTCTAGGCTCGTGTTTCATGAAATGAAAGAGAAAGATCTTGTTCTGTGGAATGCAATGTTTTCACGTTATGTTAAACAATCAGAGAACGAAGAAGCTCTCAATCTGTTTTCGGAACTACAGATATCAAAAGAAAGTCCTGATGAATTTACTTTTGCCGACATGCTTAAAGCAGCTGGTAACTTGGCAAGTCTTCAGTTGGGTGAAGCGTTCCATTGCCAGGTTATGAAAAGAGGCTTGGAATGTAATTCATATATCACAAATGCTCTACTAGATATGTATGCCAAATGTGGAAGTCCCGAAGATGCTTACAAGGCTTTTGATTCAGCAGCTTCGAGAGATGTGGTTTGTTGGAATTCTGTCATATCATCTTACGCGAATCATGGAGAAGGAAGAAAAGCACTTCAGATGCTGGAAAGAATGATGAGTGAAGGAATAGAGCCTAACCACATCACATTTGTGGGGGTTTTATCAGCGTGTAGCCACGCTGGTCTCGTGGAAGATGGACTTGAGCGATTCGAGTTAATGCTTCGGCTTGGAATTGAACCAGAAACTGAACACTATGTTTGTATGGTATCTCTGTTAGGCCGTGCTGGTAGATTGAACGAAGCAAGGGACTTAATTGAGAAAATGCCGATGAAACCACCTGGTATTGTATGGAGGAGCTTGTTGAGTGGATGCGCGGTGAAGGGTAACATAGAGTTGGCTGAGTATGCAGCTGAGATGGCTATTTCGTCTGATCCAACGGACAGTGGATCGTTTACTTTGCTTTCTAACATGTACGCGTCGAAAGGCATGTGGGCAGATGTGAAGAAAGTAAGAGAAAGAATGAAGTTTGAGGGTGTGGTGAAAGAACCTGGACGTAGTTGGATTCAGATTGATAACGAGTTTCATATATTTCTGTCCAAGGATAAATCTCACCGCAAGACGAATCAGATTTATGAAGTATTAGACGATTTGCTTGTGCAGATCAAAGAGTGATTGACTCTGTTTGGTTAAAGACCAATGCAGCTAGAGTTGTCGGGAATTTCAGATCGGTGATCACATTATTATCCGTTCTGATCAAGTTAAGGATGCCGAAGTAGGTATTAAGCCTGATTGGATCATTGAAGAAAGAGTTGATCTCTATGTTAATGGAGTTGCAGGAGATGAAGCTAAGCAAGGATGATAAGAGAGGCCGATGTTAACTTGTTACAATCAGAACCAGAAACAGTAAGACTAAATTACATCCTTAAGTGAAGCAGAGATTGAGAAGCCTAGAAAGCAACTGATACAATACAAGTAAGACCGAGCTGAAGAAGAAAGAAGAAGCTGCAATGTCCAATAAACTCGGTTCGGTTCTCAGTTTCTTCTTATCACCTAAACCGTTTAGGTTAGAATTTAGAAACCTGTTTGACGGAGAAGTTGTAATGGTGAACGGTCTGTTTAACCGATTCAAAAAATCAAAAACAGTGTGTTTAACCAAAGTAAAAATTCTCATTCTGTTCCAATTTTTCATAAACCGGAAACCAAACTCAATTGGACATTTAGCTGTTATTTGGGCCCAAGATATTGTCGGACCAGGCCGAGTTCTAGACACTTCGGTTCTAATGTCTGTAATCAGGTGAAACGAAAACCCTCAGATTTCTCTGGCTCTGTCTCCTCCGTCGTCACTTTCGAGTTTCGACCTTCTGATTACGGTGTTCTTCCTTTCACTCGCGTTTAACTTCTCTCCTTAAGGCTGTAGCTAAGCTCTCTGATTTGACTGCAACCATGGCGACTATTATGGTGAAGATCAAAGAAATCGAAGATGAGGTCATTTTCTCAAATTTTGTTTTTTTCTTTCGATCCTCTGATTCTTCATTTGTGCATAGGAATCTAAATCCGAAATATTTGATATTTTCAATTAGTTCTAAAATGATTCATTGTTATCTTTTGTTTGCTTATGTTGCAGATGGCAAAGACACAGAAGAATAAAGCCACCGCGCATCATCTCGGTTTGTTAAAGGTAAATTTTTCTCTTTCTAAGTTACTGAAATTGCCCAGTTAGATGAAAATTTTGTTGTTGCAGTCGTGTTCTGTACTCTGTAGCTTTGATAGTGAGGTTGAATGATTGAGGTTTTTAATTTATACTGATGAAATGCAAATTGGGCAGATTGTTTTATATCTGTTTCAATAAAATCGTGTATGATAAATCAACAACTAAGCAACCATAAGCTTAATCTTTAATTTGGAATTGGTCCGTTTTGGCAGGCGAAACTTGCTAAGCTAAGGAGGGAGCTTCTTGCACCACCTACCAAAGGTGGAGGTGGCGCTGGCGAAGGTTTTGATGTGACTAAAAGTGGAGATTCTAGAGTCGGGCTTGTTGGCTTTCCTTCGGTTGGAAAATCCACGCTCTTGAACAAGCTTACCGGAACATTTTCTGAGGTTTGTAGTTACTGTTAACAATCTCGCATTTTCTGTCGACTTGGCTGTCTATGTTAGAGCACTTGCATGTAACTGTAGGTTTCAAACTTTACCATGTATCCAAGCCATCTGCTTTCTAGTTGCTTTTACAGATTAGCATATAAAATCTTGGAATTAGGTATGTGTTTTGTGATGCTCTACTTTCTGAAGGTATATTCACTGTTTTTTTTCTCAGGTTGCTTCTTATGAGTTCACAACATTGACATGCATTCCTGGAGTTATTACATACCGTGGAGCTAAAATCCAGGTACTTTATCTACCTCTATGCCTCTTTTCTCAATCTGCTACTTTTGGAGATAGATGACATGCTTTCATCTTCTGGTTGTTCTCAAGTTGTCTCCTGTGTCTTGGAAGTCATGTCGAGTCTCACACTCTCACTCTTATGTTAATGTGCTTGCAGTTATTAGATCTTCCTGGTATTATTGAGGGTGCCAAGGACGGAAAAGGTAGAGGAAGACAGGTATGTCGATCATAAACCTCTCAACTTTCAAAATGTCCCTACATTGGTCCGTGTTTGACGCTTTACTATTTCCAGGTTATTAGTACTGCTAGGACTTGCAACTGTATCATTATAGTTCTCGATGCCATAAAGCCAATAACTCACAAGCGTCTCATTGAAAAAGAGCTCGAAGGATTCGGAATAAGGTATTTGACCGCTTACATTATAAAATAACCTTGATACACCTTATCATTTTCCGGTAGATGTTCTGAGCCAATTATGGACTGATGCTGTATAGGTTGAACAAGGAGCCACCTAACCTTACATTCAGGAAAAAGGACAAAGGTGGTATCAATCTAACTTCTACAGTCACATGCACACACCTTGACCTCGACACCGTCAAGGCGATCTGCAGTGAGTACAGGATGCACAACGCTGACATCACTCTGCGCTACGATGCAACCGCTGATGACCTCATTGATGTCATCGAGGGTAGTCGGATCTATATGCCCTGTATCTACGCTGTCAACAAGATCGATCAGATCTCACTTGAGGAGCTTGAAATTTTGGACAAACTTCCTCATTACTGTCCTGTCAGGTAAATATTTTGTAGTTTACCTCGCAGGTTTCTTGATCAATTGTTTCCCTTTTTTCTCATTGAGGTATAATAATCACGCAGTGCGCATCTGGAGTGGAATCTTGACGGTCTTCTTGATAAGATTTGGGAGTACTTGGACCTAACTCGAATCTACACCAAACCGAAGGCTATGAATCCAGATTATGATGATCCTGTTATCTTATCTTCCAAGAAGAGAACAGTTGAGGACTTCTGCATCAGGATTCACAAAGACATGCTTAAACAATTCAAGTAGTAAGTAACTAAAACTTTACCACTGTTCTGTTTCTCTAACTAATAGTTTCTTGCTCGTCAGCATTCCTTATGAGTACTAATGATTTTCCGGTTGCAGTGCTTTAGTCTGGGGTTCAAGTGCCAAACACAAGCCACAGAGAGTTGGAAGGGTCAGTCTACTTTGCATACTCAGTAACTTTTAAATCAAATTTGTTGAAATATCCATAGTTACAACATTATTGCTGAGTAAACCCATTTGCCATATCGCGAACTAACTGTCGCCGTTGTCTTTTTGTTTTATGTATGGAAACACTTCAGGAACACGAGCTCGAGGACGAGGATGTTGTTCAAATTGTTAAAAAGATATGATTTTTCCAGTTGATGGAGAAGTCTAAAGACCAAAGTAGCCATCTCTCTACATAGAAAGAAGGCTTTGGTTTCTCACCTTATCTTTTTGTACTGTACTATATACAGAGAAAATCTTGTGTCCGCACTTTTTTGTTTGTCTTTTTGGATACAGTCCTTTCATCTTTTTCTAGTGATAGCATGTGATTGATGTCTTGTCGGAACACACTTCGGGATATGGTTTTGCCTAGATATCCTCCTTGTTTTTATATATGCAATTTGACTCTTTTTTTTTCTTTTACGAACTACATAATTTTGCAGGATGTTGTTATTTTATATGTATTCATTCATTTAATCAGTGTGCTCTATAGTGTGTTTATAAATCAAGTTCCTTCAACACTCAAGTTCCATCACAGCCTTTACGATAAAGTTCCTAACCTTCCCTGATGGCCTCAATAAGCTTACTTGAAGCCTCCATAACAATCCTTTGCTTTCTTATTTTCCACCACTTGCTCTTCAAGAAACCTCACGACCGGTACCTTCGAAACTGGCCGGTTCTCGGGATGCTTCCTGGTCTCCTCTCGGTCGTCCATCGCATCTACGACTTTAGCGTGGAAGTTCTTGAAAAAATCGACTTAACATTTCCATTCAAGGGACCCTGGTTCGTTGGAATGGATATATTGGTCACTGTTGATCCAGCTGATATCCACCACATATTGAGCTCAAACTTCTCCAGTTACACCAAAGGAGCCGATTTCAAAGAAGTCTTTTACGCTTTCGGAGAAATGATCTTTACTTCTGACGGGGAGCTATGGAAGAATCAAAGAAGAGCTGCTCAATTCATGCTTAACCATCAAAGGTTTCAAAAGCTTTCAATGGGTGCGACAAGAGGTAAACTCGAGGACGCTCTTGTTCCTCTTTTCAACCATTTCTCAGAGAAGGAGATGGTCGTCGATTTGCAAGATGTGTTTCAGAGATTCACTTTTGATACAACTTTTCTTCTTGTAACCGGGTTTGATCCAAAATCTCTCTCCATTGAAATGCCGGAAGTTGAGTATGCTAAAGCTCTTGACGATCTTGGAGAAGGGATTTTCTATAGGCACATTATACCGAAGTTCTTGTGGAAGCTGCAAAAATGGATTGGTATCGGAACAGAGAAGAGGATGGCTAAAGCTAATGCCACTTTTGATCGCGTTTCTGCGAAATACATATCAGCTAAGAGAAAAGAGGTAAGATCACAAGGTGTTGAGAGCGAGGATCTTTTGACATCTCACATAAAGCTTGACACAACCAAGTACGAGCTCTTGAATCCAAGTGATGATAAGTACCTAAGAGACACCATCTTGGCTTTCAATATAGCTGGGAGAGACACAATGGCTTCCGCGCTCTCTTGGTTCTTCTGGCTTTTATCTGAAAACCCTCGAGTGGTAACCAAGATTCGCCAAGAGATCATCAACAACAATCTTCCAAGAACCGGAAGGAAAGGCCATGAGAATTTAGACAAGCTGACGTATCTACAAGGCGCTTTGTATGAATCAATGAGGCTCTATCCACCAGTTCCCTTCCAACGCAAGTCACCTATAAAACCAGACTTGCTTCCAAGTGGGCATAAAGTGGATGCGAACTCAATGATCATCATCTATCTTTACGCATTGGGGAGGATGAGAACGGTTTGGGGAGAGGACGCATTGGAGTTTAAGCCAGAGAGATGGATTTCACAGAACGGAGGGTTGAGACATGAGCCTTCTTTCAAGTTCCTATCGTTTAACGCAGGTCCAAGAACTTGTCCTGGTAAGCAGTTAGCTTTGACTCTAATGAAGGCAGTGGCCGTGGAGATATTACAAAATTTTGATATTAAGGTTATCAAAGGGCAGAAGATTGAGCCAGATCCTGGTCTTATATTGTATATGAAGCATGGGCTTAGAGTCACAATCACTAAGAGATTTTCAGATTAGAATTGATGTATGCCTTAATTAATCCATCTCTCCCTTATATTAAACTGGATCTACCACAAAATTGTGTTATGATGTAAAGACTATTATGATTATTATAAAGCCTTCGTATCTATCAACAGCTAATGAAATTAATCATTTTTTTTTATTGGTGACATCTATTTTTTTTTTAAAAAGCAACGGATCACTGTTGTGGTCTTGTGGTGAACTACAATACTATGAGAAAAAACAAAAAATAAGTTATTAATATTGTATTTCACCACCACAACAGCGATAAGTTGCAAACAGAAAACAACCAATCACTTCAGGCTTCAACGCTCACATATAGAAGAATCCATCAGAAATGTACGTGTGTGTGTCTCTGTGAATTCCAGCTCACTCTTTAACCGCCTCATAAGTTTAATTGCAGTTGACAAAGTTAGAAACAGGCAATAATGATCTATGCGTTAATTTCCTTACAAAATCCAATGTATTTAAAAACAATTTCTTATTTATGCCTTGAAGTGTGTGGTGCAGTGTGCATGCATATAAATTCAGTTATTTCTGCCAGTGGGTGTGGGTGTAAGTGTGGGTGTGTGTTAATGACTCCCAATGGCTTTAATAAGCTCCCTTACTTGCCTTCAAGAAATCACATGGCAGGTTCATTCGGAACTGACCGGTTCTCCGGGTGACAATTTTCAAAGCATATAAAAAGTTAGGTGAGTTATTATTACAAATATATATATAAAAGTTAGCTGTATAGGCAGACCATTTAACACAAATTCCTAATTCTAAGATCTATGCATGAATCGTGCCTTTTGTGCATATAACAAAATTTAGTGTAATTAAAAAAAACATTTCAATAATTGTGCGCCTTGAAGTGTGTGATGCAGTGTGCTTATAAATTCAGTTCCTTCTGCGAGCAAAGTAACCATCACAGTGGAGTGAATGTGATTTGCTCCCTCTAATGGCTTCAATAAACTTACTTGAAACCTCCGCAGCCATCTTTTGCTTTCTCATCATCTATTACTTGTTTTTCAAGAAACCTCATGGCCAGTTGCTTAGAGACTGGCCGGTTCTCCGGATGCTCCCCGGTCTGCTCGTGGAGTTCCACCGGATCCATGATTTCAGCGTTGAGATTCTAGAAATCTCTGGCTTGACGTTCCAATTCAAGGGACCGCCATTCACTGGAATGGATATGTTGGTCACGGTTGATCCAGCCAACATTTATCATATAATGAGCTCAAACTTCTCAAACTACATCAAAGGACCTGAGTTCCAAGAAGTGTTTGATGTGTTCGGAGACGGGATAATCACCACGGACTCGGAGCTCTGGAAGAATCTGAGGAAGTCTTACCAAGCCATGTTCCATTCTCAGGAGTTTCAAAGGTTTTCAGTGAGTACCATGACAAGTAAACTCAAGGACGGTCTTGTTCCTCTTCTTAATCATTTTGCAGAGGAAGGCACACCAGTGGACTTGCAAGATGTGTTTGGGAGGTTCACTTTCGATACAATCCTAAGCCTTATTACCGGTTCTGATCCTAAAACTCTCTCCAAAGAAATGCACGAGGATGAATCCGCTAAAGCTCTCGACGATGTTGGAGAAGGGATCCTGCAGAGACATGTTAAGCCAAAGTTCTTGTGGAAGCTGCAAAACTGGATGGGATTCGGACAAGAGAAGAAGATGAAAGAAGCTGATGCAACTTTTGACCGTGTGTGCGCGAAGTACATATCAGACAAGAGAGAAGAGATAACAAAATCTCAAGGGATTATTGATGGAGATAGTCAGGATCTTTTAACTTCCTTCATGAAGCTTGATACAACCAAGTACAAGCTCTTGAAGCCGAGTGATGATAAGTTCCTTAGAGATACTATCTTAGCTTTCATTCTAGCCGGAACAGGTACAACTGCCTCTGCTCTTTCTTGGTTCTTCTGGCTGCTCTCTGAAAATCCACAAGTGGTAGCCAATATTCGTCAGGAGATCACCAACACGAATCTATCAAGAACAGGAAATGTCCAAGAGGATTCAGACAAGTTGGTGTATTTACATGGTGCGCTGTATGAAGCAATGAGACTATATCCACCATCTTCCTTCGGGCGCAAGTCTTCTGTCCAATCAGATGTGCTTCCAACTGGGCATAAAATCGATGCAAACTCTAAGGTTATTATCTCTCAATATGCGTTGGGAAGGATGAGAGCGATTTGGGGAGAAGATGCGCTGCAATTCAAGCCGGAGAGATGGATTTTAGGGAATGGAAGCTTAAAGCATGAGCCTTCCTTCAAGTTTTTAGCGTTTAATTCTGGTCCAAGAACTTGTCTAGGTAAGCATTTTGCTATGATTCAAATGAAGATGGTGGTAGTGGAGCTATTACAAAACTATGACATAAAGGTTATCAAAGGGCAGAAGATTGCGCCAGTTCTTGGTTTTATATTGTCAATGAAGCATGGACTTAGAATCACAATTACTAAGAGATGCACAGCTTGAAAGCATTATTGCATTAGTTTAATCGCTGTTAGTTTGTCTTGCTATCACAATATAAAGCTTATGAAACAACAACTTCTTTTTTTATTTTTTTTCTTTTTTTTTGCGTTGGAGAGGATGAGAGTGGTTTGGGGAGAAGACGCATTGGAGTTTAAGCCAGAGAGATGGATTTCACAGACCGGATGGTTGAGACATGAGCCTCTTTCAAGTTCCTACCGTTTAACGCAGGTCCAAGAACTTGTCCTTGTAAGCAGTTAAGCTACGACATTAATGAAGGCAGTGGCCGTAGAGATATTACAAAATTTTGATATTAAGGTTATCAAAGGGCAGAAGATTGAGCCAGCTCCTGGTCTTATATTGTATATGAAGCTTGGACATAGAGTCACAATCACTATGAGATGTTCAGCTTAGAATTAAATGATGTATGCCTTAGTTAATCCCTTTCTCTGTTATATTAAACTCTATCACAAAATAATGTTATAATATTATGGGGAAAACAGAGAACAAAGTTATTTGTATTGTATTTCACCACAAAATAATTTTGTGATCTAGGCACTAATCGTGCTTTGCAGTTCGGCATATAACAAAATTTAATGTATTTAAGTACAATTTATTTAATTAATTGCGCCTTGAAGTGTGTGGTGCAGTGTGCTAAATTCACTTCTATCTACCGGTGTGTGTGTGTGTGTATTATTTACTCGATATGGCTTCAATAACCTCCCTTACTTGCTATTCAAGAAATCACATGGCTGGTTCTCCGGATGACAATTTAAAAACATTTAAGAAGTTAGGTGCGTTATCACAAAAATAAAAAAAGTTAGTTGAATTGGCCATTTAATACAAATTTCTAATTCTATGATCTATCATGTGCCTTGCAAACTGTGCATATATCAAAATTTAGTGTAAGTAAAACATAATTTCCTTAATTGTGTGCCTTCAAGTGTGTGATATGATGCAATGTGCTTATAAATTCAGTTCCTTCTGCCAGCAAAGTAACCCTCACACAGTGGAGTGTATGTTATTTACTCACTCCAATGGCTTTAATAAACTTTCTTGAAACTTCCGCAGCCATCTTTTGCTTTCTCATCATTTATTTCTTGTTCTTCAAGAAACCTCATGGCCAGTTCCTTATAGACTGGCCGGTTCTCCGGATGCTCCCCGGTCTGCTCATGGCGCTCCACCGGATCCATGATTTCAGCGTTGAGATTCTTGAAATCTCTGGCTTGACGTTCCACTTCAAGGGACCGCCATTCGCTGGAATGGATATGTTGCTCACCGTTGATCCAGCTAACATTCATCATATAATGAGCTCAAACTTCTCAAACTACATTAAAGGATCGGAGTTCCAAGAAGTTTTTGATGTGTTCGGAGACGGGATAATCACCACGGACTCTGAGCTATGGAAGAACCTGAGGAAGTCTTATCAAGCCATGCTCCATACTCAAGAGTTTCAAAGGTTTTCAATGAGCACCATGACTAGTAAGCTCAAGAACGGTCTTGTTCCTCTTCTTAATCATTTTGCAGAGGAAGGCACACCTGTGGACTTGCAAGATGTGTTTGGGAGGTTCACTTTCGATACGATCTTAATCCTTATTACCGGTTCTGATCCAAGATCTCTCTCCAAAGAAATGCACGAGGATGAATTCGCTAAAGCTCTCGACGATGTTGGAGAAGGGATCCTGCAGAGACATGTTAAGCCAAAGTTCTTGTGGAAGCTGCAAAACCGGATGGGATTCGGACAAGAGAAGAAGATGAAAGAAGCTGATGCAACTTTTGACCTTGTGTGCGCGAAGTACATTTCAGACAAGAGAGAAGAGATAACAAGATCTCAAGGGATTCTTGATGGAGATAGTGAGGATCTTTTAACTTCCTTCATGAAGCTTGATACAACCAAGTACAAGCTCTTGAAGCCTAGTGATGATAAGTTCCTTAGAGACACCATCCTAGCTTTCATTCTAGCCGGAAGAGATACAACTGCCTCCGCTCTCTCTTGGTTCTTCTGGCTTCTCTCTGAGAATCCACAAGTGGTAGCCAAAATTCGACAGGAGATCACCAACACAGAGCTATCAAGAACAGGAAATGTCCAAGAGGATGCAGACAAGTTGGTGTATCTACATGGTGCGCTGTGTGAAGCAATGAGACTATATCCACCAGTTTCCTTCGGACGCAAGTCTTCTGTCCAATCAGATGTGCTTCCAAGTGGGCATAAAATCGATGCAAACTCTAAGGTTATTATCTGTCTTTATGCGTTGGGAAGGATGAGAGCGATTTGGGGAGAAGACGCGTTGCAGTTCAAGCCGGAGAGATGGATTTTAGAGAATGGGGACTTAAAACATGAGCCTTCCTCCAAGTTTGTTGCGTTTAATTCTGGTCCAAGAACTTGTCTAGGTAAGAATTTAGCTATGACTCAAATGAAGATAGTGGCAGTGGAGATAGTACAAAACTATGACATTACCGTTGTCAAAGGGCAGAAGATTGAGCCAGTTCTTGGTTTTATTTTGTCGATGAAGCATGGACTTAGTATCACAATTACTAAGAGATGCACAGCTTGAGAGCATAAGTGCATTAAATATATCGTTGTTAGTCTGTCATGCAAATCTATCGCAATAAAAAGCTTAAAAATAAAAGATTTGGTGAATTGAATCTTCTTCTTCTTTTCTTTTAACGTTATGTGAATTAGTACGGGTCAACGCATCGTGAAATTCATTAACAATAAATTTGAACAATGGAGAAATATTACCATTAATGATAATCATGTGATCCTCAACGCCTTAGATTCGTCTGGTTCTTTAAATACGAACATGATTTTATCAAAAAATATCTAAAGCGTGAGTACCGAAATTCATCTCTGATTATTAAAATGTAATGAAACAATAGTCTGATCACAACTTGTCTGGTAGATCGATCTTAGATCTTTGATTGTGTGTCTATAAATCAAGCCATGACATTAGATTTTCCTCACTCTTAAGGAAGAAATAAAGAAAGCATCTACGTAAAACATTCAGACCAAACATCTCTTAGTAACTGTGACTTTAAGACCACGCTTCATGTGGAGAATAACAGAAGGAGCTGGCTCAATCTGTTGCCCTTCAACGACCTTCATCTCATAGTTTTGTATAATCTCCACAGCCACTGACTTCATTTGCATCAAAGCCACTTCTTTCCCCAAACAAGTTCTTGGACCAGCGTTAAACGATAAAAACTTATAAGATGGCTCATGTACCGGCTTCCCGCTCTCAGAAATCCACCTCTCCGGTTTAAATTCCAACGCATCCTCTCCCCAAACCGATTTCATCCTCCCTAATGAGTAAAGACAGAACAAAATCTTCGAGTTGGCGTCAACTTTGTGTCCACTGGGAAGAACATCGGATTTAGTTGGAGACTTGTGCTGAAAGGGAACAGGTGGATAGAGTCTTAGGGCTTCACAAATCGCTCCGTGTAGATAAACCAACTTCTTTAACTCTTGGGGATTGCTTGAGTCAAAATCATCATCTGTGTTGATTTCTTGACGAATCCTAGCCATCGCTTCTGGATTTATTAATAGAAGCCAGAAGAGCCAAGTGAGTCCAGATCCTGTTGTGTCTCTTCCCGCTAACATGAAGGTCAAGATCGTGTCTCTAAGGAATCTGCCGTCACTCGGATTCAACAGCTTGTACTTGGTCGTGTCCAAGTTCATGTAAGACGTCAGCAAATCTTGAGAAGGAGAATCATCATTGTTGATCCCACGGCTTATCTCCTCTCTCTTTGAAGCTATGTACTTGGAGCAAACACGATCGAAAGTCTCGCGAGCTTTCGTCATCTTCTTCTCATCTCCTAACCCAATCAAGCTTTGCATCTTCCACAAGATCTCCGGCTTGATATGCCTGAAGAATATCGCTTCCTCTGCATCGTCTAAAGCTCTTGCAAACTCGACTTCCGGCATTTCAACCGAGAGACAACCTGGATCATATCCGGTCGATAAAACACACGTGGTGTCGAACGTGAATCTTTGGAACATATCTTGTAAGTCCACATCGAGTTTCTCTTTAGCTACATGGTCAAGAAGTGGGACAAGCCCATTCTTTAGCTTATTCAAGCTTGTAGCTAATGAAAACCTTTGAAACTCGGGATTCATCATCATGCTTTGAGCTGATTTCCTCAGATCCTTCCACAGCTCCGAGTCCGCATTGAAAATCCCATCTCCCAAAACGTCGAATAGCTTCTTGAACTCAGGTCCTTTCGGGTAGTTTGCGAAGTTTGAGCTCATGATGTAGTGGATGTTAGCAGGATCTACCGTGACCAACATGTCGAGTCCGGTGAAAGTTGGGCCTATGCAAGGATAGGTTAAGTTTGTGACCTCCATAATATCGGTTACGAAGTCGTAAACACGATGGATCTCGACGAGCATACCGGGAATCATTCCGAGGAGCGGCCAGTTTGTGGGACACAAATGGTGAGGTTTTTTGTTGATCAAGAAATATCGGAAGAGGATGAAACAAAAGAAAGCAATGGAGATTTCAAACAAGCTTATAAAAGCCATTAGAGATTAAAAATATGTAAATGTATTTCTCTTCTTTTGAGAGACTCCAATGGCAGCTTGATTCTTGATTTTGTAACCACAAAGGATATATATAAAGCAGTTACGTTGTGCGTCTTTGAATTTGGTGATGTGTTGTCTATATCGTTTGAATTCTTATAACACGGAATAAAATCTTACTTTCTTCGGTGATTATCTTTCTATGTTTTGTAAATAGCCAAAAGACTCATAACATCTTCCTTCATGCATGCAATCTTAACATTTACACCAGAAAAAAAAAGATCTATATGCATGCATGTGACATATTATTACCCAATTAGTTATTTGTTTTAATACAAATCAATTTATTACCAAATGTGTTTAATGTATTGACTAAGAGTCGACATATTTTTATTTATTTTGTGCTATGTGAGTCCAAAAAGGTTGATTTTATGCCATTTTAGGGTATTCCTAAAATTGAACGTATTGAAAAATCTACATAACTAATAAGGCTTGGACAATCTCCAGCCTTTGACACGTGGCACTCTCTTTTTTTTTTTTTTTTTCGCCTAACACCAAAACGACGTTTTTTTTTTTTTTTTTTTGTCTTACACCAAAACGACGTCGTTTTGCGCTTTATTTTTTTTTGTCTTACACCAAAACGACGTCGTTTTCGTATTAAAAAAAAAAAAAATCTAAATCAAAATTATGTGTAATGTGTTCGTTTTGATGGGCTTGATTATTTATCGGACCTCTTCGTTTCCATGGTAGCTTTAAATGGGCTGGCTAATTAGCTCATTTCATTTCCTTTTAAAAAGGATTGCAATTATTATTATCTATGAGTCTGTAGGATAATAATCAATCTATAATGATTGTTAGTATAAGGAAAATTAGAAGAACTCAACTCCAGTCGATAAATTATTGTATAAAAGAACAAAAAACATATGAAACTATTCACTATGAGTCTATATAAGATTTCACGTAAATAACAACTAAATTTTAAAACTATATGAAAAAAAAAAAATGCAAAACTTACAGAATCTAATATATTCGAGTAAAAAACAAATGATATATTCGAATCTAATGTTCTGAATAATTAAATTAAAAATATTTGGTTTAATAAACCCGCGCATTGCGCGGGTTCTCTCCTAGTATTAGTAAAATCTACATAACTAATAAGGCTTGGACACTTCAAGTCTTTGACACGTGGCACTTTTTTTTTTTTCGCCTAACACCAAAACGACGTCGTTTTGCTTTTTTTTTTTTCGTCTTACACCAAAACGACGTCGTTTTGCGCTTTATCTTTTTTTTTCGTCTTACACCAAAACGACGTCGTTTTCGTATTAAAAAAAAAAAAAAAATCTAAATCAAAATTATGTGTAATGTTGTTCGTTTTGATAGGCTTGATTATTTATCGGACCTCTTCGTTTCCATGGTAGCTTTAAATGGGCTTACTGGCTAATTAGCTCATTTCATTTCCTTTTAAAAAGGATTGCAATTATTATTATCTATGAGTCTGTAGGATAATAATCAATCTATAATGATTGTTAGTATAAGGAAAATTAGAAGAACTCAACTCCAGTCGATAAATTATTGTATAAAAGAACAAAAAACATATGAAACTATTCACTATGAGTCTATATAAGATTTCACGTAAATAACAACTAAATTTTAAAACTATATGAAAAAAAACAAAATGCAAAACTTACAGAATCTAATATATTCGAGTAAAAAACAAATGATATATTCGAATCTAATGTTCTGAATAATTAAATTAAAAATATTTGGTTTAATAAACCCGCGCATTGCGCGGGTTCTCACCTAGTATATCATAATAAAGGAAATTTTATAGTATATGTTACGCTAAGAAGTTATATTTTATATATTGTTATGTCATTAGTCAACCTTTCATAACTTTCCAAAATTTCCAACATGAATATATATCCTGCCATTAAAGATGATGTTTCGTGGCTAAGCTGTATACATACATGCAATTCTATGAATTCTTTTTTTCTGAAATGGATAGTTTATTCACATTTTCTCCTTTGTCAGCTTTTTGATCATATGTATCTATCTAATATTTTTATTTGATAATAATGATTTATTTTTATTTTAAAGAGAGAATACATGAGATGATGAGAACATAGACTATCAAAGTAAAAGAAATTAACATTTTGGTTATACTCTTAAAATATCGGTAAAGATACTGCTACATGTTTTATTGGATAAACCGAGTTTAAGCGGACCTGTGATTTTTTCATACTTCCCTTGGGAGAATAAAGAAATCATTTGCATCATCAACTGCCACAGTTTCTAGTTATAATATTCAGACTAAACATCTCTTAGTCACTGTGACTTTGAGACCATGCTTCATGTGGAGAATAACAGAAGGAACTGGCTCGATCTTGTGCCCTTCAACGACCTTAATCTCATAGTTTTGTATGATTTTCACAGCCACTGTCTTCATTTGCATCATAGCCACTTCTTTCCCCAAACAAGTTCTTGGACCGGCGTTGAATGATAAGAACTTATAAGATGGCTCATGAACCGACTTTCCGCTCTCAGATATCCATCTCTCCGGTTTGAATTCCAACGCATCTTCTCCCCAAACCGACTTCATTCTCCCTAATGAGTAGGTACAGAACATAATCTTCGAGTTTGCTTTGACTTTGTGTCCGCTTGGAAGGACGTCGTTTTTAGTAGGTGACTTGTGCTGAAAGGGAACAGGTGGGTAGAGCCTTAGGGCTTCACAAATAGCGCCATGTAAATACACCAACTTCTTTAAATCTTGGAGATTGAATGAATCTGAATCATCAGAGCCAAAACCATCAGCCTTGGTTCTTGAGATCAGGTTTGTGTTGATTTCTTGACGAATCTTGGCAATGGCTTCTTGGTTTTTAGATAGAAGCCAGAAGAACCAAGTGAGTGCTGAGCCTGTCGTGTCTCTACCCGCTAACATGAAGGTCATGATCGTGTCTCTTAGGAAACTGTCATCACTTGGATTCAACAGTTTGTACTTGTTGGTATCCACATTCATAGAAGACATCAACAAATCCTTAGAACAAGAAGAAGAACCGAGATTAAAAATCTCATCTCTCTTAGAAGCTATGCACTTGGAGCAAATACGATCGAAAATGGCGTGAGCTTTTTTCAGCTTCAACTCATCTCCAACCCCAATCAATCTTTGCATCTTCCACACCATCTCCGGCTTGATATGTCTGTAGAAGATGGCTTCCTCAGCGTCGTCTAAAGCTGTTGCAAACTCAATTTCCGGCATTCCTACGGAGAGACAACCTGGATCATACCCGGTCGCAAGAACAAACGTTGTGTCGAACGTGAATCTTTGAAACACATCTTGTAAGTCCACAGAGAGTTTCTCTTTGGCAACGTGATCAAGAAGTGGAACAAGCCCTTTCTCTAGCTTACTCCAGCTTGTAGCTAATGAAAACCTTTGAAACTCGGGATTCATCAACATGCCTTGAGATGACTTCCTCAGATCCTTCCACAACTCCGAATCCACGTTGAAAATCCCATTTCCCAAAACGTCGAAATACTTCTTGAACTCCGTTCCTTTAGGGTAGTTCGCGAAGTTTGTGCTCATGATGTGGTGGATATTAGCTGGATCAACGGTGAAAAGCATGTCGATGCCTCCCAAATAGGGGCCTTTGAAAAGATAGTTTAAGTTTGCGTCTTCAAGAACCTCGGTTAGAAAGTCATAAAGACGAGGAATCTCTACGAGCAAACCTGGTAGCATACCAAGCAACGGCCAGTTTGTAAGAAAGGAGCGGTGAGGTTTTTTGGTGATCAAGAACAAGTGAAAGATAAGGAAACAAAAGAAAGCAATGGAGATTTCAAGTAAGCTTACGAAAGCCATTAGAGAGAAATTAGAGTGGAGGTAAGGTTGATACGTATGTGTGCATGTTATCATTCGTATAGTAATAAGTATATATAGAAAATATGAAAAGAATCTAGAAAGCATCTTCTTAATTGTTTTGTCCTTGAGATTAGGCACATGTCTTTGTAGTTATAATAATCATAAACACGAGGGGTCTTTGCTTATTTTTGGTGATTATGTACTCTTCTGTTTGTTTGCTATTGTAGCTTTATTTAAGTCAAAACCTCTTTCGGAAACCAACGGTCCAATGCATGCGACATATTACTCAGTTAGTAGTTATTTGTCTTAATATTAAGACAAATGCCCAGCTGGGTTTGTCGAACCAATAAACCTTTTGGAAGAAATAAATAGTAGTATGTACTAGTTATCAATTCAAATTGGCCTATTAAAAGATACGTATACCTTTTGAAAATTAAGACTTATTATAATTATTATAATCATATGGTTTATATCATTTTAAAAATAATTTGTAGTAGTAGATATAAATGATTATGTTGATCGATAATCAAGAAAATTAAGTTGAAACACGTTTTCAACGGATTTTATCTCTACGACCTTAAAATTTTGAAACATGTCAAGTTTTAGGGTACACAATTTGAAAATCTGTGTCTTTCGTAACAATTATTGATCTAAAAAGACTAATAATAGAGCTCTCGGGATTGCGTGGCTGGTGGTGTTTGATACCGACGTCTGACGACGTCCCGTATGCCTACCTTTGGGTTCTTATAAATTTGAGTTTGGCACATTCAGGTTCCATGGTCCATGTATAATTTCCTATTGGCGCGTCGTACGATCTAGGTCCCTATGTATTAAAGGAGAAGCAACCGAAAATCAAATTATTGATGTGTCATAACTCATAAACAGTGATTCAATGAATGTTTTTTGCTCATGTGAGTAGATAACTTTTTCCAGTTTGTATGATTCACATATATTACCACTTACTAATGCGTTCTAGTTAGATTAATCGTTTATATTGGGCTTTCACGATTTGGGCTTTATCGTAATGTATGGGCCTATAGCTTCATTATCCATTTGTGAAATGTTGCCCAAGTTAATGATCGTTGTTACAGAGAATTGAGAAACCATAGAATGTGTTCAACCGGAGTATTTGCTCTCTCTTCTCCGGCGAAATTTCACCATCGCCGGGAAAAAGCAGAGATTTTTTCTCCGGCACACTTGCGTAATCCAAATGGGTATCCATTTCGGTGGAGAAATTCTCGAGCTTTCGCTCCCAAACTCTCCCAATCCGTCAATTTTGTCTCTCCATTTCCACATCTCCCTCTTATACGCTCTTCGACGTCGTCTCTTTCTTCCAAGGATTTCGTTCAAGTTCTGGCGAGAAAAGCCGCGATTTTACTTGTTGGGTCGTTCGTATTTCTAGGTTTCTGCTCTTCGAGACCTGCTTTAGCGCTACCCACTGCAACTGTGAGCTCTCAAGCGGAGTTAGAAGACGAAGCAATGTTCGAGAAGCTTCTGGAGAACGAGCCGGAGAATATGGAGGCGATGAAGGCTGTTTTGTATAAGAAGATGAGGAGAGGGAAAACTGAAGACGCTGTGAAGTATGTTGAGAAGCTGATGAAATTAGAGCCTCGTGAAGTCGAGTGGAAGCTTTTAGAAGCGCTTTGCTATGAGACGATGGGGCAATTGAGCAAGTCTAAGCGATTGTTTAAGGATATTCTCAGAGAAAACCCTCTCTTGATCAGAGCTTTGCACGTATGTGTTTCTGATTCTCTCACATTTTGATGATTCTGTAGGATTAGAGTCTTTTAATGGAACTTAGGAGAAATGGTGTTTCTTGCAGGGTCTTGCTATGGTAATGCATAAGACTCATGACCCTTCTCTCTTTGATATGCTTAAGGAAGCCATGGAATTTGCTCGACAAGGAAACCGAGTAACCGAGGAGAGAAACATACAAGTTTTGATCGGCCAAATGCATATTGTCAAGGTAAAGCCAATCCTAATCTTCTTTTCTCTGTGTGTTTGAGAATGCATAGGATTATATGTACTTATGGAGATTGGTATATACATTAATCTCAGGGTCAATTTGAAGAAGGACTAAAGATATTTCAACAGATGGTAAAAGACAACCCTCGAGATTTTCGACCTTACCTTTGCCAGGTAAAGTTTGATGATCTTTGATTCAATAAAGGCATCTCTTCTTACATTATTGGGAAACGAGTAAAAAGGGATTTGGCTTTATGTTTTGCTATTGCATTTTGAAGAAATTGATGGTTGTGTTTATGTGTTTCAGGGGATAGTGTATAGCTTAATGGATAAAAAAGAGGAAGCAGCTCAACAGTTTGAGATATATTGGAGTCTTGTACCTGAAGAATTCCCACAAAAGGGATTTCTGGACGATGTTGCTTTGGCTGCTCAAGCCAAATCCAGAGAACGACTCCAAAACACCTTCAAAGCTAAATTTACTCATGGCAAATAATGGCATTTGCTTATAAAAAGAAGAATTGGGTATGACATGCTAACCCGTGTCGTCGGTTTAAAGACAAAACCGCTCTCGAGCAGGCAGAGTCCGTGGCTGCGTTTGGAACCGCAAGAATGGCGTTTTTTGTTTTTGCTTTTATCTCTGCAGTAACGTAGCGATTTCTCTCAGGTGTAGTAGAATCAGAGACATTCAATGTTGTAACTTTCTATTGTCATCTGTAAAAATGTTTTGGTTTCAATTCATGTATTTGGTCTATTGCAAAATCAGCAACCGACTGTTGAGACGGTGATTTTTTACAGGCTTCAACTGTCAAGTGGGCCCGAGGCATTAGTGGTTCCTTAATTAAGGCCCATTTGGATGAGGGACAAAACTGTAAATAGAAATGCTTGTAATCCCTTCCACTTTGAATGAGCCGAAGAACGTGAAATCTCTCTCTCTCTTCTTACCTTCTCTTTGTCTGGTACAGTTGCTGAGAAATTGATTTGGTTAAATTAAGTCAGAGACGCTTCTGATGGCTCCTCTAACGCTCTCTGTTGATGCAAAGAGCTCTTCAGCTAGTGCTCCTGGTAAGCTCGCTTCTCTGTGAACTCTTGTTCTACTTTCGTCAGTGTTCGTTAATTCGTTTGCGTACTGGTTTTGTGGATGGATTATGAGAGAAAAAAATATATGTTTTTTGGCGTTTCTGTATAAATACTTCACTGAAGGAGAGAAATGTGTGATGATTTATTTGTTGGTTGTTTTTGCAGATCTTTCGAATAGGATAATGCAGAGCCCACAGCTCAAATTGAGCAAAGGCTTTGCATCTGTCAATACGCAAGAAGACAAACCCTTTGATTTCTTCCGCACTCTCTTCGGTAAATATATGCTAATAACTTTCTCAATTGGTTCATTTGCAATCATAATTTTTATGAATTTGATGTCTTTTGGTTTAGCATTTCCTTGAATCGAGCAGCCTAAGTATTCGTTTTTGTTATGTTTTTGGTTTTGATGATGCAGAGGGATTTATAGCAGGAGGTACAGCTGGGGTTGTAGTTGAAACAGCTTTATACCCGATTGATACAATAAAGACTAGACTTCAGGCAGGTCCAAGCTACTAAAATTTTATAGTTTCTTTGTATTAGTCTCTGCTTTTGATTGTATGCAAACTAGCTCCTGTAATCATTTGGTCTAAACAGAATGAAAAAAAAAAAGATAAAACCTTAGTCCCTCTAATTGTTTTGATCTTAAAATGTAGGCAGCTCGTGGAGGTGGGAAGATTGTTTTGAAGGGTCTTTATTCAGGATTAGCTGGAAACATCGCTGGTGTCTTACCGTAAGTGACTCTGACCTCATCCATTGTTTCATTGTCCCTTCTCCTATCTTATACTTGTTTTGACAATGTTTCTTTTGCAGTGCTTCGGCTTTATTTGTTGGAGTTTACGAACCAACAAAGCAGAAACTGCTGAAGACCTTTCCTGATCATTTAAGTGCAGTTGCTCACTTGGTGAGAGAGTTTCTTCATCTTTAGTTTTTGCCTTTGAAACTAAAGTATATTACTAGTCTCTGCTATACTTTTCACTTGTATTTGAGAGTTAAAAGAATCAATTTCGTTTCAAATTCCACAGACTGCAGGGGCCATTGGTGGACTTGCTGCCTCTCTGATTCGAGTTCCTACAGAGGTAAAAAAAGGCTCTCCCTCTTGGATATCACAATCCAGATCCTGTTCTTACAAAGAATCCTTTAACCGACATTTCAAGTGTGTATTCTTTAGGTTGTGAAGCAAAGAATGCAGACTGGACAATTTACATCAGCCCCCAACGCTGTTCGAATGATTGCATCTAAAGAGGGATTTAGGGGTCTCTATGCAGTTAGTAACACCTTTCTAAGCTCTTCCTTCCTCGTCTGCACGTTTTTTTGCTGAATCTTTGTGTGGTAACTTAAATTCAAATTCCTTCTAGGGATATCGATCCTTCCTGTTACGAGACTTGCCATTTGATGCTATTCAGTTCTGCATATATGAGCAGCTATGCTTGGGGTATAAAAAAGCAGTAAGCTTCCTTCCAGAAACTCATACGCATTCTGCTGAACTGATCTTTTGCATGATATTATTAACTTTGCTCACCATTTCTGCAGGCGCGTAGAGAGCTAAGTGATCCTGAGAACGCTCTAATTGGTGCATTTGCTGGTTAGTGACATATCTTTTATACTCTAAATAGATATTTCCGAATCCATCATTTGTTTGGTAGAAGTACAGTAAATTACAGTGTGTGAGTGTTATACTTTGTTGATCGTTGATTTGTACCGTTGTGGTTTATGCAGGTGCTCTGACCGGAGCAGTCACCACTCCGCTTGATGTTATAAAAACAAGATTAATGGTTCAGGTAGAAATGGATAATCACACCTTTAAAGTCTCCCTTTGTATCTCTAAAATTTCGTCATCTTATTATTCTTTCTTGATCTTCTCAGGGATCAGCCAAACAATATCAAGGAATCGTTGACTGTGTTCAAACTATTGTTAGAGAGGAAGGAGCTCCTGCTCTCTTGAAGGTACACTCACACACAGTACTATAAGGTTTCAAGTAGAATTCTTGGAAATTCTGTTCAAAGTTGAGCAGATTTAAGACTACAAAGCCACTAATCCTTGTACGATGTTTGACTTGCAGGGTATCGGACCAAGAGTGTTGTGGATAGGTATTGGAGGTTCGATATTCTTTGGTGTTCTCGAGAGCACCAAGAGGACACTTGCGCAGAGACGTCCCAAGATGGTTAAAGAGTCGAAAGAAGAATAAGTTTCTTGAGGAGAAGTGATCGAAATGTGCTATCCTCCTTTTGAATCTTTTGTTTTATGGAATCAATGCAATTCTTTAGGAACATATATCAAAGACAGTTATTACACTGTACACATCTCTATATATCTCTCAAAACTGCCATAAAAGGGAAAGAGAAGGAAAAAAAAGAAAGCAAAATAGAAAGAATTATGAGATCCATCAACAAACACACATACACACAAAAACCACTGAACCCTATAAGACTTCAGTTCGTATCTTTTCCAATTTCTCCGGCTAATTTACAGCCTCATCGAGCACTCACAAGTCACAAGTCACAACGATGAGGCAGAGAGAGATGCGTGACATTGCATCTTTTGGGATGATCTCTGAGCTCACGCACTTGCTCACATTAGTGGTAAGTATCCTCCTCCGTGTCCTTTCTTTAGCACAAGCGGTCCAGCATTTTCCGGGACCTTATCCAACGCATTCATACATGCATCAACCATATCTGAGAACCCTGTCGCTGTTGTAGCCAGCTGTAACCGTAGCCTCAAATCACGTGTTCTCTTGAGCAAACACCTGAATGATCTCCACATGTATTTGGCCCACTCAGCTGGTAAGCCGCCTCCTGTGAGCCAGACTGAGAATTGGGACTGGTCACCTCGAGCTGCCATTTCCGCTCTGTAGAATCTACCCAGCTCCAGAAGCATTGAAGCCTGTAGGGGAAGCACCGCTACAAACTCAGCCACAAACTCCTCCGCTAGCTCGGGTTTCAGCATCAGATTCCATAGGACAAGCGCCCATTCGCTTGGCTGGTTAAGACCATACGCTTCTGCTACAATCAGAGCCTCCTGGAAACGTGATTGATCAACAAGTGCTCTTCTGGCGTTTGTTTCCGACAAACAGAGCCACTTGGAATCTGGCATCCTTATTTGAAGGGAGACGAGGGAAGCCTGACCACAAGCCTTACGCGCTTTGTTTCCAGCATCAATGGAAGTATGGACTTCAGCAGCTTCAATGTAATAGCGCATAGAATCAAGGAGATCTTCATTTTGATCCTTGTCATACCGCAGGAACCACTGCTGTGCAGCCTGATCTGCACGTGCCTCTAGCAAAGCAGCTGTTTCATGCTTCATGTCAAAGTGTTTATATACCTGCAGACAAATCCCGAAACGTCGCATCAGTGAACTAGTCAATCTAGATACACTCTTTAACATCCAACATTATAGTGAACTAATTCCAGCTTACGAAAGACATACCATTGCGAATGCATCATGGTCACTTGGGTTAAAGAGATTCAACGAAGTCAAAACAGCCATTCGGAAACTTCTGACAGCCTGAGCAGTGCCAGTGTTTGCATCAGCCGCAGCAGAAAATTTCTGTAGTAAGAGATCGAGCTGCCCGTTTTCGATTAGAATATTAAGAATGAAATTAAGAGCATGAAAGTTTCCGACTCCAGTTATTAGACGACCCAGGCATGAGAAATCGCCCTCAGCAACATAAGCCTCGACCCTAGTGGCAGCAAGTGCCACAAGAACATCAACTCCATCAAGGCACGTGGATGACTTGTAGAAGTGATGAGACAGAATAAGTAGCTCAACCTGAAAAACAGCATTCCATTATGTTACCGAATCAGCATTGACAACTTATTCGTTCATCTTTTTAGAAAAAAATCATTGTTCATAAGCTTTCACAAAATCACATACCTCACACGCGTGTGGTATTTCCTGCCCAGTAATCACAAGACGCATCAAGGAATGACCAATTTCTTGTTCAGATGGACAAAGCTCCGCCCACTTCAAAAAGTCTGAAAATCTCCACAAAAGTGGTGCAGGACCTTCCTCCGTTTGAGAATCTATATATCCTCCACGATGAGCTGCTAATAGACCCTGGCACATGGATTACAGATTAGAGACAACACGCAAAAGAACCCTCAAATCACTACAAGGGGGTTTCTCCAAGTAGTCAATCAAATCAAAACCATTAGATAAAGATTTATGTCAAAAGTTGAAGTAAAGATTCAAAAGTATGAATTGTGTCATATAGACATACATAAATAACAAAGATAGTTTACTTAAGTTACCTTAAGAAAGGATTCTGCAAGTATCTGAGCAATACTAGCAGCGGGCATGGAATGTGTTTGGACAAGGAGACAAGCTTCTTCAAAGGAATCTTGAGCTTTAAGAGAAAGTAAACGTAACAACTCTATGGGCTGCTTTTGATATGCCTCGGTGAATGTAAGGCCCAGGATGTTAGCAGCTTTTATAACTGCGATGATTTTTCTTGCCAGCCCGCGTCCACTGCCTTCATTTAAAATGTTCGATAGACTCTCCAGAACCTAGAGGATCAGATAACAATTACTGTAAGATCCAACAAAGAAATTATAAGAAGAGAGAAATGAAGGAAAAAAAAGGGTGGAATTCTTTTGTATATGTAACAGGCTTCATAACAAATGAAAATTTAGGTGTGAAATAGATAGAGAGAACAACCTGCAGCGGTTCAATCACAGGTCTGTCTATTTCTAGACTGTGTGATTGAATGACAGAACGAACTTCATCATCCAACATTGACAATGGTACTTGAATGCAAGGCGTCGAAAGCATTGCTAGCTTCATCACAGCATCCAGAATTATCAGCTCAGAAGGTAAATTTCCTGGAGAAAGCTTAAGTTGGAGCTGCTTCGCAGCTGTTACTTGTCCAAACTCCAGTAAAGACAGAACCGCTCTTTCTAACTCCGCAGGTTCTATACTTTCTTCCCACTTTGATAAGGATATCTCTAAACCCGTGCTTTCTTCTTGAAGCTGGAACTCGCTTTTGATGTTTAGAGGAGATGAAGAATCTTCAGAATCAGTATTCCTATCTGAAGAATCCACAAATTTTCTTTGTGGGACATTTCCTTTTGCTCTCCTCTTGGGCTTGCTGGCACCAGATATTGAAGTGCTAGTGTCTTGGTTTCTTTGATGTGCTTGGCCAGGGGCCCTGAAGTCACCAAACTTATTTTTTGTTGCTGAAGAAATATGGTTGTCCATTTTCGTTATGATACTTGCAGTTCGGTCTATAAGATTTGAACTATTTCCATTCCCCGTGTCTTTTCCGGTGCTACTCGGACTAAATGCTCCTACATTTTTCACATGTGCCTCTGCTTCTACAGCCAATAGCCACACTCTAGTCTCGATTTCTCGCAGAAGATGCAATGGATAAACCCTAAAAATTGATGAAATCGAAGTCATAAACCCAGTAAAAATAATTACATACTAGGGTACAAGATCACTTACGGGTGAGATAGGGTTGTTAACCCACTCAACCACTGTAGGGATAGCAGTAACAGCTCATAGATCTCTCTTGCAGGCAGATCTTTCTCCACCGCTTCTGCATGCCTAAGGAAAAATAAACCTGCCTGCAAAAGAATAAGCAACAGACTCACTTGTAGCAATTTCAGGCTTCCATATAAACTGGTTACAAGCGAGGCAATCAGTTAAGGTACCTGTAAAGGAGGGAAAGAGTATCTGATGAACAGAGTTTGGCAGTGACCCCATAATGCGATTCTCTCTTCTGGAACATCCCAAAGGAATTCTTTCCATTCTGCAACCATTGATTCTGCCTATATGTAAAGCAAATACAACAAGTGTCTATTAAGATTGGGCATTCATTAATCCCTACACATAATTAGAATGGCGTACAGACAAAGCTAACATCATGCAGTGCAATAAGAGTCGCTAGCTAAAGACCGAAAAAACAGCATCGGAAATTACCTAGAAACAGCTAAACTGGTCAATAGTCTAAGAAAGTATAAAGATAAAATGGCCCCCGAAACTTTCTGGCAGATCAAGTATAAGATAGGAGCCAAGAAGCTTTGTTACCTGCGTTTCAGTAACATGATGAACAGAGGATGTCCAAGTGGCACCAATGGTTTCAAGTTGCTTGGCCCAATTTCGTGCTTGCTCCCACTGTCTGTTCTTTTCTAAAGCTGTAAGAAGAGAGCCATCATCAAGATCTCCATTTCCTAGGTCAAGTTCATTCTCCCACCGGAGTGATGGTTCAGCCAAATTAACTTTCCAGTAAAGACGCCGATAATATGTTGCCGCAGCTCCCCCATCACCAAAATCAGTTGCAGCAAGAAGTTGCAGTAAGCATCTTTTCTCATATGGAGACGAACAAGTTGACAAAACAGCATCAGCAGCTTTAACAGCCGTTTTACTGATCCAAGATGCCCCAAAATTGACTTCTTTGGCTGTATTTGACTGAAAATGCATTGATTCATCTTTAACTCTAGCCCAAAAAGAACCCAGATGTGCTGAAGCATCGGACAGGCGCATCTGAGAAAATGCCTGCAGAAAAAAATTAAGACAGGTCAGAATCCTAAGAAGAGGCAGTAAAGCCCAAAGCATTTTACAAATTCGGAGTCCATATCTTCTTTTCCCTGCTCACATTCAATCTTAACTTTTGCAGAATTCGATAATCAGTTTTCTCCCACAGGAGAACAGATTAAAGCAAGCGATGAATTCATGGAGAACAAAAACAGCATCAGACACATGAACATAAATCGTGTAAAAGTCTTTGTGCGTTAAAATGTAAGACAAACCTGAAGAGCACGAACAAATGGCAGTAGAGAGCATGAAGGGAGAAACAACTCAAAAGCTTTTAGCAGAGGAAGAAACAAGCCTTGTTCAGAAAGCACTGCGACCATCTTTGATAGAGACGCATGCTCATCAGGCAAATCATTAGTAAGACTGGTATCTTCAGCTTTGTCATCTTCTACAGCTTCTGTTCTGTATGAACAAACTGTTTTACCAGAAGAGGTGTTAAAACTATTAGCTGAAGCCAATGAATCCACAGATGTATGAGCAACAAGTCGTCTCCGTTTAGGATTCCTCCTATTGTAATGAAACTGGACACCTCTAGCATCCGCTGGCAAGGAATTTGTGGATACAACGGCTGCTGCTACATTTTCTGCTATTTTAGTGGTCATATCGTTCACCTTGATAGACGACGTTTCCCTGAAAAGCATGATCTTTGTTAAA